TCTCGGCGCTCCAAATTTAGCGACCATTTTCTGCTTCCTTCCCGTGTCAGGTTTGGCTCTGATTTATTGACAATGCAAGCGACAGGCCAAAAACGAAAGCACACAAAGAGCAAGCAAGCGAAAAATGTAAGGATTAGCCTTGCATATCTGCGGCAATGCGCTTCTGTTGAAACTGCTCCAAGTGGTAAGCGGCCAGATCCCGCCGTGACTGAGATTGGTTTGGAAGGACGAGGCAGAAAAAAATGCGTGTCTTGTGCCGAAGCACCTTGAGAAGTTCTTGAACAACATAATCCTGGAACAATCTAGTGGCATTTGGGTCGGGAATCTCGGCTGGTGCCTCGATTGGAACACCCCTCAGGAAAGCCAGAGCAAAGCTCAGGTCGTCAGTAGCATCTGCGGAAACTGTGCCGAGAGTGACCCCCATTAGCTTATCGATCACCGAGTCTACGGTGCGAATCTCTCTCACATGAAGCATTGCTGAAAACAAAGAGGACTGCAGTTGTCCAAATATAGCACAACCCTCCTTCCGCGCTTCCCGTGTCAAGTTTAGCTCTGATTTATTGACAATGTGCAAGCGACAGGCCAAAAACGAAAGCACAAAAAGCGCAAGCAAGCGACAAATGGACGAAAGTTTTCCGGATTAGAGAGGGCCTCCCTAAAAAGACTCAGTCCCCCCTGTTCATTTCCTCGCCCTGCCACCTATATCATTGGAAAGAGCATAAATTATATAGTTGATTTGGTAATTTTGGTGCGAATCGGAGGGGAAAATTTTCGCTTCGATTTGGCTGGGCGTGCATTAGGGCTGAGTCGTTTTAGGGAGAAACTGACTTTGCCAGTCCCGTGTCGCCCGTGTAGAGGATCTGTCGGCCCATCTTCAACTGGGACATGTAATACCAACTGGTATCTATGTATTGCAGTTGGTGCGACGGTTACTGTATGTGACCACAGAACCCGGCAGGTGCCAGACCGCCCGCGCCGGACGGGCATGGTCCAATCTTCCCCTGCCTAGACATGATTTCACCCTTTTTGACCGGAAAAAACACATAACTACATTGAATGACATGGGATGCACATAGAATTGAACACAAAACACGGAAAATTACAGTGGTAGCGTGTTGCTTCGAGAAAGGTTTGTCAGGTCGCTGAGCGCCGGCCTTGACGACGCAGGTTGGAGGTCTACACGCGCCAATTTGACATTATGTCCATCTTGCTTCGTAGTACTACGTGTTGGCATGCGATAGCGTCGGATTTCTTGGAGTTCGGTGGAGCTCAGCTGATAATCGACTTGAACAACATCGCTCGAGTCTGATGTGACCGTGGTGAAGACGGGCGCGACGTTTTCATCGTCATCTTCCTGGCGACGCTTGCGGGCGGCTTGAGGTTGACGCTGGACATCGCTGGGGTCCTCCTGGTTGTCGTTGTGGCCGATGGCAGCGGAAGCCATTTCGGACGACGCTTGATTCTCGTCGTCATCGTCGTCAGACTCGCTTTCCTCCTCGCTGGCTGATTGATCCAAGTCGACAGTGTCGTTCGCCATCGATTGCGAAGCGAGAATGGGCCTAGGCCTGCTGACGCGCCGAGGAACGAGAGGTGTGGAAGCGGTCGCCGCTGGCTCAAGACTTAGAAGAGTGGGTCGCTTGAGACGGTTCTTGAAAAATGTCGCGCGGTCACGTACGAGCTTGGTATGCTGCAGGCGAGCAGCAGCTAGCTTGTTTCGGGTCTCCGCGGCAGTTGCCGATTCGATGTCCTGCTCGACCTCTTCTCCCAGAGCAGCCAGCTGAGTCTCCAGAGCAAGAATTGTCTCCGCAAGTGTCAAGATGCGTGAGTCAAGGTCTTTTAGCGTGCGGAGGAAGATGGGCCGTTGCCGATTGTACTCTTCTTTCAGAGGTTCGAGCTGCTTCCTCTTCTCTTGCAACTCCTGCCGCTTAAGCTGGGCATCCCTATTCTCCGGCGTAAGCGGGGATCGAGCGGTCGAGTTCATAGAAACGCGCATGGAGCTGTTGCCAATGCTCCTGGACCGCAGGGGCCTGGGTGGGGCCCGAAGGACTTCTTGCACCGAAAGTTCGACCTCGAGATTTCGACGCAAATCAGCTACCGCTGCATCGTGCACCCTCTTTTGCTGTAGAGCTCTCGGAGTGCAACCAATGGTTACCAGGGCGGCATCGGCAATCTGACGGACACGGTACAACGCCGAATACCGAGCATCCGGGGTCGGGGGTGGCTCGGGAATGTGCAGCGAGGGGGTCGTAGACACGGCAACGTCAGCGACGGAAGGCAACGCTAGGGTCTTGTGCTTTTCCGTGTCCAGCGGATAGATACCAGTTTGGCGAAACCCAGATCGGATCAAGTTGGATCGGTCGTCAATTTCGTTCCACGCCCGAATGGCCCCGTGAAGCTTGATGTTCACGTCGATGAGTGGCGAGTCTTCATCCAAAATCGACTGCACGTGAGTCTCGAGCAAGTTCTTGTACCAGGCAAAGACGGTGACGTCGAGCGGCTGCAAGTGAGTCGACGTGTGCGATGGAAGGATCGCAACCAGGATGTTGTTGCTCACCGCGAGGTCAATCAACCCGACAGTGAACTTGTGACACGAGCTGCCATCCATCACCAATAGAACGGGGGTGGTGGTAGCTCGCTCCTTGACGACCTCGACGAAATCTCGAAACCACTTGTCGAAGATTTCCTCGTTGATGAAGCCGGACTCGGACTGGTGAATCAACTCCTCGTCCAGGCCCTCGGTGCACCTGTGAGGTAGAGTGGGCCGTGGATGCGCGACAATGAAGTGGGGCGCAACAGGAGCGGTGCCATCAGCACAAACAGTAAACAGACCAGTAACATGCGGTCCCATCGTAATGGTTCGGCCAGATCGCCGACTGACACGCTTGACACCAACAGCAGCCAGGGCACGCTTCTTTTTACGACCCACAGAGCAATCCGACTCGTCCATGTTGAAAATATTGGCCGGCGTAGCGAAAAGAGTCGGGTAAAGATTGCTGTACTCCGCCAGTAGCGCGAACAAACTGCCGAGCTTCTTTTCACTCAAAGCAGCCACTCGAAGTGTTTCCAACACGCTGCTACTGCGCCAGCCAATCTGTGAGCTGTGACGGGCGACAAAATCATTGACCCACTTGTCGGAAACTTTGTCGTGCTCAAATTGACGTCTTTCCACGCCGTCCGGCCTCGGCACCTTCGAGGCTGCAAGCACATATCGAGTGAATTCCGTTTTGCTCAGAGAGACAGCTCCTAAGCAGCACCGCTTGACAAACTCGACGAGCTCTTGCTCCTCGGGGACGGTGAACACGTAGCCTTGTCCCTGGATGGGATCCTCGCGCAGAACGTCAGCCAACTCATCTAAGGTCATTCCAGGAATGTCAGGAGCGAGGTTGGCGTGGGCCTTGATGCAGCGGGCGATCATGGACTGCGATCGACCCAGCGCATGGGCGATTTGGCGGGTCGTCCAGATTCGCTCGGCGGAGGCTCCCGGAGCTCCGCCGACATCCGTAGTGGATAGGAACGGGTCAAAATAGTATAGTTTGAGGGCGGTGGCCTTCGTCAGGAGCCTCTGGCGGAAGGGAGACGCGGTCGCAATCTGGGCGAGGCCGACCTCAAGTTGCTCCTGCGCCCGTCTGACCATGTCTTCCTTGTAGCTGGAATGAGTGTTCATTGATATTCGAAGACGGCGGCGGGGTGGGAGGAATACAAGCCGAGATAATCGGGTTTGAGTCTTTTTAGGGTGGGGGCGCAATGGTTTTTGGACTGAGTCTTTTTAGGGAGGCCCTCTCTAGTCCTGCATATCTGCAGCAATGCGCTTCTGTTGAAACCTTTCCAAGTATTCAGCGGCCAGATCCCGCCTTGACTGGTAGGGCTTTGGCAGTACAAAGCAGAGAAATTGCCTCTTGTGCCGAAGCAACTTAAGAAGTTCTAGGACGACGTAATCCTGGAACAATCTAGTGGTATTCGGGTCTGGTATCTCGTCTGATACCTCAATTTCAAAGCCCCTCAGGAAAGCGATAGCTTGGCTTAGGTCTTGTCTAGCGTCCTCAGAAGTTGTGCCGCGAGTGACTTCCATTAGCTTCGCGAGCACCGAGCGAACGGAGCGAATGATTCTCACTTCGACCATTGCAAGAGGACTAGACTCTGCAGTTGTCCAAATACAGCACACACACCCCCCAGCTGAATAGCACTCGACTCCATCTGAAATCATACCTTTGACCAAGTGCACGACTGTGAGCCCATCTACGGTGTGAGTACTGCTGCGCACCACTCGACATTTGATTTGAACAAAAAAAAAAAACGACACATTTCTCTCCATTTCCGACCATGATTTGTTTGTGCATTTTTCCTTGGTCCCGCTTCCCCAACCAGTCACTCCACTACCGGCGATTGATTCAAAATATAGTTTGCAGCCAAATTTATGGTGAACATGTGGGATTGCGTGCGTTGAGATGGCGCGAAACACCGGTCAATTTTTCGGGTTCGGCGAGGCGACGATTGCCCATCAAGGCGCAGCACCCTTTTCTCGCATTGTGTCCTGACCCATATGTTGCTTCTATGATTCAATTTTTGTGATTATAATTGGTCAAATCGATGGTTTTGTGTGACTTGCATGTTCAAGCTGAACTTTTGGTCGATCAAAGAATGTTTGTTTCTTTGGTCACAACTGCATCCGCGAACGATCATCGCAATGCACTCCGTTCCCTGGCTCCTTCTTCGCCCACACGCAAACAAATCAGACAAGCAAGTTTCAAGCACAACCAGTGATCGAAGATGACAACTGGACGGCGCTGTGGCAATGCGCAACGGACGCTTGTTGCTGGAAACTCGGACAAGGTTCGGTCCAACGACCTATCCATCTTCCAGTTTTATCTTCCAGCTGTTGCGCCTTTTTCTTTGCTCGCCCGAGCGACAATATTCACAAAGTTTGCACAGATGATAATCTGCCAAAACTTTGTCACAGCGCGCTCTCCACTCATCAAGCAAAAGTCCCAACCGCTTTGAACGCTCCAATAGCTCAGCTGGTAGAGCGTGTCACTCGTAATGATAAGGTCGGTAGTTCGATTCTGCTTTGGAGCATTGTTTTTTTTTTTTTTTTTGATGATCTCCCTCTCTGTTTCAATCATCCATTCGGTTCGTCTCTCCCCCACATTGTGTACTCCAATGACAGCTCCGAGAATGGACTTGTCATCCAATACTGAGAACTGAGAGCTGTTCCAGTCTTTTTGTGTGGTTGCTGGCATTTTTTTTAAATTGCTGGCAGTCAAGTCGAGTCCAGTCCTTCCCTCCCTCCCTCCTTCCCCTCGGTGTCTCTCTCTCTCCACTGCTCGTGCTCGTCACTTGAGCACAACCACCGTAGGACGAGCTCCGCCTTCCTCTCTTATTGAATCAGTCAACACGGTTCGTTCCAGCGAGAGGATGAGGCGCCTCGTTCTCGGCATCGCGCTCGTGACGGCGTTGGCGCTACTGGCGCTCCCGAGCAGCAATGGCATCATCACTGCTGCCGAGGCCAGCACGGCGGCAGCGGACATCCCGAAGGAGCCGCAGCCGCTTGGGCGGAGTGTCACTGAGAGCCTGAACATTGTCAAGCCCGCCATCCTGGACCAGACGCCCGAGGTTGTCGCGTCCATTGCAGCGTCGCAGCGCGAGTTCAAGGAGTTTGTCGATGACGATGGTCGCTGGACGCTGGTCGACCTCGACGCCAAGAATTTCGAGCGCAGAGTCGTCAAGTCGCCCGAGCACTTTCTCGTCATGTTCTCGCACCAGCGATGCATCCATTGCGTGAGTCTTGTGTCTGCATTCTACCAGGCGGCGGATCTCCTGACGGGCAAGGCGCGGTGCGGCGTGTTTGATCTCACCGCCGACAAGTCACTCGCTGCCAAGTACGCCGTGGATGTCTTCCCAACCATCCGCCTGTTTCTCAATGGCAAGAAACCCTTCTTTGACGATCTGCCAGGCTGGCGATCGGCCACCGAACAAAAGGCAACACAGCTCGCGGCTTTCGTCGAGCTCAAACTCCACGACCTGCGCGAGGAGCGTGCCGAGCGCGACAAGGAGGCCGTCGCACAGGTTGGCAAAGGCACGATGGTGGACCACTCCATCATTCGTTCCTTTGACGCGACCCACCCCGGTCAGGTCATGGGCTTGACCGGTCAAATCTACGACGCTCAGCCCGCCGTTCAACTCACTGGCAAACGTGCATGGGACGACACCTGCCGCGGCGCTACCCATTTCTGTTTGTTTGTGGCGCTGCCACGGGTGCTGCCGCCATCGGGCAACAAGGATGGAGATGAAACCAGCAAGACTTCTGATGCACTCTCGCCAGAATCCAGCTACCAGCAGCAGCAAGCCCGCTACATTCGCCAAGTCGAGCAACGAAACGAGTGGCTCAAGTTTCTTCAAGATTTATCGCTTCAGTCAGTGTCTTTGTTTCGCGCAGTGTTGGCTGTCGCTGGCGCGCTCTCTCCTTTCTTTCTTTCTTTCTTTCTTTCTTTCTTTCTTTCTTCTTTCCTTCCTTCCCTTCGCTTCCCTTCAATCCTTTGCTTCAATCCTTGTCCTCTTTCCCTTTCCATTCTTGCTCACTCGTGTCCATTTTCCATTGGTAGAATTGCAGATCAACCCGATGTGCGAATCATCTGGGCAGAAGGTGGCTCGCAGCCCTTCCTCGAAAAGGCCGTCAATCTTGACAAGCCACGCGCCTTCAACCAAAATTACCGCGCTCCCAAGTCAGCCAACGCCAGTGCGTCAGACTCGGATGCGAGAGGCTCGAAGCGTCCGCAGAGTGGTGGTGGCGTATCGGATGCACTTGACCCGGCCGCAGAGCTTGTCACCGACATGGACGACGGCCTCTATCCCGGCATGAGCATGTTCGATGTGCAGCAAGGCTCAGCTGTCAACTACCTGGGAAACATTCGTCTGCACAACGTTGCCCATTTCGTTACGAACGTGCGGATGAACCAAGAGCGTCTTCGAGCTCGGAAACTCGAGAAAGTGCCAAAGCTGCTTGTTGTTCCGCGTTGGCGTGACCCCTTCAGTTCGAGTACGTCCATATCGCGTCTTTATGGTGGTCGATGCTGCTTTGTTGTGTGCATCTTGAATCGGGAGACAGGGACAGTGGTCTTGTAAATTTCCTGCTAACTTTTTTTTTTATCTTGGCGATAACAGGCGCCTGTCTCGACGAAACATGCAAGCCGACGCTGGAAGCCATCTACACGCAACCCGAGAATGAAGATTTGCCATTGGTAGAGGTACGTATTTCTACAACTGCTCCATGATGGCCTTTTTTTTTTTGTTTTTTTTTCTTCTTTCTTTCGTCGTCTTGTTTTGATTTGTTGGTTTCTCCGTGACCACCACTCACAACCTCACCGCTCTGTCAACTTTGCTTTCCTTAGATTCCGTCGCGTGAAGCCGTCTGGAACCCACCGGAACACTTCCTTCAAGATGTTCAAGACGAATATGAATATGCCATGCACGACGTCCTCGACGTGTGGAACGAGAACATGAAGGAATGGGACGAAGACCCAATGAATGGACCAGCCGAAGCTCGCGCGCCAGAGGTGCCGGTCGAGCAGCAGCCAGACGTCAAGAGGATGCTGAAGGAAATTGCTCGCGAAGAGGACAAGGGCCGCCACTTGCAACTCAAGAAGGTCATCAAGCAAACGCAACTGAAACTGGAATCGGAGGAAGCTTATCGAAAAAGTCTCGATAGTCCGAGCGCAGACCGGCCGAAACCAAGTGCGGAAGGAACATCCAATCGCGAAAGCTCCAGACGTCGGCCGATCAAAAAGGGCGATGTTCTGCACGCCGCTGAAGGCGACGTGGTCGTCTTGTCCGAGTCTGTGGAACATTCGACGGACGATGAACGGTCGTCAGAGGGCGTGCAGTACGCTGGACACTCGACATCACGCACAACCGTGGTGATAGACCGCGAACTTTTGGAGGAGGACGACCAGTATGAAGGATTGCTCGATGATGTCGAGGTCGAGCTCGAGGAAGAAGTTGAACTCCCCATGGATGCGCTGGAAGACGAGGATCTCCTCGACTTTGATCAAGTGGCGCAACTCAAACGCCAGGGCAAGGTTCTCCTCGACGACGGCTTCGACCCCGACAAACTCAAATCCCAAGAAACGCTGAATGGCGAACGACCCTCGTTTGGTGATGCCATGCACTCTCTGCGCGACCTGCTGTCTCAGATGGAAACAGCCGACGACACTCAGATTCGCGCCGTCAAGTCCGCCAGGAAAGCAGTCAAGGCTTTTGCCGCCTGGAAGCGGCGGCAAGGCATGCTCGAAGACGGCGACACCGAGTGGGAAGCCCAGTTTTCGTCCGAGCTCGGTGATGTCGAAGACGACGAGGACGAGGTGATTGGAGACGACGATCCGGACGCTGCTCTTGAAGATGAAGAGCTTGCAGAGATCGAGGCCAGCGGTAACGAAGCCATTGTGCACCGAAAGGTCAAACAAGCCCAAGAGGCGGCAAGGAATGCTCGCAAGCTCGCCGCAGAAGTGCCAGTCCAGGTTGATGACACGGACCCTGAAGCCATGAAGCGATTTTTGCGCAGCCAAGGCGCCCAGGATGATGCCTTTGAAGAAGAAAAGCGTCTTGCTGCAGAACGCGCTGCGGCAGCAGAGGCCGAGTCCGAGGATGCTGACGAATTTGATGATGACGATCCAGACGCAGCGGAGGTCCCGGAGCGTCCGTTCGATGCTGACGAGCTCAAGAAGGACGTCCTCCAAGCGGCCGAAACACTCGAGCAAGTGGTGGACCGACTGCAATTCCTCAATCCCGAAATTCAAGTGATGGCACACACACTTGAAACGATTGATCGCGACTTCCATCGCGCATTGGATGTTCAAGGCATTGAACCACCTCCGCGGATTAAGCGACGAAGGCACAAGTCGCATTTGACCGACCAGTTCTTCCAAGCTCCTCCGACCGAAGAATCGATTGCTGAAGCCGAAGGCATTGCGCTGAACGAAGGAGAAGCAGAAGAAGCTTCACTTGACAACGACCATTGGTCTCCAGTAGCGGACGACCAACCGGAGACAGGCTCCGAAAAGAATTAATTTGTGTATTTTTGCTTTTTTGCTTTTTTGTTTAAGTTGGTTTGGTTTTATTTTCTGTGTGTATTGCTTTTTTTTTCGAATGTTAGCCAATGTACTTCTGCTTGCTACATTGATGCGCACCGAACAAAACAAAGGGGGCAAGGGGAGTATTCAAGTCTCAACGCATCCGCTTGTGCCGACCATCGATAAAGGACCAAAACTCTGGTTGAACACTCTCTGGAGCGAGATGGGCGATAAACTGATCAATCAAGCAGAGCAGTGCATTCCTAAACAAGGTTCAACAGGCGAGTGAGCGACATTGTCACACGCCGCACGCAAGAGCCGAGTTCAAAGAGAACATTTGGCTTACTTGTTGAGAGTGGGGTCTTGAGCAGCTTGCCAAAGCACGTCCGTTGGATGGTCTCCAAGCACCTTTCGAACCCAGCCTGCGTTGTCCAAGCAATCACGCCAGAAAAATAAAACCAAACAAGATCGGGCAAAAGCATGCGTTAGAAATTCACGAAACCCTGCCTGGGAATGCTCGGCAATTCAATCAAACGATGGTCGCACCTGGAAGCATGCCGGCCAACCCGGCGCGTGCTTCTTGGGCGACACGCGCTTTGTGTTCTTCGGTGGGTGGCGGAAGCGTTTCACCAAGCTGGCCGTTCGGCCACACAGATCGACGGAGCAGCACGGCATACTTGCAAAGTTGCGCATCGGAAAACAGGTCATCGACTTCATGTCGAACAAATCTAAACAAGAAAAACCACAGTGAGCACACAAGGGACTTTCGATTTGGGTAGCAAGCCGATTCAGCCTAGCTCACCGTTCTGCAAAGTCGCCAACGAGGTTGTCAAACAATAAGCGCAACAGGTCGCTCTTGGGACCGCTGGAGGTGTCTCCAAGCAAAACCTGGGATGCAAAGTCAAACAAAAAGTCTCGCAATGGCGGAGACGACACTGCTGGCGAGAATCCGTGCTCCTCGGTTGCCTCGGCAGTGGACTGGGCCTCCTTCCGTTTTCGAGACTGCTGAAACCGCCAGGACACGATGGGCGGAAGCAACGACATCAGCAAGGACAACTTTCGATGGTGAAGCGATTCTGCAAACTGGTGTCCGAGCTTTTGCTGCTCGTAAAGTTCGTGCATGACTTGCAAGAAGGCTTCATACACGGCCTTGTTGGTGTTGTCCGCGACAGCCGTGGGTACTTGGATCTTGAAGTGCGAAACGCCAGCAGTCGCATTACCAGAGAGTACAGAAGACGAGGACGACCATGCTGCCGGAGACTGCGCCAGCAAGAGCGCGGCCTCGGTCTGAAGCGCGCGCGCAATCTCGGGAGAGATGTCAAGGAACACTTGCAACGCTTCATTGCAAACAATCTCGGGCAAACTCGTGATTGTCTGTTTCCACGACCCATTCAAAAAGGAGGAACAACAACCGCTCAGCATCACTCTTTCGTCTTTGGCAACACAAATCGAAAAGCACTTTGCAGCGAATTGTTTTTTTTTTGATTTTTGGTTTTACCTGAAGATACTTTTCGAGTAGGCGTCGACGGTTTTCCAACAGGGTCGGGTTCAAGTTGCCGAACGGGGTGCGGAAGCTCATAAATTTGTTATTGGCTCCAAGCAAATCCAGCGCGCGCACTTGAGAAAACGTTCGACAAAGGCGCTCGTGCAGCTCATCAAACTGACGAAATCGTCGTACGACAATCAAGCCGTGCTCAATCCCTTTCGCCGTCGTAGTGCCAGTGGTGCTGGAGCTGCCCGAGTCGGAGGCCAAGCCGTCCGATGAGTTGGACTTGGTTGAAAGGTTGGGAGCGGGCAGATGAATGACAACACGAATGACATAGACTGCAAAAGGCGAGCTGCCTGCAACACGCTCAACTTCAAAGTTCGGAATCGAGACTTGAAGCAAAGAGCGCGGGACAAGGACCTGACTGCCGGCTCGAGCTCGTATTGCCTCAGCACTCTGGTCGAGTGCTGCTGCTGGCATGTTCGATCCCAAGCTTGTCAATGACGATGGTGGCGACGAGGATAACAGCGGCGGAAGCGCATCACCAGCTCCTCCGTCAACCCCCGACTCTGAACGAGAGCTATCGAGGTCTGTTGAAGTGTCAGCCTCGCCCAATGTTGGCGGAGCGGCAGCAGCAGCGACAGCAGCGGTGGTGTTGGCGGTGGTGGTGGTGGTGGTGGTGATGATGGATGATGCGGGAGACGACACCGTGGCTGGACCTGAATCTGTTGCAGTTGCGGTCGACGGCAGACTGGATGCCGGCGGCACCAGAGTGGACGGACCTGACTGCGAAGGCTCAAGCGAAAAGCCCAAATCCTCGGCAGTCGGAACGAAGGGCGGTGTGTCGGAGGTGACATCACGGATCAGTTCATTCAGCCACCATGGCTGAATCATGGTGTCGACAAGCGGCTTGACGACAGTGCAAACAACGACCTCTCGAAAGAGAGAGCGTGCAGAGTCGCAGCGAAATTCGGCGGTCGGAAGACACAGGCTTAAAATCACGTCAACAATCTGACGATAGTAAATCATTTCAGTCTCCGCGCTTGCCATGGCAAAGTGCAAGGGCGGCGGCGCAACTGTCGCACGGTCATGTGCAGGCGGCATGATGGAGGGCTCGGTGAATGTTGTACTTGTTCGGCGTGTTCCGGCGCGACGAGTGCGTCGGTGCCGTCGGCGAGGCAACCCATCGAGAGGAGCAAACGATTGGTTGGTATCCGCGTCCTCAGGAGTGACCAGCTCTGGATGCTCTCGTACCGCGGTATCAAGAGCGGATGCGGTCGCTGTGCTGGAAACTGAAGGAGGCACGATGGCACTCGACTGAGGCTCGGGACTAGGCATCAGCAGCGGCTGACTGTCAGTCGGCGCGGCGGTGCTTGAAAGACTTGTCAATGCCGAGATTGTCAAAGGAGAAGGAGCGTCCTCGGCAGCGACTCGAGCTGCCTGAGACTCGCGCACGTACAGGTTGGATGTGACAGGAGACTCGTCAAACAGATCGTCCAATACAGCGTCTCCGGAAGCCGACGCGAGAAGCACAGGGTGCGGTAGCATGGATGCGCTCGTGGCAAGCAAGCCATTGTCGTCGTCCAGCGGATTGTACGTCATGGATGCTCCAAACGAGCTCCCAGCCGCGGCTCCAACTCCGCCTGCCGTCGCGTCCAACCCGGGAATGGGTATGCCAGCATCGTGACTGTCACTAGTCATGAAAGACCGGCCAAGAACGGGCGTGGGCGGGAGAGCAGCAATCGAGGCGGCCTCTGCAGCCTCCGACGCGGACCTGTATCTGAGGCTGCGGTGAGCAATTCGCTCGCTCATGGTGCTCACATTTAAAATGTCAAGCGCTTCGTCGGCATCTTCAGCATTGGTTGCTGTTGGAACGTCGGTAGCGAGCTGGTTGCTGCCCGCTGCTGCATCGTTCTCTGCATGCGATTCGAGCCGACTGGCGGCATCCAAATCAAGGCTGGAGCTGTCGAAATCTGGGTCGAGCGAGTCAGCGTCGTCAGAGAAGTCGCTTTCGTCAGTGTCCTCGTCTATGATGCTGCTGTTGTCCGATTCAGAGCCCGACGACGACACAAAGTCGTTCGTGAGTGATAGGTCGTGTGATTTTGGATTGAGCCGCGAATGCTCGGCCTGTAGCGCAGTCGGTTGCTGTAGCACCGCTTGCTGAGGCGAGTCTTGCTGGTGTTGTTGCTGGCCAGGTGGCTGCTGCGATTCGTCGTGTTGCTGCAATGATGCGTCTGCTGTGGTGGCGACGGCGGCAAGCGAGGCATTGTACTTGTCTTGCTGGGCTACAGTCTGCAGGTGCTGCATTATCACTTGCACACATGCCTTGGTGAGCTCTTCCCGGGACACCAAGGATGCTTGAGCGTGGAACTGGACGAGAACACGACCGATGACGGTCTGCATCTGAGCCGAGAATTGCTCGTGCGTGCTGAACGTTTGGTACCATCCGTTGACGAAATCGCGCATAATGAGCTGCAAGATTGGTTGAAACGCGCGATACGGAACGGACGAACGGAAGCCGTGCGTGTCCAGCAGCGCGTCGAGCTCTTCCGGCGACATGCTTGTCAACGTGGTGGCCGAAATGGCAGCGTTGCCGTTGGACGCGCGAGTTGGCACTGTGTCTTGCTCGCTCAGAGAGCTGTCATTGACCAAATTTGCGCCAAGCGTGGTAAACAAATCTCGGAAAGGTAGCGCGCGAAAATTCAATCCTGAGGCATTCGGCAGTGATGAAGCTGCAGTTGCAGATGCGGACGATGGTCCCACGCCAGGGTGGTCCGAGGACGATGGCTTGGTGGTGGACGCAGTAGGGTCATTGTCGGCGGCAACGAACGCCTCGAGAATGGCTGGCGTCGCCATGGCTTGGGCGATCGCCCGCTCCCGGAGCCACACGGCGTGGAGAGCCATGCGCTGGCGTCGCTGCCACCACAGAAACAGACCCAGCGGAGGGAGCAGCACGACCAGCGCGTTGAAAGCGAGACGCACGAGCACCGTCAAGGCGTAGAGCGGGGTGAGCAGCGCATCACCACCGGCCACAGCAGCGGCAGTGCTAGTGGCATTATCAGTGGCAGTTGTCGCAGTAGTAGCAATGGCGGCGGTACCAGTCATCGTGGTGCGGTAGTGCGCCTGGAGCAGCAGCCAGAACGGAGCGACGATTGGCAACGGAAGCCACTCTGCCCACCAGCGCCAGTCTGCATAAGAGTGATGATCACTCGAGCTGATGGCAGTCGTGGTCGTGGTCGTGGTCGTGGTGGATGGGTCTGGACTGACTTGCGGCGCGAACGGCGACAGGCTCAGCGCCAATGCAATGAGAAACAGAGCCAATGCGAACCGCAGCCAAAGCGACAAGGACAGCGACAACGCCGAACCTGACGCTGATGGTGATGGGACCAATGATGATGATGATGATGAAGCTGCTGCTGGTGGTGGTGGTGGTGATGGTGGTGGTGGTGATGATGAAACGTTCGCATTCGCATTGGGATGATTCTGGTGACTACGACTCGTATTGCTCGTACTACTACTGCTGTTCGGATTGCTGCTGCTACTACTATGACTACCACCAGTGCTATGGTGACTGTGGTGATGCTGCCGATGGCGCGCGTGATGATCGGTGGATGCCGGTGCGCGACCGTGCGTGCTTCGACTCCGTGGCTTGCTGTCGACCATGCGACCGGCTTTTCCCTTTCCCCCTGACAAAGGAACAAACTCGAAGCAAAGAATAGACAGACAAAAAGCAAAAAAAGAAACGAAGAAAGAGCAATGAAGAGCGATAGAGCAACGAAAAGGATCATCTATGGGATGCGGTACATGGGGGCATCCGAGGTTACAGTACGATCAGATAGGAACGATGGCACCATCGAGATGGCTTGTTCAGGTACGAAAGATCTTCTGCAGCAAACAAAAAACAAAACCATGTGGCTGACTCGGAGCGTTGACCTTTTCGTCGTTGTTTTGGTCTTCCTTTGTTTGTGGGTGACAGCGTCAAGAAGAACACAAAACAAGATGTGGGTACGACTTTGCACTTTGGGTGACCTCGAAAGAACGACTCCAAACAACGCATATCATGGGGCAACAACGGCCTTAATTTAGTACTGTCCGTGGTCGGAAGGTCGTAGGCGGTGGTGACACCTGAGGTCTCCCTTTGTCGTCCAGCTTGCAGGACCCGTTCGAGCTTGAGATTTGCTGGGACTACAGCTGGAACACGTAGTGCTGTGCACAGGCCACGTTCACAGCCACTAGAAACGACCAACATGCACCACGCTAGTCAAGCAAGTACGATGGCGGTAAGAGAGTAGAGGTATGCAGCCGGAACCCACTCTGCTGCTAAGAACAATAACATGCCAATCTACTCCATACGACGACGGACGTTGGTAGGACAGCCGCAAAATCAACCTTACTAGGAAAACAGGTGTGCCGCAACGATCAAGTGCGCACCCTTTAAATAGGCCACGATGAAATCATGAAGTCAAAATCAGTCCTCTATTCTTTCTTTCTTGCTTCCAACTCGGCGATTCGTTCGTTTCGCGTGTTTGTACTCTGACGTTGTGCTTGACAACTTGGTCGACTTCTTCTTTGGCCAAAGCGCTTCATCTAGTTATCACAGCCATACCATCTACCGTATTATTTTCGTTGCATTATACTTTCGCCTGATTGCCGAGCCGCAAAAGCAGTAGCAAAAATGCTGGGACGATCGTTGCCTACTGGACGGTTGCTCCTTGTTGGCTGCATTCTTGCAGGTAAGCGCGATTGTAGCCATGTGCCACAACCCGAAAATCCCATCGAAAGGCGCCTGGCGGTCGGAGGGCGTTAAAGTTGGGGTGGCGAGCTGCCGTCGAATGATTCATGCACGTTTGTTTCAACATCATTTTTCCAAATTCCGTCACCATGATGCACGAGGGTACGCAAATGGGAGGAACAGCGCCCTCCAGCAGTAAGAAAAATCAGGAGGAGGAAGAAAAAAAAAAAAAAAGGGAAGAAACCAACTTTTTTCCACGCATCCTACTCGTTCACAGGCCTCCCCCCTGGCGGCCATCACCTTTCCACTTTTCGAGCTCCTCGTCACGACAAATAAACCATGCACTTACTTTCTCCCCGTTATTCTGGCGCTTGAAAATTGTTCACAGCGATGGCGATGCCACTTTACGCCGCGAACGTCAAACCGGTCGGCATCCATTTTGATATCGAGCCTCAGTCGCTCCCCGAGTGGGCTGCCTCCCGCGAAAATGTCTCGGCACAGTTCCTAGACCTGATGGCCAAGGTTGTCAGCAACTGGGTCGTCTTCAACAACAACCCTGGATCGCTCGTGTTCGATCTGCCTGTTTGGTTGGAAGGCATTACAATCACCCGCAACGGCGTGACTGACACGGTGCTGAACTTTGTAAGTCGAGTGTTCATTGCGAGTGCTCTGTGAGGAAGGTGGTTCGGAGGGAGGCAAAAGGGATTGTCAGGAAGGGGGAAAAAAAAAAAAAAAAAGTCGAAAAAGTCAAAAAAGAAGTTCGCAGCCCGACAGGATCGAACTGTCGACCTTGTGATTAACAGTCACACGCGCTGCCGGCTGCGCCAGGGCTGCTGAACGAGAGCACTCTTGGGCAAAACATCATAGGAGTCGTGCAATGCGTCGAGAAAGAAGCAAAAAAAAAAGCAAAAAAGGTCGAAAAAGCCAAAAAAGAAGTTCGCAGCCCGACAGGATCGAACTGTCGACCTTGTGATTAACAGTCACACGCGCTGCCGGCTGCGCCAGGGCTGCTGAACGAGAACACTCTTGGGCAAAACACCATACCAGTCGTGAATTGAGGCAACCGAAAACTTGCACTGACTTTTTGTGCTGTTCTGCTCTTTTTTTTTGCAGGCGGTCAAGCAACTGCCCATGATCAACTGGATGAACTTTCGCGACAACATCGATGGTGAGTTTCTATTGGTTCCCATCACAAGCTTTTGCTCTTTTCGCACAATCTCACGCACCGCACAATTGAACCGATTGCGCCGGTCGAACTGCAATGACAGCGCTCAAAACCAGCACGGTGGAGGAAGTCAACTCCTGCCAAGCCAATAACAAGCCGTACACGGTGGGTCTGGAGCTCCAGAATGTCAACTACCCGCCAATCACCTTTTACGAAGAAGGCGTTGCCACAATGAAGAGTGCGATGCTGGACATGACCCAATTCTACAGCGCACAAACCCCGTCCCTGTTCAAAGGTACAGAGCGCCATCAAAAGCAACGCCAACCAAAAACGACACAAGCACCAACCACGTACACGCACTCAGTTGCTGATGATCTCTCGCGTTGTGTTGTTGTTGCTTGAATTCCAGGAATGGTCGTCCACGCGTACCGCGACTTTGCGCTGGCCAATTCCTCGACAATTCCCATGCCAACGGCGGACATGCCAGCAATTGTCTACTACTGGGAGTGGAACAAGCTCGTCGACCCCGTCGAGCGTCAAGCAGAATTTACCGCCATCAAGGCGCTGCCACTCCGCGTCACCACGCTGCTGCTGGAAAGTGAAACGCTTGTTCTCTGGTATCAACAGCTGCTGCAGAACATTCTCAATGATGCCGCCACCTTCGGATTCCAAATCGAGCTGACAAGCGGCATGGCGCGCTGGGCACTGCCCAACATGCACTCGTACGTTCTGCGCGTGACTGAAGCCACGGCGTCTTTCATCAAGTACGGCGTGCTGGGTGACTACAACACCGGCCTTCCCGATGACGATGTTCCCGACAACATTTCCGCCAATTCAGGCCCTGTAATTGTGCCAAAGAGCACCACACCGGTCGTGGCCCCGCCAAAGAGCACCACACCGGTCGTGGCCCCGCCAAAGAGCACCACACCCGTCGTGGCCCCGCCAAAGAGCACAACACCAGCGGTCGTTCCGCCAAAGAGCACCACAACGCCGCCTCCCCTCAAGCCCCAAACCAGCTCTTCAGCTCCAACTGGCAGCGTCGTCGTTCGTGAAAACACCCAGCTCGCTGGAAATGCGGCCGCTGGTCTCCTCCCGTCTCTTTTCTTGGCCACGGTGGCGCTCATCTTGGGTGCGGGCGCGCAGCGAATCATGTTGTAATTTTTTTGTTGCGTTACCAAATGCTGTTGTTGGTATGGAGAATATCTTGTTGGTTTGTTGTTTTCTGCATGAAATAAATAACGCCAAAGCATAGAGCTGCATGGCAAAAGATAGCATCAGATTCTTGACCAGTCGCAAAGCCGCAAGACGAGACTATGGGTTGGGTTTGTCGTCGTCGCCAGTCAACATGGGAATGCCGTTGGAAAAGGAGTAGTTCAATACTGGCATGGCGACCAACGCCAAGTACGTCTGCAGAGATGCCTGTGGAGGTGGATTGTCGTGAGAGGCAGGAAATCAACTCAACTTTCCTCGTTATCAACGGAATGTCCCTACATGCGCATCATTGGCGGCATACTCTTGCATCTCCCAAGACAATGGCGCTTCTTCCCAATTGCCCAGTCGCAGCTCGGAAGACTTGTCTAACAAACAATTCAGCTGCAGTGCACGACGAGAGGCGTCAGAATCGTGCTCAACCCTTCCCCCCTCTCTTGCAGCTGTTCCAACGACCCCCCCCCCAAAACAATGCCGTACCGTCTTTTGGACAAGAGCTTGAAGAGACCAACGTGTTCTGAGCGGCACGACGCGCACGGCGGCGAGCTCCTCCAAATCCACTGCACCGTTCACTTTGAGCGAGTAGTCGCGTACGAGACGAGTCACGTCGTTTTTGATGCCCACTCCCACCTTGGCAATGCGTGAGTCAGCCAGCAGCTCCTGCAACGCAGGAGGAATGCCTGAGAGTCGAATACCAGCACAGTAAGCGCGCCAGGTCGATCAAAACGAAACGCCTGCATGCTCAGTTCCACCACAACACCAGCTACAGTGGTGCAGCACCCACCTTGCATCTGTATGAGATGAAACAAGTAGCACGGGCCATTTTCAACGGCCAGCTGCAGGAGGGCTGTCGGCCGTGCCTTTTGACCGCGAATGAAGGGTGCAAACCATTCAATGTCAAAGCCCAGCGCAGGTGCAACCTGCCCGTCGGCGCCGTCTTGCCCTTCAGTACTCAGACGCGATACTAACTGCGACATCAAGTCTGCGCATTGGATTTGGCCAACCTCAACGTCTGTAATGTAAACCACAGAGCCGGAGAACTGAAACCGCGGCAATCCGACTTCGAGTTGCGGGCTGCCAGTCGTCTCATCCTTGAGATTGGTCATTGAGCTTGCAGCAGACCCTTCCGTTGTGAGCGTCGGCGCCACCGCGGGTGCCGATGCCCACGGGAGCGTGCGTCGCTTGGAGGCGGCCTGGACAACCTGCTGCTGGTCGTCTCCCTGGTCTCCGACGGTGGCCTGAGTTGCCGTCGCTTGATAGGGAGCAGAAGCATCTGCCATGTAGAATGTCGCAGGCAGGACTCGGCGGGGTCTCGCGCTGGCGCCTGGTTCCGATGCCGGTGTTGGCTGCGAGCAATCTGCTTGCAATCCTACCAGCAGCGCGTTCAGCGCGGCATCCGACTCAAAGTCCGAGCACGGTTCGGAAATGTCTACTTGAACAGAATCGCAGCACCCAAAAGCGAGGAGAGGGAGAGTGAGCTTTGGGTTTCAAGCATTCGATTTGAATTGGCTCAGGTTTTGGCTGTGTCTCGCTCAGGCTTTTTGGTTGGTCATCGACAACCGCTCCAGCCTGTCTGTCTGGCATTACCTTGAGAAAGCAATGGCGACATTAAACCTGCGGCATTTTGCTGAATGGTGGTTGTCGAGCACTCTGTGGTATCGAGATCTGCATCTGCAGAGGTTCGCTTCATGTGGCTGAAAAAGAGCGCAAATCTCTGAAAGACGACTGGATGCAAATGACAAGCTAAGCTGAAAGTCATTCTGCTGCAAGAAAAAAAGGGGTTCTAGTCATCGTATTATCAGGTAGTTGTTTTCTTGCAACGGTCGCGCGACCCAGCAAGATGCGATCGGACTTCGCGCGTTATCCGGCACCCGATCGCTTTATCCCGGTCGATTTCTGCACCTGCATGCGCCAGTAATGATTCAGTTGATGCTCCGGAGAGAATCGGAGCATAATTCCAGGCACGTTGCTTGGGCGAGGTGGACTACCCTGCGTGTTACCCCCGAAGGGAGACGGATTGTGATTTGTAGTGATGTCGCCGCACTGCCGCTTTTCAACCCCCAATGCATGAACGCAGGAGAAGTTAGCCATGGATGCAGTGGATGCCCGTGTCCTGATTGTACTGCACACACTTGCAGCCTTATCGACTGTGGTACAGATGCAAATTGCACACACAGCCAGCGCTCATTGAAAATTAGCCACTCTATCTTTTTGTTGTTGTTCTTTTAATTGTCTGTTCGTTTTCCTTCTTCAGCCTCACAACCGTAAGCAAGACTTTTTTTTCCCCTTCGCTCGGTTTTCCATTCAACTCTCCCTCCCAAAATTTTTTCCCACCCAGCGGGCTTTGATGCTACATCAGTCGCGAAGCACACAATGGAAAGCCGACGCATCCACCTCCTCGAGTTCTGTCGTGTCGCGGTGCGGTTTTTTTTTTTTTTTTTTTTTTTTTTCGTTGCCTCGTTGTGGAGATAGCGGTAACGACTTAACGTCGGTGCTATGGCCAGGTTTTCCTCAATAGATGCAAGAGTGCAGAGGAGAGTGTTTGTCTTCTCGAAGATTTACACTACTGTAGACGGGAGGCGCGTCGTTGCCGTTACCGTAAAAATTTGTCGACCGCAAATTTCGTTTAAATTTCGAGGTTGCCGCAAATATAATTTCAGCGAAAAGCATTGCAGCACGGCAGCGCTCGTACTGGAGACTTTAACAACGGAAGAGTTGGGGGGTTTTCATCAAGGAAGGGGGAGAGAGACGGAGAGACGGAGGCTGGAGCAGAGAGAGAGAGAGAGAGAGAGAGAGAGAGAGAGAGGAGAGAGAAGAAGAGAGAGAGGGAACCATTGTTTGACGTGTCGTTTATTCAAAAAATCCTGCCGATGACTAATAAAGTCCGCGGTTTGGCCTTTTTGTTTGGCAACAGCGCAAAAACATCCCCATGTGATTATCACTCATTCAGCCACCAGGCTTATTTTCAATTGGTGATCTTTTGTACTGCTTGAAAGAGAGGAAGGGGAAAAAACTAATACAAAAAGGGAGGAACGAAGCGAAGGGGAAGTGTTGTTGGGGATTTTGTTCAACTGGATAATTGCCCATCGAACATATGTTTGAGCACTTATTAGTCAACAATCACTGATAACATAACGGAATTCCCCAACGTTTTCCAAAATACAAAAACAAGCTCAAAAAGCCATGACTTGCGCATCAAGTTTTGTTTTTTGTTTTGTTTGGTGGTTGTTGTTGTTTGGGGGGATTTTTACAGCAAAGCACTGGCAATTTCGCTATCATGGCTCCCTTGCCCCTCCATTCACCTCTCCATTGCAATCTCGCACCGTGCTCATTGTCAACAACGCCTCTTGTTGTCGATTGTCTAAAATGGCAATCGGGGATTGTTTTGTTTTTGGATTTAATTGCGCGGATTAATGATTTTCGCATTTTTTATTTATTTATGTTGTGATTTTTTTTTTTTTTTGGGCCTTCGACACGTTTGCCCCGATGCCGAACTTGCGCGCCCTCTTCCTGTGTGAATCTGGGGCCGCGATCGGCTTTGCGTCTGTGGGTTGACTCGTCGAATACTCCGTCCCGACTTTTCCCACGGCGCTGGTTTTGGTTTTTTTTTCACACAAACTGTACCAAGAACAACACTTCTCACTCATATTTTTGTCCTTTTTCGTTTTTCGTTCGGTTCGTGATCATCGTCTCCCCCCCCCCTTTTTTTTCAGGTACTCGGATTTCACCGTCGATTTTCTCCACCACCAAAAAAAAGACCGGACGCAGGATGACGTTGCGACTGGCAATTCTACTCGTTGTGCTGATGGGCGTTGTTCGCTTCGCTCAGGCACAAACGGCTTCGTGTTCGAACGCACCTGCGTTCACCGGATCCAGTGCGGCGCGCGCATATACCGGATCCATCGGCCAGTATAATGCGCCGTGGGACAGACCTCAGAGCGCGGGCACCGGTGGCGCAAAATGCTTGACTTGGCAGTATACTCCCCTAACTGTAGGAACCATCTACATGACCACCTGCGGCTTGGCGTCTGACGATACGATCATGATGATTTCGAGTGGCGGTTGTGTCAACAATTTTGGCACGAATCTCAACCAGATGGCCGACGACAGCTGCAGCCTCCAATCAACCCTGTCATTCCCTGCCACTGCCGGCACACTCTACTACTTGCACTTGTGCAGGTACACTTCCTCTCGCACCGATACAGGCTCCGCAGGACTGGCCAACGGGAATGTCGTGTTTAATTTCCAGTGCCCTGCTGGCATGACGGATCACGATTCGTTGCTTGAGACAGCCTGTGTTGCCTGCGGCGCGGGCACGGACACTTCAACCGGAGCCAAGGCTGGACCCTGCACCAACTTTAACGTTCCTGCGGGCTCGTTTGATCACGATTCCAACTCTGCCACCGCGGCGATCACTTGCCCTCCTGGAAACTATGCGCCCGCAGCCGGCACGACGTGCACCACATGCGGCACTGAAACATGGGACCATGATTCGTCGTCTGCAACTGCCTGCACTTCTTGCACGTCCGCATGCTCTGCTGGTACTTTCCAGTCCCAGGCGTGCACTCCCACGAGCAACCGCGCTTGCACTTCCTGTACTGCCGTCACCTCGTGCGCCGCCTCGAGCACAACATGCACATCGAGCACGGACTCGCGCTGCTCGACTTGCGCCGCGAACTTTTACAAAGTGGCGGGCGCCTCGAGCGACACGTGCCAGGGCTGCACTGCGGCCTGCACCACAGGAACTTTTGAAACAACCCCTTGCACGACGGCAAGCAACCGAGTGTGCACGGCGTGCCCAGCGATCGCCAACTGTGGAGGCACGCTTTCGTGTTCGTCCAGCAGTACCTCTCGATGCACTGCGTGTGCCAGCAACTTTTACTTGATTGCTGGAACCGGATCCACACCCGATCGCTGTGCTCCTTGCTCGGGCAGCTGTGCTGTCGGTCAGTTCCAAAGCGCAGCGTGCGGCGCCGCAGCTGATCGCGTCTGCACCACATGCACGTCCGTTGCAAACTGTGTTGGACAAGTGACGTGCACGACAAGCGGCAACTCACAGTGCTCGGCGTGCGCATCCGGCTATTATCGGACGACTGTTGGCGGTGCTGATGTCTGCTCGCCATGCGCCAGCACATGTGCACTGGGCCAGTTTGAATCGGTTGCTTGCACCACGTCGACCAACCGAGTTTGCACTTCGTGCACATCGGTCTCAAACTGCGCATCTCAGCAGACCTGCTACGGTGCTGGCAACACCCGCTGCTACACTTGTGCGACGGATTTCTACTTGACTCTGCGCTCAGGAGTGTCTGATGTTTGCACTGCGTGCGCGTCTTGCGGTGTGGGCAACTTTTCGCTGTCCCCATGCAGTCCATCCGTCGATCGTGTTTGCGGAGTCTGCACTGCCATTGGCAATTGCAATGTGCCGGTTTCCTGCACCTCGCCAATCAACGGCCGCTGCTCTGCCTGCGCTTCGGAGCATTACCTGGTGCCCGGCTCTTCTGACGTTGCTCTGCCATCTCAAGACGCGTGTGCGGCGTGCGACACCTGCGAGGTTGGCACGTTTGAGTCGCAAGCGTGCACGCATGCCACCAACCGAAACTGCACGCAATGCACACCGATTGAAAACTGCGCTCAAGTATCGTGCACCGACACCACCGACTCTGTGTGCGTACAGTGCCCCGTCGGCACGTTCTACAATACAACGAGCGCGACGTGTCACTCGTGTCTCGAGTGCGCCTCCAACGAGTTTGAGGTGGTTGCTTGCACCTATCTGACCGACCGCACGTGCAGCGCTTGCACCAACGTGACGAACTGCGCTTCTGTGACTTGCACTTCTCTGGATGACTCGATTTGCGAGACTTGCAAGTCCACCACGTACATTTCGCCAAACGCAACTGCGGGTGACGCCGAGCAATGCTTGGCTTGCGCGGCTGTAGCCGACTGTGCTTATGCGAACGTGGTGTGCACGAACGCGACGAACGCTCGTTGCAGCGTTGCAGCAGCGAGCTCGATCGACAAGGCTGTCATTATTCCTGTGGTGGCTGTTGCTGGTGTGCTCCTGCTTGTCCTCATCCTCGTGCTTGTTCTGGTTGCGCGCCGCCGCCGCCGCAATGCCCGCAAGCCCGAGGCTGCTGTATCAGCTCGGCGCACAACCTCTGACCGTGTGGACCTTCCCATGTCCACGATAGCCATGCTGGCGAATCCTCTTTCTGATCATGGGAGCGAATCGGGCATGTACATGGAGGAAACCTATTCTCCTATGCACGTCAACGACGCAGGGCCCAGCGGGAACCCTGTTGCTTCCGCGAAAATGGCGGAATTTCTGGCTCAGGGCGATAACAACTTGTACGATTCGCTTGGCGGTGGCAAGTTTGGCTTTGCACCACACGGCGCATCCGGGGAAGAGTTGTACGACGACATCCGCCCCCCACCGCCGGCAGACCCGTTGTACACCAACTCAAACCACAACCTCGTTGAAGAGGAGCGCTCTCCCGACTATGAAGCGCCGAGCTCCAGCTCCCCGGCTGGACGACTGTCTACCGCCGCCTCCTCCTCGGCTTACGAGGATCCGCACGTCAAGCAGTCTGCTGAGGCTGGCGAGGCTTCCGCCGAGGGTGTTGTGTACTCGCATGTCGTGCACGAGGCTTAGAGCTTGCTCTTTGTTTTGATTGAAATCCTGAGTTTTCCACTGTTCGTCCAATGTAAATGCTGTGTGTGTGTGAATGAACGCGTTGTTTGATTGAAATTGAATACATTCTTTTGCCTGTAACTGTTGATACTTTTGCGTGTTTTGTACCTTGGGGAGAGGGCTAGCGCTGGGCAGAAAGTTGCATGCTTCAAAAAAGGGCTTCTCTGTAGCAATCCTGTTTGTCCAAATCATGTCATGGTCGCCATGTGCACTTATTTTTGTGGGACTTTGCAAGTTTCTCGTGAATTGGTAGGTCGTAATATGGATGAACAAACCACAAAAACAACACCCGGGTGCTTGCTTGGGCGCCGTCAGCGATCAAACACAGCAACAGACAGCGTTCGTCTACAATCGAGGAGCGATGAAGGCAGCAGCCAAAGTCACCAGCGGAGATGCCGTCGGAAGCAGCGGTGGCATGGCGGCGGCGCCTGCAATATCGAGATGCGAATAGGCAATCGGTTGCGTCGAGTCCAAGCCGTGCTTGTCGAGGCCGGAGGCAACCACAAGGAAGGCACCAGGGTATTGGTGGCCGCGAGGCGTGTTGACGCTGGGCTGGGTGTTGGCTTGAACGACGTCTTCGGCAGCGTTTTTGGGCGCAACAAAGTCAAAGTCTTCGCGACGCAGGCTGTGTTTCGGTGATTAGAAGACCGAAGGAGTCAGAACATGGTGAGCAACAGAAATGGGCAGAACGATAAACAAAGTGAAGGCATCACAACAACGAGGGTCACCGACCAAACTTGTAAGAAAAACAAAAAAAGAAAAAAAGCAAGGCACAAGACAGAGACAGAGACATCGCCAATTTTTTTTTTTAAAAAAAAAGCCAAGCAAAGCGACAATGCGACTTACGTAGAAACCTCGAAGGGATCACCCCAGACGTTACCGGCATCGAACAGTCGGCCGTGGACGTTGGCACGATTGGCGGGTCCGTTGTCCATGACGGCAGCGTAGGGTCCGTACGCACGGTAGGCGTGGCCGGTCAGGGTGGCGATGGTGAAGAGGAAAGGGTTGGTGTGCGATGGCGCAATCTCCTTCATGTGGCAGAGCAAATCGGCCATGACCATGCGACCTTCAGCATCCGTGTTGCCGATGCGGACGCGAGCTCCAGAGCGGGCACGGATGATTTCGTCGGAGACGTAGGCATCGGCGCCGATCGAGTTGCGAACCATGGCGAGCTTGGCAATCACGGCGACGCCCTTGGGCTGGAGGAGCGAAATGGTGCGGAACAGGCCAGCGATGGCGGCCGCGCCACACTTGTCGCGGTGCATGCCAGCCATGGCGCCACCAACTTTGAGGTCGGCACCGCCAGTGTCGTACGTGATGCCCTTGCCGACGAGCAGGAGCGTTTCCTTGATCTCACCGGCAGGCACGTACTCGAGCTCAATCACGCGGGGGCGATGGCGCTCGACGCACTGGGAGGCACGACCCACGGCGGTCAGCAGCGGGTACTCTTTGGCGAGGACGCTCTGGTCGGCAATTACAGTGCACTTGACGTTCGCGGCGCTCTTCAGCGACCCGCAAATGTGCTCGGTGGCAAGCGGGGGAGCGGCGCGCTCCGGGTCGCTGCCGCCAATGTCACGCGCAAGAATGCGACCAGCCTCGACGGCGTTGACGTAGCTGACCAGGCGCTGGGGGTCGGCGACGCGGTTGGCCTCGAGCGGGAGCCAGCCGAGCTCGAGCACCTTCAGGCCAAAGTTGTTTGCCTCGTTCTCGCTCTCCCGCGCCTCAAGCGGCACGTACGAAGCAGCAAGCGCACCGAGCAATGCGACCTCGACGTGCTGCGTGTAGCGGTCGTGGGTCGCGTCATCGGTCACGCTCTTGGTCGACTGGTAGGGAACGACCGTGATGGCCGGGCGGCGCGCGCCTGCCTTGACTGCGCGCTTGATTGCCCTGTCTGCAGCGTCTGCGTAGCGCCTGACGTCGTCGTAGTCGCGGGACAGCGGGCCAGTCGACGCGAACAAGAGTCGCTTGCCAAACGCCTTTTCGGACGCGACCACCGTGACCTCTGTCGATCCGACCGCCGCGTCGATGACACGCGCAGCATCCAAGTCGGCCTTGACGAACTCGACCGGCGCAGGGAAGGGCGCTGAGGTCGCTGGCGTCGTACCAGCAGCAGCAGCAGCAGCAGCAGAAGGGTAATTTGGTGAGATCACAATCAAAGCGTCGTAGTCCGCAGTCGCTCCAGTCGCTCCAGTGGCAGCAGTCGCTCCAGCAGCAGTCGCTCCAGCAGTGGGGAAGGCCTTGACGAGGGTGACGAGCGTGTGCTTGGCGACGGCAGCGAGGCCGCGCTCGGCAGAAAAGGTCGGCAGAAGAAGCGACATTGTTGAAGAGACTCGAGAGTGAGCCTTTTTTCTATTGGATTTCAAACAGTAGAAGAAGAAGCAAAGGCAATGCATTATGCAGCGTCATACAATATTACAATATTACAAAATGCAGTCCTTCTTTCTTTATTCCAATACAAATCTGCACTACAAAACGATGGGTTTGACGATTTCGTCGCTGCTGACTCGACTGTGGTCGACTGCCGAGATGCGCATCCTGATGGGTCAGTCAGTCTTCACTCACAGCGACCACAGCGACCCCAGCAAAATGCTGACAACAGCCGCGGAGGAGGGTCGGGAGGTGGGGAGGAGGAGGAGGGGTGTTCGACGACGTGGCTCGAAAGCGCGTCGAGTCGAGTCAGCGTTGGAAGCGAGAACACCTGCGCGCCATAGCGTGTCGTGCCGTGGTGTGGTGTGCTTGGACGCTGAGCCGAGCCGGCGGGAGAAGCGGTTGGAGCTGGAGTTACATTACGGCAGGACGTTGGGGTTGGTTGAGCCTGTTCGCTTATGAATGAGCGTTACTCAATGTGTGATGCTTGTTCAACTTGCTCATTGATGTGTATGGGTGTATGGGTGTGTGTGCGTGCTTGTGTCTGCGGGGGGGGCGCTTTGGGTGGTGGTTGGTCGTTGTGTAGTTGGCCTCGACGCCGCTGGAAAGACGACCATTCTGTACAAGCTCAAGCTCGGCGAGGTCGTCACGACCATCCCCACCATTGGTAAGACACGCTCATCAGCGCAGGCTCGTTGTTGCAGGCTTTTGCAGTTTCGGAGGTTGTTCGAGCTGGCATTCCGAGCAAGCTGGCTTTGCTGTGCCTTTTCGTTCAACTTTTTGCTCATACACCTGAGCGATTTGTGAACCATGTCAGGCTTCAATGTCGAGTCTGTCGAGTACAAGAATGTCAACTTTAACGTATGGGACGTTGGTGGCCAGGATAAGATTCGTCCCCTGTGGCGACATTACTTCCAAAACACTCAGGTTTGTATTTTGGCGCGACGTGACGCGGAGCGCTTCATCCCATCGCTCAATGCACTCTGGTTGTCTGTAGGGTCTTATTTTCGTGGTCGACAGCAATGATCGCGAGCGTATTACTGAGGCTGCAGCCGAACTGCAAAAGATGGCAAGCGCATTTCTGATCCAGCTTTTGAGTTGAAGCAATAACAAATTGCGCTCACCGCGGGAATTGTAACAACTCTGCAGCTTGATGAGCCCGAACTTCAGAATGCCGTTGTGCTCGTGTTTGCCAACAAGCAAGATTTGCCCAATGCAATGACTACTTCTATGGTTACGGAAAAGCTTGGTCTGGACAAGCTCACTTGCAAGGTAAAATTATGCCCAATCGTCCTGTGCTTTTATTCTTGCTATTGCAGAAGCAATTGCTCGAACCTGTTCTGACGGTGCACTCCTTGCCTGTTTTGATTTGCGACGGGCGCAGTGGTCTGTTCGTGCGGCTTGCGCCCAGAGCGGCGAGGGCTTGTACGAGGGCCTTGATTGGCTTTCTGCGCAGCTTGCCTCTCGCTAGGCCAATAATTAGCCAATCGCACTGTCGTTTAGAGTCAAGCAAAAAAAACAAAAAAAAAAAAAACAAAAAAAAACATCTATTCAATTCGATGCCATCAACATTGATATGTCTCGTTATGTTCATGTATTTAGTAGGAAGTTTGAGTTGTTCCAGCCCAGTCCTTCCCTTCTTCTTTGACAAAAAGAACAACGATGCAGCAACATTTACTGCGACACCACCAACCCAAACGCTGTGATTCGCCGCATCCTTTTCATCCTCAAGCCAATGTAGCCGCCGCAACCACAACATTCAAGCAGGAGCGGTCCTCGGGTGACCAAGTTGAGAGCAGTGACACTGTTCACTGGTACTCGAGGTACTTTTGGATGGTGTTTTGAACCGACGGACGCTTCAGATGTGTTGCTGGGCGATTCCTCGATAATACGCTGGGAAATGGTCAAAAACTGTGAAGCATGCTCGACGCTGCAAAATCAAGCGCTCATCCAAACACACCTCGTCGGATGTCACTCTGCGAGTCGAGCACAGCAACAAAGTTGAAGTGGTGTTTATTGTGTGTGTGTGTGTGTGTGTGTGTGTGTGTGTTTTTTGTCGCTGGATTTCTCTACTTTTTGTTTTCTGAGCGACGTGCTAACAAATTTCGTTTTTTCGCATTTATTGTTTGATTACTTTGTCATTTTGGTTTCGACAGCAGCACTCTGGTCAATCGCGTGCAACGTGCAGGAGTCTTTACAAACTCGAGTACCTTTGTCAACTGCAGCTTGAAAGACACTCCTGCCGCAGGTAAAAAAAAATCCCGCTTGGGATGGACGAGAGGAAGGAGCGAGCGAGGGGAAAAGGAAGGAATTGTAGCGTTCTTTCAACGCCACCGTGTTTTTGTTTTTTTTGTTTCTCCTTTCTCATTCCTTGCACCCATCCTCATTTGTTGTGCTGTCGTAGTCATGCGTGCCTCGGCGGGACTTGGAGACTGCCCTACCCGCGAGCAGCTGGCAGAATTTGTGGCGCAGCATTTTGAACGCCCGGGCGTGGAAGTTCGTCAATGCCTGCCCTCGGACACGCCGGCCTTTGTCCGAATCCCGACGGCCAACAATGGGTCGCCTAGCATGTGGGCGGAAGGCGCAGGCCCTGGAGGCTCGCCTACATCTGGTGGTCGCCGAAGCTCGTTCAGCGCCCTGACATTTGGCACGATGAAACGGTCGGGTCGTCGCTCGAGCGTTCCTGTGAACAATTATCGTTCTACAGCTGCCCGGAGCTCGTCGCATGACCAATCAAGCAGTGCTCATGAAGCTGCTCGCCCAGAAGCCGCTCCCACTGAAGCGGCTCACACAGAAGCCGCCCGCCCGGACCACGCTTTGCATCCGGGAGGTCTGCTACCCGGCCCGGCAGTGACGCGCGCTCCAACCACTTACGGCCGAGCGCTCTCCCATCACGATAGTGGCGCAGAGTCGGCCCCGCTCACCCATCCGCCATCCGGCTCGTCCAACGCGCCATCAGCCCCTAGCCCGCCTCCTCCTTCGCCCACGACGAAACACTCCAGCCCGCCTTCCAACCCATCCACATTGCACTCGCAGCGCGGACTCGCACCGTTGGCTCCAATCTCTACCATGATGGCGCAAGCTCGTTCGTCCTCCAAAAGCCACCCGATCGCGCGGCCGGTGGCTTCTCCAGCTCATGTCTCGTCGTCCTCACCTGCCCCGTCGTCCAACGCGATTCCTTACCACGTGCTCTCATCCTCGTGCTCTTGGCTTCGCCACTTGGTCGACACGCTATGCCGCCATGCCGTCGAAGGCATCCATCCCGAAGAGAGCGACTACGGCAGGAGCTCGCTGATTCCGGCACCCAACTGCTGGGTTACTCCCTTGCCGCTGGCAGCTGATCCTGCGACCAATCTGACGTACTGGGACACGCACCTGATGGTGACAGGCCTGATTGCAGCTGGAATGCACACGACAGCGCGTGGGATGGTGGAAAACCTCGCCGGCTCGGTCGAGCAGTTTGGCCATGTTCCGTTCCTCAACCGCATGTATGCCCTGCATCGCAGTCATCCGCCGTTGCTCGCGGACATGGTCATGCGAGTGGCATCCTCCTGGCCGGGAATCTCGCCCGCGCTGTTTGCAAGCTTGACGCATTGCCCAAGCATTGGACGCAGCACTTGCGCGTCGGCCATGTCGCGCCAGCCCTCGTCCCCTGCGCCGATTCCTGGCTCGCCCTCGGTCAAGACGCACCAACCCACCACAAGCTCTCCCACACCTGCGGCACTCGCCGACTCGGACTGCTGCAACTGGCTCGGTCACATTTACGCAGTGCTGCTCAAGGAGCACCACTTTTGGACGGTGAACCGAGCCTTCAATGGCACCGTCAATCGGCAAGTACCCGCGCCAGCAGTCCCACAAACGTCCATGGTTCACCGGGATGCACCAGCTCCGCCGTTTCTCAGCACGTACGGAGCTGAGCTAGACACGCCGCGGCCCGAGTGGCACACGGAAGACGTCGACTTGGCTGAGCGTCTCGAGCCGCACCCTGCCAAGCGTGTTCGCTTGTATCGACAGCTGGGTGCCATGTCTGAGAGCGGATGGACGCTGCCAAGCACCGAACCATCAGGCGAACGGAACGCCGCGAGCATGCAGTGGAATCCATTCGCGACTCGAGCCAGCCACTATCGCTGGCTGCCAGAGGACAACCCTGACGACCTCTCGCGGATCAATGTGACTGACATGATTCCAGTTGATTTGAATGCCTTGCTCTATGGCATGGAGGTCGACATGGCCTTGATTTGCCGCACGCTGCGCGGAAGTCGGGCTGGTCAGACGGACGCCATGTTCTACGAGCAACAGCTCAACCGCATGTCGCGCGCAGCAAACGAGCGCCGGTCGTCGCTCCATCAGGTGTTGTTCAATCACGAAACCAACAACTCCTGGCACGATTGGAGTACCCAAGAGTTTCGGCTGGCACATACAGACAAGCTGCTTGCATCCTCGCTCACACCCCTCTGGTGTGGTGCATACGACCAGCGACCAGACATTGTAGCCCAAGCGGTGGACAGATTGGCCCACCTCATTGATGCGGGTGGACCAGGCATGATTGAGACCGCGGGAGGCTTGCCAGAGGCGTTGGATGCCAAAACCGGACAGGTTCTTGACACCAATCCCTCAGACTCGCTCTTGCGCCCGCATGTGCAGTTGCTGATCATTGAGGGCTTGAATCGCGCGGCAGCCCACAGTCCACGCGCTGCTCAGCTGTCCGAGCGCATTACCAAAGGCTGGATGAACCGGTTTTGGAGGCTCTGGCGTCGCCTCGAGATGGAACGCGAAGCCGTGGAGCAGGAGTGTGACACCTCCACCAGCTACCATTCCGATCAGCGAGACTCGGGTCAGATCGATCCACTCCCCGACCATGTTGGCAAAATGTCAAAGTCGTTGCTCGCTGCTGCCCGCTCCGTCAACGCCTCGCATGCCAGCCTGGCCCTCCATCTCATCTGCAACTTTGATTCGCAGATGAGTCTTGTTCCGTTTTTCGAAGAGTAGGCTGAGGGCGGTTGAATGTTTCGTTTTTTTTTTTTTTTTTTTTTTTGTTGATGTTTTGAGCTTGTGATTATTGCCGCGAAAGTACTGTGACAAAACAGTGAATGCAGTTGTTCTGATTCCTTGTGGATGGGTTTCGTTGGAGTCTTAAATGCACTATTGTGCTGCAAGCACGAGATGGTAACTTTGTCGTTCATAGCAAACATGGGCGTTCTGGTCCTTTCTCCCCTTGACTATCGAGCTCAATGTATGCGTGGTTGAGCAGTCATCATGTTATCTATTCTAATATGGTTCAAATTCACCAACAAAATCTCACAAAAGCGAAGCTGAGAAGGTCGCGCCAATGCAAAACACCAAGATTTGAATCGTCTAGTAAGTTCGCTGGCACCAATCTCCCATGACAATAACAATCCGGCACCTACCTCCTGCAACGCCATTCTTGCAGCGCCGGACCTGCGAAAAGTACTTTGCTGGAATCGAGCCATTCTCCAGTCCAGGCGAGAGAATGACGTTGTTACTTGATCGGAAGAAAGGGATGCCGTCAGCAAGCGCTCGAGCCACATCCAAATAAATCAGCACAGTCACGTCCGAACGCATGCCTGCACGTGCACAGAAGGAAGCGAGCGAAGGTTTGTAAGCTCCAGAACAACATTCATACCCCATGCGCGCTCAGAAAGCCAAAAGCAAATAAACAAACCACTAATCACGCCGCTCGCTCCTGGAAGCCCAACGGCAAAGTGAATGTGGTTTCGTTTCATGCGCGACAACCCTTGGCTCTTGATGAGGTCCCAAGCGGCATCGTACGTTCCGTGCACAACGATGGGTGCATCTTCGCTTGCCGTAATTGGCGAGAGCTCGAGCGCCTCCACCTACACCGCATGAGAGCGTGAGTCACCGTGCAACGAGATCGGAATGGTGAATCATGCAACGTTGCACTTTGTACGCAGAGACCCACTTCGATAGTATGACCTTGGTTTGCTCGAATGTACAGCCTTGCAACGGGATTGTCATCAGTGATGCGCTCTTCCAATGCGAATCGCTGCTTGTCGCTGGACGTCACTGCCCGGCGCACGTCAGCCACCGTGTAAGCGCGGAAATCGGGAAAACCAAGAAGTACCTCGACATCAACAAAGCCTTCAGGGCTGATGGGAACGCCTGAGTGTGTGCCCGTTATGTAACCAGCCAACGTCAAAGCACTCGGTCAGCAAAATCGGTCCTTCTCGCACGGTCAAACCGATCAAAAGCTCAGAGCACATGCCTTGCTTGTGCGCACCATGGCGCAGAATGTACGAGAGCAACTTGGACAGCTGGACGTCTTGCTTGGCACTGGACGATCCGCTTGCTCCACCGCGCGTGGAAAAACCGCCGGCGCTACCGCCACCTCGACGCGACATGATTCCAACAAGTCAATGAAAGAGTGAACCTACAACCCAAACTGGGAGGTTGAATGATAATAATCTGACTCAAAACCCTGAGAGTGAATAGAACACGATCAACGCTCAATTTGTTTTGTTTTTTGTTTTGTTTTAATGCTATCAAAAAGTAATCAACGCAATGACAACGAAGAGCATGCTCCAGAGGCGGCAAGGGGATCGTGTCGACGGGGGTGTTTTTTTTTGGGGGGGGGGGAGAGATGTGTGGGGTGTATGTAGTTGGTTGCGGCAAGTCTAAAAAGGATGCAGTCAAGGCGAGATGCACCGTTTAAGCCTCGGCAATAGCAGATGCGTCCTGCTCGCCCTCAACGTGGTCGTCCTCAGCGGTTGCCTCTTGGTACTGCTGGTACTCGGAGACGAGATCGTTGAGGTTGGACTCGGCCTCAGTGAATTCCATCTCGTCCATGCCCTCAGAAGTGTACCAGTGCAAGAAAGCCTTGCGACGGAACATGGCAGTGAACTGCTCGCTAACACGCTTGAACAGCTGCTGGATGGCAGTGTTGTTGCCAATGAAGGTGGCAGACATGTTAAGACCCTTTGGCGGAACGTCGCAGACGGCAGTCTTGACGTTGTTGGGAATCCAGTCGACAAAGTACGACGAGTTCTTGTTCTGGATGGCAAGCATCTGGTCGTCGACGTCCTTCATGGAGATCTTGCCGCGGAACATGGCAGCAACGGTGAGGTAGCGGCCGTGGCGGGGGTCGCAGGCAGCCATCATGTTCTTGGCGTTGAACATTTGCTGAGTGAGCTCGGCGACGGTGACGTTGCGGAAGGACTGGACGTTGCGGGCAGTCAGAGGAGCAAAGCCGGGCATGAAGAAGTGCAGACGGGGGAAGGGCACGAGGTTGACGGCAAGCTTGCGGAGATCGGCGTTGAGCTGACCGGGGAAGCGCAGGCAGGTGGTGACACCCGACATGGTGTTGGAGACGAGATGGTTGAGATCGGCATAGTTGGGGGTGGTGAGCTTGAGGGTGTTGAAGCAGATCTCGTACAAGGCCTCGTTATCAATGCAGAAGGTCATGTCGGTGTTCTCGACCAGCTGGTGGATGGAAAGGGTGGCGTTGTAGGGCTCAACGACGGCATCCGAAACCTTGGGCGAAGGGACGACCGAGTACGAGGTGAGGATGCGATCGGGGAACTCTTCGTGGATCTTGGAGATCAGGAGCGTGCCGAGACCAGAGCCCGTGCCACCGCCGAGCGAGTGGGTGATCTGGAAGCCCTGGAGCGAGTCGCAGCCCTCAGCCTCCTTGCGAACGACGTCGAGGATGGGCTCGATGAGCTCGGCGCCCTCAGTGTAGTGACCCTTGGCCCAGTTGTTACCAGCGCCGCTCTGGCCAAAGACAAAGTTGTCCGGGCGGAAGAGCTGGCCGAGCGGGCCACCGCGGATGGCGTCCATGGTGCCGGGCTCGAGATCGACGAGCACAGCGCGGGGGACGTAGCGGCCGTTGCCAGACTCGTTAAAGTAGACATCCGAGCGCTCGAGCTGGAGCGGGTTGTCGCCAACGTACGTGCCAGTGCCATCGAGGCCGTGCTCGCCCGAGATGACTTCCCAGAACTACAATCGATGCACAGAAGAATCAAACAAAACGCAAAAAGTGAGGTAATGAAAAAATGAAAAAAAAAATGAAAACAAAAAATGAAAAAAAAAAGTTGAAAAATTAAAACAATTCAATAATAATAAATCAAATGGAAGCCACGCATGAAAGAAAAAAAAAAAAAAAAAAAGAGAGAAAAGAATGACGAGAGCGATCGTGAGCGAGAGTGAAGAGCCAGCGAAGGAGAGCCGCGCGAGGAGAGCCGGGTGCTGAAGCCGCGAACAGACCACCCAACGCACCAGAGAGCGACGCGGGGGAGCAGCGGGATGCACCGGCGAAGAGGGAGCGGAGCGAGAGCCGACGGGCGGCACGCAGCAGCGAAACGGAAAATCAACGAGATCACGCGGTGTTGCTGGTTTTGCATTTCGCTGCGACGCGCTCGCTCGGGCCAAGCGCAAAGCGAGGCGCGCCACAGTCCACGACAAGAATGTCACGAGAGTGGCAAAGACGAGGATGAAGGCGCAGGCGAATGATGATGGGGGGACACACCTCAAAGAACAAAACGCAGAGTCGCAACAACCAAAAAAAAAAGAAAAAAAAAAAAAGATCACTGTCGCTCGGCTCAGCAGAAGCGCGTTGTGCCGCGTTGCTGGAAGGCACCAAGCAAAAAGGCAGCAATGTGCACCAGCGCCGAGTGACGAGGCGAACCCCGCCCCCCTCCACCCTCACCGCGATGCAGCACGCAAATCAAACAATCTGTTGAAAAAAAAAACCAGAATTTTTCAACGCAATAAAAAAAAAAAAAAAAAAAAAAGCGCGGGCTTTTGGTTGTTTCAAAAATTTCGTTCGCTTTGACCGTTCGCGTTGTTCGTTGCCGAGTCGCGAGCGATTGGAGTCCTTTTGGCAACAACAGTGTGGATGCGGGGTTTCCTACCTTGGTGCCGATCTGGTTGCCGCATTGGCCGGTTTGGATGTGGACAATCTCGCGACCCATTGTCAAAGTGAGAAAGGTTTGTTTTTGGTGGTGGTGTTTGGAGAAGGAGTGAGCTGAGCGAGCTTGTGCCGTTTTGTGCTTGGCACAAAAATGGGAAATACATCACCCTAAGACAAAGGGAACAATCAGACAAACACGCAGGACAATGCCGGTGGCAAAAAGACGCAGCGACGCATGGACGCAGCAAAACGCAGGGAAGCAAAGCAGCGAGTCGCAGAACTCTTGCAGGTCCCCCCTCCTTTCCTAATAACCCCCGTTGCACTACTTCGAGCGCTGTTTTGAACAGCATTTGATTGGAGATCTTGGCGCTTGGTGTCCTGCCTTCGCGACGCTTTGTTCGCCGTTTATCTCCCGCCATTTCCCAAGTCCCGTTTTAGGAGTTTGACAAGTTCTGAACTCAGCGTGCTGTTGCAGCAGAATCTTCGCAGCGACGCACATCCAGGAGAATGGAGCTTCGTGGTGAGTGTCTCATCCATTCCAAGACGTTTGCTTCACTGCCCCCGATGGCTGACGGCAAATGACGCCAGCGTAGTCGAACAAACAAAACAAAAACGTTCTTTTTTTTGCTCTCGATTTTTTTTTTTTTTTTTTCGGCGCCACTCTTTGTTTGATTTTTACATTACAACCAGTTTTTTTTTTTTTTTTGTCTTTTTTCCCGCTTCACAATGCCTCGCGATATTATTGCCATTCAATGCGGCCAAGCCGGCAACCAGATCGGCACCAAGGTGCGCCTCCTATCTTTTATTTTTTGGGGGCATCGCTTTGATTCTCTCGCTTGTTCTCCATCTTCACTGTGATTCTGCCAGCAAGCAAAGAAAGCTTCGAGCTGTTCTTTTTGAAACGGTTTTCTTTTTGGATGCATTTTTGGCGGGCTTTTTTTTTTTTGTTTCGTTTTTTTTTTTTTGGTCTGTGTTTTGCAGTGATTTTCTTCGGTTCTGAGCGAGCGACGGGTTTCGCGCGTGGTTTTTGACACAACAGAGACACTGTCCATTCTGTGCTTTGGGAGGGGGGGGGATTGGAAGTGGGGATTCAGGGGAGGCTGAGGATGAAGAACAGAGATCTCTCGTCTCATGCCGCCCTTTGCTCCTCTTGCTCCTCTTGCTCCTCGACCGCCCATCCTCCGTTCTTCTCTTGAGGGCGCTTTATGGGAAGGCCTTGCTGGGCAGAGAAGAAACTGACTGTTGGCGTTGGGTCCGGCTGCTGGTGCAGGATTGAACTTTTGATGCAATCCAACCGCTATGCTCACTTGTACTTGGACCTGTGCTTTGACAAACGCGACCACACTTGCGACACGGAAACCATTTGTGCTTCATCAGTTCTGGGAAGTCATCTCGGGCGAGCACGGCATCGACGGCTCTGGCGTCTATGTCGGCGACAATCCGCTCCAGCTCGAGCGCGCAGACGTCTACTTTAACGAGTCTGGCAACGGCCGCTACGTCCCCCGCGCTGTGCTCGTCGATCTCGAGCCCGGCACCATGGATGCCATCCGCGGTGGCCCGCTCGGCCAGCTCTTCCGCCCGGACAACTTTGTTTTTGGTCAAAACGGCGCTGGCAACAACTGGGCCAAGGGTCACTACACTGAGGGCGCCGAGCTCATCGAGCCCATCCTTGACGTTGTTCGCAAGGAGGCTGAGGGTTGCGACTCGCTCCAGGGCTTCCAGATCACCCACTCGCTCGGCGGTGGCACGGGCTCTGGTGAGTCAAAACCGCTTTTTTGTTTCTGTGTTTCGTTTTGATTTGGTTGGTCGTGTGCGCTCGCCGATTTCTCTGTTTGCGATTTGCTCAAGGCGTTACTGTCCCTGTCAATGTTTCTCATCCTTGTCGCTGAATTCTTGGCGCTTGCCTTGTTCACCCATTTCCTCCCGCAGGTCTCGGCACGCTCCTGATCTCCAAGATCCACGAAGAGTTCCCCGATCGCATTCTCTCGTCCTACTCGGTCGTTCCTTCGCCCAAGGTTTCTGACGCTGTCGTTGAGCCCTACAACGCCACCCTCTCTGTCCACCAGTTGGTTGAGAACACCGACATGACCTTCTGCATCGACAACGAGGCCCTGTACGAGATCTGCTTCAACACCCTCAAGCTCACCACCCCCAACTACAGCGACTTGAACCATCTGGTTGGCAGCACCATGTCGGGTGTCACCACCTGCCTGCGCTTCCCCGGTCAGCTCAACGCCGATCTCCGCAAGCTTGCCGTCAACCTCGTGCCCTTCCCCCGTCTGCACTTCTTCATGCCCGGCTTTGCTCCTCTGACTGCCCGCAACGTCCAGTCCTTCCGCAACGTCACCGTCGCCGAGCTCACTCAGCAAATGTTCAACGCCAAGAACATGATGGCTGCCTGCGACCCCCGCCACGGCCGCTACCTCACCGTTGCCGCCATGTTCCGCGGCAAGGTTTCTATGAAGGACGTCGACGATCAGATGCTTGCCATCCAGAACAAGAACTCGTCGTACTTTGTCGACTGGATTCCCAACAACGTCAAGACTGCCGTCTGCGACGTTCCGCCAAAGGGTCTTAACATGTCTGCCACCTTCATTGGCAACAACACTGCCATCCAGCAGCTGTTCAAGCGTGTTAGCGAGCAGTTCACTGCCATGTTCCGTCGCAAGGCTTTCTTGCACTGGTACACTTCTGAGGGCATGGACGAGATGGAATTCACTGAGGCCGAGGCTAACATGAATGACCTCGTCTCCGAGTACCAGCAGTACCAAGAGGCCACTGCCGAAGATGATGGCGAGGAGGGCCAAGAAGTTGCTCAAGAGTAAAAAACAAACAAACAAACAAACAAAAAAAAAAAAACTTCTTGTCTGCAGTCTCTCCCGCTCGGTCTCGCCGATTTTTGTGTAGAGCGCTTTTGAGTTGAGTTGAAACGTTGTGGTTTGTGTTTTCTCTCCCCCACCCCTTCCTGGTTTGATTTTGGCGTCTGATTGGACGATTGTCTTGATTTTGTGTTCTTCCACCACTTCTCCCCCGTTGAATTTCCAGTTGATGTTGTTGAGCTGTGCCACCTGTCGGCAGCGTGCTGTTTGTTGCGTCTCCGGATTGTTTTTTGTCCGGGTTGTTATAAAAAAAAGAGTCATACATGTCTTTTTGACAGATTCCAACGTTAAAGCAACAAATCGTCCATCTCATCTCCTCTCTGCCATCGGTCCCCAATAACGTTATCTGAGCTCTTTTCGACTGGTTTGTTCCTTCAGTCTTTCCCTGGTGAGCGCAATGGCAGAGTTCAATACGAGCGCCTTCCTGCTGGACGAGTCTGGCATGGACGACCCCGCGTTCCTTCCAGCCGCCAATCCCTATGCTGTTGATGCGTCTGCTGCTCATGATGGCAGCACTGCCAGCGACCCCATCCACGCTGCTCAAGGCTTCCACGCCGCTCCCATTGCATTCGATCTGACGGTAACGACGCTCCCCGTCTCTCTCTCTCTGTCTCTCGCTCTCCTTTGCCCCAACTCCCCCTGTCGATCAGCATGGTGCTCTGGCAGTCTGATGCAGCATGGCTCGACGTGGGCCTTTTTGGGAAGGTGCAACTCGGGTTCACTCTCACTCACTCACTCGCTTGTCCTCGTGTGCGCCTCACTCATGTTCGGATGCTCGATCAATCCAGCCGACAGGAAGCATCCACGCTGATCCGCATGCCAAGTTGTCGGAAGTCCAGCAGCTGCATACTCAACGGTGAGCTTTCTCAATCGGATGAGTCTGAGCATCCAAACCCTCGCGTCTGAGACTCAGTTTTGTCTTTGTAATGGCGAACAATTGCACTATATTGTCATTTGTAGGGCTGCACGCTTTGCCATCCCCGTTGTGCAGGCGAAACCGGTAAGTCATTCATCTCGCTCTAGCTTCGAACCACGACAACGATGGCGATGACGACTACGACGACGATTTGTTCCTGAATTTGGCGCGATCGGAAACCAGTCGGTTGTTTGGAACCCGACAGATTACGCAAAGCAGCGGTATGCCAACAAGGCAGGAACTTTTTCAACTGGAATCGACCTATTGGCGCCTGCAGAACGCCAAAAGATTGAGGATCGCGCCAAGCGGTTTGGCAAGGTCTCCAACGTCACGAGCGATTCGCTGAAACAGGAAGAAGCAAAAATAAAGCGAGCTCAAAAGTTTGGCCAACTCAGGTATAGCGTCTACAGTGCGCCGCTCAACGCAATGAGGATTGAGCCAAGTTCAACTGACTTGCTTGCCTTCTTGTTGGTATGTTTCCATCTTGCAGTGCGATGGCATCGAACGATAGCGGAATGGATGTTGGTAAGCCCACGATGAGCCCAACGGATTCAGTCCGTGAGAGGAGGCTTCAATTGCTCACTGATGCCTTCCGGCACGGATATTCAGATGCGGGTGCGGTAAAGTTCGAGCCATCGGCTGCGGCGACCGTTCGTTTCGATGCCGTCTACATGTATGGTACAGACCAGATGAGCTCGGGAGATGTACTAAAGTACTTTGGCGAGTACGGCCCGGCCTTTGTCGAGTGGATTAATGACTCTTCTTGTAAGTTCCGAAGGCGCTTGCTGCTGCCTTTCTCGAGGGCGCCCCAAACTCATGACTGAGATTATTTGCTTTGCTGCTCAAACTGCCACCTGCAGGCAACGTTGTTTGGGAAGACACTGTGTCTGCTGGGCGAGCTTTGTTGGGTCTTAGTGTTTCTCCGTCGAGCATCGCGCTCGGGATTGATCGTATGTGCAAAGATGAAATTGCTGCTACCATTCCTTTAGCGACAAAATTTATACATGTCACCAGCCGCTTACTGTTGGCTTTTGCGTTGTGGACAGCGCTGATTCAAGCCGCGAACGATGGAGTCCCACCATCGCTTGAGTGGCGCCGTGGCGTTGCGTCTGCGAAGGCCAGCGACATTTATTTGCGTTTTGCAACCTCTGGTACAGTAGTTTGCCATTTGGAAGCGCATGGTGAGGGGTTTCGAATCTCACCTCTTCCAATTTCTCACGTTTTCCCGCTCTCTCTCTCTCTCTCTTTTTTTTTTTGCTTTATTTTTCAAACAGAGGATGTCAAACGGTTTGGTGCAGCAAATGAAAGTGTGTATTACCAGCTTCACGGTCGTCCCAACGCGTAAGTTGCTCTCGCTTCGGTACCATGCACGCTTTGGAGCATCCTTCTCACTAAACGTGTGCCTCGGGGAGCAGACATCCTAAAAAACGCTTCCATTCCCAACAAAACCAAAAGCCCCACGCTACGGCGAAGCATCCTCAACAACAGAATCAACATTCTCAACAGCAGCTTCAGCAAAACGACGCTGCCGAAGGGACGCGCGCTGCAGGGCGGCGCAACCGAAAGGAACGCGCCGCAGCAGCGCGTGACAACCTTCACAACACAATCCGTGCCATGACCACCGATGAGGACAATGCTCTTGCAGTGTCAAGCAAATCCGGGGAAAAATCCACTGCTCGGGGATGTCGTCGGTGGGTCGGAATCGGGACTTCTGGCATCGTCGCTGCGGCTTTGCACGCTGCTGCTGCCTCCTCCGCGGCTGCCAGCGTTGCTCCGAACGTAACAGCCGAGCCCGCCTCTGCTGAGTTTGAAGGCCTGTAAATCAAGAGGTGAAGATTATCCAGCCTTTTCATTTTTAGAGCAGACATGCCAATGTAATTTTTTTGAGAGAATACAAAATCAGCCTCAAGCAATCGAAAATAATCGGATCGAGTGAGTTCTTAAACGCCAATAGGAGAGAGCGCAAGGTTCAACGCGCGAAGGTCATCAATGCCGCGAGATTTGCTCAGCAAATCAAGGTGCTGCTCCACTTCGGATTCAGAAAGAGGTGATTGATCGGTATACCCAATGTGATCATTCGTGTAAAAGGTAGCTCGATTGTAGGGCGAAAGCTCCGCACGAAGCAACAGTCGGCGAGGCAAGTCGGGTGTGGAAATGAACGAGCGGCCAAAAGCAACAGCCACTGCATGGCCCTGTTTGGCGTAGGCAGAGCAGATTCGCTCAGCAGCTGCAGGCTGAAAACCACCCGCCGCAATGATGGGTCCTTTGTACAGATGAACATACTTGTCCAGCACCACCGTCTCTTCGACTTCAGAGCAGGTCTGGTTTCCTGCCACCCGCGGCTCAATCAGATGCAGGAAGGAAAGATTGTACTGGTTGAGGCGCTCAATCACATACGAGAACAACTCGTCCTCGTTCGGATCCGACATGGCGAGGAAGGTGCCGAAGGGTGCGAGGCGCAAGCCAACCGAGTGCGTGTTGTCAGCAGGGTCGTTGCCAGATTTCCATGCAGCAATCACAGCCTCCACCACGCGGAAGAGGAAACGGGCGCGGTTTTCAATGCTGCCGCCATACTCGTCTTGGCGGGTGTTTGATCCGGCGTGCAAGAACTGTCGAACGATCGGGTGAAATGAGTTGGCAACATGAGACGAAGGTTCTCCCTCACTTCTCTCTCTCTCTCTCTCTCTCGTTCTCTTTCTATTTTCCCCTCCCCCACGCCAAATAGATCGAGGGCAAAAAGGACAAAGTGACGTGCAATCCGCCATGAACGGAGGGGTTTCCGCATCCCCCCAAAGTGAGAATACCCACCTGATCAATCAAATATCCGTTGGCGCCGTGGATTTCGACGCCGTCAAAGCCAGCACGGCGCGCATTCACGGTCGCTTTGGCATAGTCGTCCACAATGGCGTCAATTTCAGAGATCTCGAGCGCTCGCGGCACAGTGTGCGGCGTGGCAGTCCCGTCCGGCAGCATCCCGTTCGTGTTGGGAATGGCAACGGCGCTCGGAGCCACCTGGGCGCGTCCATCCGGCTGGTACTCGGCAAACGACACACGACCGACATGCCACAGCTGCAGATAGAAGACGGCGGGCGCTGCGTTCGATGCAGACACCGAATCACTGCTGGTCTTGTTCTTGTTGACTGCATGCACTCGATCCGTGATTCTGCGCCACGCTTCGACATGCTGCTCCTTGAAGATGCCCGGGGTGCTCGGGTACCCTTGGCCCTGAGCAGTGATGTTGGTGGCCTCGGCAATCAGCAGCCCGCCGGCAGTCGCGCGCTGAGCATAGTAGCGCCCGCTGAGCTCAACGTTCGGAGTTCCGCCAAAAGAAGCCCGACGCCGGGTCAGTGGCGGCAGGACCACCCTGTGCGCGAGCGTGGCTGAGGAACCGAGTTGGATTGGCGTCAGGAGTGTCGGGATGTCCGATCCCGGGATGGTCTGTGGCGCTTTCACTGCCGCGGTGGTGGTGGTGGTGGACATTGCAGTGGAAAGGAAAGGAGGCGCGGTGAATTTTGGACTGATCGCGGAGGATATGGATTTCAAGCTGCAAAGTCCACGCAGCAGTTAGAACTCTGACGAGAGATGAGGCGATACAATACTTTATTAAACTGAACGACAGAGCGGCTACAGATTTGGCGGAGGGGGGGGGGGAAAGGGGAAAGTTGGTGAATGGCCGGTGTGTCTTCTTTCGGTCGAGATCGAAAACTCTACTCAACAACCAACCCTGCAATTGCATGCTTCATGGCGTAGAGGTGGGAACAGCACTTGCATCGTCTGCTTTCGTGGCGGGTGGTGCTGCAGGAGCAGCCGAGGAGCCAGAAGACCAAAAACTCAGCATTCCCCGGTACGCACTCCCGACAGCAGTGGAGAGCTGCGCTCCTGCGTGCTTGACGGCGTGCGCTGCTTGCTCTGACGCCGTCGGTTCCACGGCGGCGTGATCAGAGGTAGGGTCGTGTGGCTTCTCCTTGAGCGCATCTGACACGCTCTTGGTGAACGACCCGAAGGCGCCGCCTATAGCGAGCATCGACGCATCACACATGGTAAGTTTCCTTCCGCATGCACAAGTTTGCAAAAGCTCGAAGGCAATGACTCATACCAATCGCAGAGGTCACTTTGCCCCCAGTCTCGACAATCGAGGAAGTGACTTTGCCGCCAGTCTCAACAATCGACGGATCCAGCTGTATCAAAAGAACAAACAAACAAACAAACAAACAAACAAACAAACAAACAAACAAACAAACAAACAAACAAACAAACAAACAAACAAACAAACAAACAAACAAACAAACAAACAAACAAACAAACAAACAAACAAACAAACAAACAAACAAACAAACAAACAAACAAACAAACAAACCAACAAACAAACAAACAAACAAACCAACAAACAAACAAACAAACAAACAAACAAACAAACAAACAAAGTCAAAAAAGCACAGCGGCACCTCTGTGCACACATCTGTTTTCAAAATCACCCACCGATGCAACAAGTGTATTGAGCCGAATAGACACATCGTTGACACTCAGTTGCCCAGCGAAAGGATGTCTGCAAACAAGCAAGCAATGAGTCGCACAAAAAAAAAAGCAAAAAAAAGCAAGAAAAAAAAAAAGCATACACAAACTCGCCCAACGAAATCGCGCCTGTGAAACTAGACTCTACCTGGCTGAAACCGTGTCCAAAACGTCCGAATCAACTCGGTGCTTCCACTCTGCAAAGTTTGCCGTCGTCCACCAGGTTTGAATGAAGCGGGCACCGAAATCGCGCAACCTCGCAGCCGTTTCTGCAGTAAGAAATCATGGGAAAATCAAAAAAAAAAAAAAAGGGGGTTTCGCTTGCTCACTCCAGTTGGCGACACCAATAACCTACCTGACGTGGACAGTGTTTGCTGAGCAAGCGTGGAGGCAGCTAGCGCAACAGTGTACGACTCAAACTGCGCGCGAATCCAACCGTCGCTTCCTTCCCAAACAAAGCCATCTTGGTCTTGACCTGCACGAAAACGTACCCACAAGCGTTAAAAGAACCACCCGAGAATTCGCGACTTGGCTAGTCTGCAATCAAACTCACCGCCAGCCCGGGCCTCGTATGACTCTACCGCCGAAACAATATTGCTCATGAAGCGCAAGTCTTCGGTTGTGAGAGCTACGGCATCCTTCACGTCGTCATCGTGAAACTCAATCTTCTGAGCGGCAAGCTGCATCATTCAACCCATGCAAAACGGAAGAGTCAGCCAATGGGTTTGCGCGCCAAGTTGGATACATAAGACGAGAGAGCTCACATCGATAGTCACAGCCAATTCGTGGTCGGGCCTGAGCAAGAGGAACATGGACGAAACGCCAGCCAGCACGCCGCGGGCCTTTTCCGAGCGCAACGTGTCCAATTGCAACAGGCTCAAATATGGCAGAAACACGCAACCCTGCAAAGGTGATCCAACAAAAAGAGCTTTAGAGACCAAGACCGAGCGAGGGTGGTACCAATGCTCAACGGGGACAGGATCATACCTCGCCAAAGACGGAAAACGGCAGAGCCAGTCGACGCAACAATACGCGGTGTTCTTGCTGCTTGACGGTGCCCGGCTTGATCAAGTCGTCTGTAATGACGGTGGGGAACGACGAGATACTTGGCTGAGTCGTCGCAATGTTGTTGCTCTCGTGCTCAGAGTCGGATACTCCAAATCCGAGCTTGGCGCAGGCAAACAAGCCGCTCTCAACCAAGCCTGCGCAAAACGCACCACAAAGTGAGCCTTGAACCACGTACAAGCATCGACTAAGATCGCCCTCAACTCACCCGGCATCAATGAAAGCAACGCGAGCTGGGAAAAGCAGGAAGCCTCGAGCGTTGGTCCGGCAAAGATGATCTGTGAGGTGGATGAGATGAGCGCAAGCATTTCACATCGAGCGGCCGAAGCCAAGTGAATGGGTCACCTTGCGCTCCAGTAACAGTGCCTTGTAGAGCATGAGCAATCGATGCTTGAATGAAAGAACCAAGGATCGACAAGACAGGTCTGGTGTGAAAGGTGTGAGTTGTGGAACATGACACCGACCACCTGACAACATACCAACATACCAATGAACAAGCTGGATTCATCCATTTTTGACGCGAGAGTTGCAGAGATACTCGAGTAAAAAAGCTGATATATCAAGACCACTCAAGAATGAGCACGATTGCGAACCGAACTCGAACTTGGTTTCTTTCATTGAACCAAAACCTACCTCGAGGAGCGTGAGGTCGGTAAAGTCACGCTGGTCAAACAGGGCCTCTGTCATGGCAACTGTCTTTTGCTTCAAAAAGCCAAAAATGGGCTACACGAAACGGGGCAAAGTCAGCGCAATGCGCATGAGCACTTGGCACTTGCGAGGCAGCATACTCACCACCAAGCTCAACACCACCACAGACTTTTGAATAGTGTTGCGGGTAACGTCTGCCGAACGTGTCTTGAACGACTGTGACATTGTCAGCACCAGGGATGAGTATCAAGCAAAAAATTGGCAAGAGATGGGAACGACATTTTCAGTCTGGTCTTTTGTACCGCTGCGTCTTGCTGGCGAAAGCAGGCCAATCCAAACACAGTTTGCGTTTTGGCATACGACTCGTGCGAGATGTGGTTTGGCAACAGCGACAAATCGGTCGGCATGGGGAGAGTGAAGCAAACCAAATCGGACGTACGCGAATGGGCGCCATCTGAACACACAAAAGCCAGCATCAACCACCAAAACAAATATCAGTTGGAAATGGCAATGCTACATCCATCGATAATGCTCCTCAGTATCAGCAGCGAACCTGGCATTGCGAGGAACGGGAGCTGGGCCCAAGCGACGGGCAGCTTCACTGTCGGAGCGGCAGCTGCATGTTCGGATGACTCGGTGCTCGCAGCGGTAGACGTGTTCATGCCAAACGATGCACGAGCCGTATTGGAAGCAGTCTCGTCGGAAGCAGCAGCAGCAGCAGCTTCGGTATGAGTGGCAGAATGGAGCGATGACGTGTGCGACGCCGGGTTGTCCGATGAGACGGGCCTCTGGACCACTGCCGACAAAGCAGTAGGAAGAACAGTATTGCTTGCGTTCGCAGCACTCGTCTCGGCGGCGGAGGTCGAGGGTGACGCTGGCATCGCCGGGTACGCGAATTCCACCTGAAATTTGCATTGTGTTTGTATAAGCCAATGCAGCCCAATTTCCCCAAGAGGCAGTAGCAGGTATCCATGGGTGTGTGTGTGTGTGCGTGTGTTGAAGAGCATACCTGAGGGCCGTGAGTGTGATGGAAGCTCACGAGCATCACAGAGATGACCGTCGCCATGTTGTCGGAATCCAAAAACCAAGAAAAGGGGGAGTGTAGAAAAGAAAAGTCTCTGAGAAAACCAAAACAAAAACAACCAAAAATAACAAAACCACAACAAATGCCTGAGAAATGTGCAGCAGCGCTTCCAAATGGGGAATGAGCCGAATTGTTGAATTGGGTGTTGAAAACAAACCGGAAAGCCAAGGGTTCTTAGCTCCTGGACGCCCTTCTCTTTCCTGAAGACCCTCACATTGCCGACAAGCAGACGCTTCTTGCATCCTACCTTGCGAGCTACTGCGAGTCTGTGAGTGGAGCAAACTGCGGCGATGGCGGCGACCGTGACTTCACCGGCGATGAGACAGTTTTGCGCTATGGAGACTTTGTCACGCTGGACCAGCTCACCGGTGTCAACGAAGGCTATCGGCTTCGCGCCACGACTGCGGCTGCCTCTGCGCCCTCGGCAATCTCGTCGCAGGTCAGCGCGCTTAGCAGCACAAGTCGATTCCTGGGTGTTCGTCTTGACTATTCGAACGCCACCCATGATTTTCCGATGCAAACCTATGAGGGCGATTCCATGTGTAAGTTTTCAAAAGTTTCCCCCGTTTGGTTGCATACTGTGTTGCCTCTGTCTCAACGCAAGCCTGTACCTGACACTCATTTTGATCTTGTTGTGCTGTTTGTCCTCTGTCTGTCTCGCTCTCTCCGTGCTATGCTCTGGCAGCCTTCCAAGTCGTCGCTCTGCGCATCGAGCGGTTCTGCTCGTGCATGTACGCGTCCAACGACTACAACTCGATTCGCTTCCAATCGCGTTTCCCGCCAATTCTCATCTCCCAGAAACCGTCGTACAAATTCAGCGTGGTCGGCAACGAAGGCTCTTGCCCATACTCGACGCTCCAGGTCGAGTCGCTCGTTTTGAACAAGGACCAATTTGAGGGATTCCCCGGTCTCGAAGCGCGGTGCCGTGCTCAGTGCACGCGGATGGCGACTTGCGTTCGCTACACGGTGCGCATTACTGCCGATGGCGATGGCATGTGTACCATGTTTCCCTCGCAGACCGAGAACATGTTTGCGTATAGCCGCGATCGGAGCGACAAGGTGTTTTTACTACGCGTACGACGATGACTGGTGGCGCTGGTCCTGCGAGAATACCAAGCCTGGAGACTGGGCACGCGACCAAGCCAGTGCCAGCTTCCAGGTCGTCGAACGGTTTGCTTTCTCAACCCGGGAGAACCACTTTTTCAGGATTATCTCGCCACTCCTCCTCACCACTCTCGACAAGCAGCCAGTGTTCTACGGCGACGAGCTGCACCTTGTTTCGGTTGATGGCTCCATTACGCTCGGCGCCGGCAACAGGCTGGAATCTGTCGATCAAGGGTCGAATACCACCTTGCCGCCAATGCGCTTCAAGATCTACGGACGGAACTCGACCTTTGGCACGCCTGTGCGGCGCTCAGAACGTGTCATGCTGCAGACAATGCCGGACTCGCAAAACGAATACTTCAGGAAGTTGACTGGCAACCGTCGGTTCAACACGTACATTCCCATGTTTTTGCAACTGGCCACGTCCGCGCCGGTAGCCCCTTCCGGAGGCACTCAGTTGGATTACTCAATGCTTCGCATCATGAAACCGTTCCCATTGAGCGTTTCGCGGCTCTCGGCCTTCGAGTGGGTTTTGAACAAGGCGCCCAAACTGGACACTCCAGCTGCTGACAACGTCCTCTCCTTCATCAAGCAGCCTACAATGGCCGTCACGGTGCTCCAGCCCTTCTCTGCTTTGGAAATGACGAGCAACACCAATGGCACTGTGGTACTGGCGGTTGTCTTTTCGGATCCAGTTGTTCGCACCTCCGTTCCGCCTCCGCAGTTTGTGGGTTTGGATTGGATTCGTCCCAAGCGCCTGTGGCCAAACAACTTTGCTGTTCGTCTGCAACCCACCGCGTCCTCGGTCGGCCCCGTTACTGGAAATGTCACAAACGTCGTGTATGAGGAAGCGCAGCTGCAGGTGCATTTGGTTGTCACTGTCACTTTCGGTCAGCAACTTGCCGTTGGCGACACAATCACAACCACCGCCGTGAACGTCGAAGGCGCGAATGAGCAGCCCATCTTCCAGCCCACACAAGCCGTGCAGCTCAACTTTGAGCCAGTGTTCCAGCTCGCTTTCGTTCAGTGGAATGTCACGAATACCACAACTGTGCTTGCTCCGTTTGACACTTTGCGTGTCGCCACGGTTCGTGCCGACTTCAGCGAGCCGGTCTTTTCCGCGGCGTCTGGCGGATCTCTCGACGTTTCGTGCTTTGCTCTTTTGGGCTTCGACGTCGCCAGCTCGGGAGTGTTTGCTGCGAACGCCACCATCCTTGCCGTGACGCTTGTGCCAGGCTCCAATAGCACTGCCTACTTGCTCGATCTGTCCTATTTCCAGCTTGGTCCGTACGATTCGCCGCTCTCTGCACCGATGTACTACGTCTTCCCCACTGGCGCTGGCATTATCACACGCGGTACCGAACACCGTGCTGCAACCGCGGTTCGAGCTGATTTGCGCGTACCTGTGACTCTTCCTGTTCCGCCGGCCTGAGTGTTTGTCTAATGTGACCTGTATGGCGATGTTCTGACGTGTTTGTCGTTGAAATGCATGATTCTCCTCTGTCTGTGCTTTTTGGCGGTGTGAAGGTGTGGATTCACCGCTCGATTGCAAAGTAAACAACAACCCAAAAAACCCTCATGCAAAAACCTCGTGCTCCATCTCAGAAGCGACGACCGCGCGTGCATCGTCCAGCTCGGGCTCCAGCTCCGGCGTCGAGACGGCCGATTCCAATCGAGCCCCTCTGTCTTTTTGGTGGGACATTTTTGATGGATCTGAAGGTAACCGACTGAACGCTGCAACGCAATGCGCAAACAAAAACAAAAGCGAACGACTCACCTTCGCTTTGCCGCATCACTCTGCTTGACAATCCATCCCAGACTTTCCCCTGGATGACTTTATCCAAAACCACCCTGTGAACCGCGAGTCCGACTTTAATCCACTGGACGCGAGCCCCGAGTTTAACTGGGCAGTTGGACGGCGTCTGCTTCCTTCGTTCGTGGCATCCAAGTCGGCCGAGCGTGCGCGCTTCTCGCATCGAGGAGTCGCCATCGACACCAAGTCCCGCTTTGTACGTCGCTGCCTGCGGCGTGCCGAGCGCAATGCTTCTAGCATTTTCATGGTCGATGAAGCCACAGCAACCTCGTGCTCAATCAGCCAGTCCAACATCGACCGTCTCACGTTTCATGGAGACCTGCTGCGCGACCCGACACTGCAGATGGACTTGGTTGCGACTGGTGTGCCTCTGGACGCGAAACTCTCCTGGCTTGACTCAGATCCCTATTTCGCGTCATTCTCTAGCGGGACTGGCAGTGAACAGACTGGCTGGGTGATGCACTCGCGCCACTACACTCGGTACTGCGATGACATTGAGAGCCCGCTCATGACTGGCTCCATTTTGGAGCTGTTTGACGCGCTGGAGACGATTCGGGTTGGTCGGTACTGGTCCGGAAGCACACTGTCCACGGCCTTGTTGGGGCATAACATAAACTGCGCACAGTTTTGCACCTCATCAGCTGTGTGGGTTATGCTCCTCCGATATTGGATTGTCGTCGAGCGTGTACGACCACCGCAAGACGTCATTGATCACTGCGCCACGACCAGCATTGACATGCTTCGGTACTGTTTAACTCACCACTACGAGGACATGCACGGTCTTCGCGAGGAACTGCTAGCTCGTTGGCTGATCAACCATGTCGATCGCCGCAGACCGAATGCGTGGAACTGTGTCACGCTCGTCTTGGAGTGGTTGTACCCCGAGCGCAAGCCTGCGTCGTACGACTGCGTGCATCCGCCACGGCCCACGGGTCCCACGGTTTACGACAAGTTCGGCGTGACCGAGGAGGCTGAAGAAGTCGATTGCAGTGATCCTTTTTGGTACGATGACGATTGGTTCAAGCAGGCGGCGGGGTGGGATATGGCACCTGTGCTCAGCAACATTGATGCGCTTCTTGGACTCGTCCCACCCGTCCCGCAGCCCGATCTTCGCGTACCTGAAGATGTCGCGCAGTTTGTGTTGGACATGCCTCTTGCTCGTCATTTGCAGCGCGTTCCCGCCTATCATGAGATGAGTTGATTGAGTGTCTTTGTTTGTTTGTTGTTTGTCTGTTCGTCTGTTCGTTTGCCTTTGCCTCTGCCTCTGCTTGTTTGATTGTCTGTGCTGTCACGGATGCACCACGCGGCATTTCTCCATTGAATGCTTTAACGAATGCAACTTCTTGTCGAACACGACGTCGACTAGGACGAGATCAGGTTTCTTCTCTCTTCGTTTTTTTTTATTTATTTTTTTTTTGTTCTTCTCTGCGTTCCTTTCAACTTTTTATCTTGTTGTCGCTGTTGTTTGCTTTGTTTCTCATTTGCTATTCTGCCTGACCGTGTCATCCCAGATTGTCTTGTCGTTGAGTTCATTGCTCTCTTTGTTGGTTGGTTTGATGTTGATTTTCTTGTGTTTCTTTCCTTTTTTTTTTTTTTTTTTCCATCCTTGTTTTCTCTCTCTCTGCTTCCCTCCGCCGCGGTTTTCTCCGTCTCCGATCTCTCATTTCGCATTTCTCGTTTCTCAGCTCTCTCGTTCCCCATTCCCTCTCTCTTTGCCCACCCCAACCTTTCTCTTCGTTCTGCATCGCGTTAGTTGGTCTTTTTTTTTTTTTTTTTTTTTTTTGATTTCTTCGCTCTTTGCTTTTACACTCTCGCTCTCTCTCGCCCGCCCCTTCCCCAGTCCCTCGCTTCCCAACACACATCGTTATGTGTCTTTTACTTATCGCCCCCCAGCCTCCCTCTCTCCAACAACCAAACACACAACCTCGACAGGCCTGTTAAACAAAACAACCAAAAAAAATCACACTGAAAAATTTCCAGTTGTTTTTTTGACGCAAATTCGCTTTTTTTTTTTTTTTTTTTTTTTTTTTGGGTTGTCGTCTTCGTCACACTGTTTCCCAGGTGGCTCTCCTCACTGACTCGATGACTGTTGGCTTGTTGTCTTTTCGTACAACGCACTGCTGCTTGCTGCTTGCTCGTCTGCTTATCTCTTCACCTGCAGTGCCCTTCCGTTTGGTCTCTCTTTGCTTCTTTCTGTTTGATTTGAATTGTCATTGGACTTTTTTTTTTTTTTTTTTTTTTTTTTTTTTTTTTGTTCCAAGCACTTCTCGTTTGCAGCAAGCGGTCGGTTTCAGCCGTCGTCCCAACCTCGGTGCCTCTCTGTTATTTGAGTGGTGGTTGGAAGCACTCCCGCTCGTCCTCTGGTCCCCTTGGTCCTCTTGGTCCCTTTGGGGGGGGGGGAGTCGTTCGAGTGTTGCTGGTTTTTTTTTTTTGAATCGTCACCATCTCAACTCGCCCATTTCTCAATCGCACACTCAACGTGATTCCAACTCGAGTTCACTCCACTCCGACTCTGTCTTCCGCTTTCAGTCAAAAACGCACTCGGTCGCGTCGTGAATGAACAGCCAACGACACCAACGACACCCCAATTGAATCGCCGTTTTGATGATTATTCTTATTATTATTTCTTTTTTTTTTTTTTAAAAAAAACCCCAAAAAAACAAAAAACAATCAACTCGATCGACTCATTGCTGCGTTTCGCTGTCCCATCCATCGATTGTCCTTTTCAGATTCTTCCGGCTGGCTTTTCTCCGTCGTTTCTTCTGCCTGAATTCTCAATAAAGCCATGTCCTCGGCCGAACAACGCGAGCTCGAGGCGTACCTCGCTGCCAACAACGTCCACGGGTTTTTGAAGGATTTGCTCGTCCAAATCTGCATCGACCGGCCAAAGGATCTCGTCGAGCACGCCATTCAGCACCTCTCTGCCAAGTCTGGCCGAACTGTCACAGCGCCAGCGCCAGTAGCAGCCACATCTGCTTCTGGTGCTGCTGCCACTTCGAGCATCAAGCCCGCCCCGGCGCTCTCCCTGACCACCCCAAAGATTGTGGAAGAGTCCGAGGAGGATGCCAAGTCGGACTCTGACGACGATTCGAGCAGCACTGGTCGCCGCGACTCTATTGAGGCACCCGTGCCCGCGTTTGCGCCGCCAAAGACGCTCCGTCGTCGCGGCGCCGTCTCTGCCTCCGTCATGACCGAAGAGGACGTCCAGAGTTACGAAAAGAAGGTGGTACCGAAGGACTACAAGACCATGGCTGCCCTGGAAAAGGCCATCAAGAAGAACATTCTCTTCTCGCATATGGACGATGACGAGCGCAGCGATGTGTTTGACTCCATGTTCCTCGTCGAGCACAAGGCCGGCGATGTCATTATTCAGCAAGGTAATGGTCGAGAACAAGGCGATTTGTGTTTCTTTCATGCGATGGTTTTGTTTTGGTTGAATGTAGGGAGCTAACGGATACGGGGTTTTTTTTTTTTTTTTTTTTTTTTTTTTTTTTTTTTTTTTTTTTTGGTTAATAGGCGATGAGGGTGACAACTTTTACGTCATTGATTCTGGTGATGTTGATGTCTATGTGGCTGCTACCGGTGATCAGCCCATCACTTCTATCTCCGACGGTGGCAGCTTTGGCGAGCTTGCGCTCATTTATGGCACTCCTCGAGCTGCTACCATTAAAGCCAAGACTGACACCCGTCTGTGGGCCATTGATCGCAACTCGTATCGCCGTATTCTCATGGGCAACACTTTGCGCAAGCGCAAGTTGTACGAGTCGTTCCTTGAGCGCGTGCCGATTCTTGGTTGGTTTTTTTTTTGTCGAGGATTTAGCTTTGTCGTGGGTGTGGTGTGTTGTTTGTTGTCATTCTGTATGCCTGACTTGCTGGGTCCCTTTGCTCGGATTGTGCAGAAACTCTTGACAAGTGGGAGCGTCTCACCGTTGCCGATGCCTTGGAGGCCGTAACTGTCGAAAACGGCGTTGAAGTTGTAAAGCAAGGCGAGGAAGGCAACGACTTTTACATTATTGTCGAGGTAAACAAATTTGCCATGTCGCTGTTGTCGGGGAGTTCTCGTGTTGTGCCAATACTCACGTCGAGACCCCCCTTTTGTCGCGTTCGTCAGGGCAAGGCGCGTGTGCTCCAGCGCAAGAATCCCGAAGACGAGCCCCTTGAAGTAGGACGACTGGGTCCGTCAGATTATTTCGGTGAGACATTTCCGCAGCTATTTTGTTCATTCAACCAAAAAAAAAAAAAAAACCAAAAAAAAAAACCACCCCCCCAAAAAAAAACCACCTCGCTTTTCCTCATCTCACATCTCGTGCTTTGAAAAAAAATAGGCGAGATTGCTCTCTTGACCAACCGCCCTCGCGCTGCCACCGTTGTGGCAGAGGGCACGCTCAAGTGCATCAAGCTTGATCGTGGTCGCTTTGAGCGCGTTCTCGGCCCGTGCGAAGCCTTCCTGCGACGAAATATCTCCACCTACAACAGCTACATCCAGCTGGTTGTGTAAACGTCCTTTTCTGGCTTCTGCTCGTTGAATTATCTTGAATGTCCCTGCGCAATTGTGCTTTGGCCCTGCGCTCTGTGTTTGTGGACAAAACGCCGCCTTCCCCTCCCCGCCTTCCCCAATCTGTGCCTTCTCTATGATTTTGTGCTGCGGCTCGTTTAGCATGGGATGTCGGTTGCCTATTTGTGGGGCTTGAGTGGTTTTTGTTTTTGTTTGTTTGTTTGTTTGTGGTTCGTTTGAGTGGATGCTTCTGGTTCTTCTCGTTCTTTCCTTCTATTGTCTTGTGTGCCTGCTATGTGCAGCGGAACTTGTTATCGTTGTTTTTGTGCATCGCAATCGAGCACTTTTCAAAGTGACCTTCCTTCTGAGCGTGCATCGCAGTCTCAGTTTTTTTTTTTTTTCCCCCTCCATCACGCACAATGCTGGATTTCATTCGTTTCCGGACGTACTTTGCGTTGTCGCTTGCTGGGCTCGGGCTGGTGTTCTGGACGGGCTTTTCAGCAGCGATGGGCGACCTGAACCCGTCGCCACTGCGGCGACTGGAGGAGATATTTGACTATGATTGGCTTGTTGAGAACCTTCCTCCGACGGAGCGCAAGGAGTGGACGATGCGCATCGACAACGGCGTCCGTGCCGTCTTTAGCTCTGAGCTTGCATGCACGGTCAGTCCACAGTTGCGAGTTGAGGACGAGTGAGAGTGAGTGTAGAGTGAGTGAAAATGAGTGTGAAAATGCGCAAAGCTCGAAAACTGGCTTGGAAGGTTCTCTTGCCCCCGCCTTCCCCGCCGGCTCCAGGTGTACTTTCGAAATAGCATTGTATGGACATGCCTGGGATGCCCTCAGTTTGCGGCCTGGCGCACATGCGAGAGAATAGGGGGAAAAATGCGTTCGGCCCTCACGCGTCATCGGGTGCTGAGTTGGCGCCACTTTTCGGGTGAACGACGCGTGCTGGTCACTCAACAAGAGAGATACAAGATGGTTGGCTTTTGTGGTTTGTTTTTTTGATGGTTTTTGCGCATCTTGACAAATCAAAGTGGGGGTGCGTAGCTGAGAATTGTTGAGACGATCAATAAGCCGTGCATGTGCTCTGAGATTGTTGATGTTGGTGCGACTCTAAGCAAGGCGGCTTTTTTTTTTCTTCACTCCATGTGACATTGTAAACATTGAACAACTCACTTTTATCGATGCAATTGGGGTTTGGTGTTCGTTGACAGGCTTTATGGAATATGGTGCTCTGTGCCGTGCTCACGATCGGTCATGTCGCGCAACTCCTCGCGTTCGGTCGACTCAGGGTTGTTGAACGAATGGTACGACATGGGCTGAACGTTCATCCTTGGTCTCATCACTCAAAGCTTGTGTACGGAACCGTCTTGTGGCTTACAATTCGTCGGGTTTGTTTCTCTATCTGTTGACAGCAAGTCAATTCCGAAATGACTCACTTCCTGACCGTCAAGTTGATGCTCATCACCATGCTTTTGAGCGCGTCGACGGAAACGTGGCTCGAGGTTTTTGTGATGGGCTTGTGGTTTGTGACGGTCGGCCTCTTCAAGTTTTTCAGTTTGGTTGGACGTTTGCGATTCGAGTTTGTACGGCTGCAGTTTCTGCTACGTGGAATCGGTTAGCATGCCATTCACTGCGTGGGCTGACATTTCTTCTGCTTTTGGCTTTTTTTTTTCTTTCTTTTTTTTTTTTTTGCTTGTTTGCTTGTTTGACCTGACAGCTCTCATTCGCACCCAACACGTCAAAATTTACCCACTTCAGGGTCATTTCGGCATTGCTTGGGGTGGTCGTGGTCGATTGTACCTGGATTGCCTGGAGCTGGGCTGCTATGAATCATTATGATAGAATCTTCATTTTGATTCTCATCTTTGATGTACGTATTGCGTTTGTGCCTTCTTGCAAGGACTCGCTTTGCTGTTTGCTTCTCCCCCGCCTCCTTTTGCACTGCATTGCGCATGTTTTTGTTTCCTGACACGCGTGTGTTTTGCCTTGGAAAACAAGGGCTGTGTTGCCTTGATTGAGACCTGCCAAACATTGGTCAAGTACGCCTTCCTCCTTGCCGGTACGAGCGACCAGAGCAACCAAAACCGGCTCTATTACTTGGACTTTGGCTGCGAGATTCTGACATTGGGCCTGACGCTCGTGTACTATGTGCAGCTCCTTGTAAGGCCCGGCAATGATGATGCATACCTTGCCCTTTGCTTGAGACGCAATCCATGACCTCTTTGACTTACCCGTCTTATCTCTGCAGCTTTTCGATGGCTTCAGCTTGGATATTGTCACCTTTGTTCTTTTCTACTTTGTTGTTTCCACATATCGAACCATCAAGCGCAAAATCCAGGCCTTCCGCACCTACCGCATGGCCTCGCGCAATCTCGATGAGCGGTATGTCGCGTCCGTTTTGAGCCGAAGGAAGTGTGCCTTGGAAGCTTACTTTTTTAGGGTCCACTGGATTTCTTTGTGGAAAATTAGTTTTCCTGATGCAACGCCTGAGCAACTGCGAGAAAATGACGATGATTGTGCCATTTGCCGAGAAGGCATGACGAGCGCCAAACGCCTGCCCTGTGGACACTTTTTCCACCTGGCGTGCCTGCGAATGTGGCTGGAACACGGTAACTGTCCGACCTGCCGTCAGCCCATTCTGGCCCAGTCTGGAGCTGCCGCAAATGCATCACCGCAACAGCCGCAGCAACCTCAACCAGCCCCAGCCGACCAACCTGCTCAAGAAGCTGCCGCACCTCCCAATGCGGATCAACAGCAGCAACACCAACAGCAGCAACACCAACAGCAACAACCACAACCACAACAGCAACAACAACAACAGCAGCAGCAAGAAGCAGTGGCACGTGCAGCCAATGCGGCCGCGCAAGCCTTCTTTCAACACATGCAACGTCCCATGGGTGGCGGGCCCCTCCCTGCTGGACTGAGGCCCCACACGGGCAATAACGTCGGATTTGGCAACCCCGCTGCACCAACAGTTGGAGCTGCCGCCGCTGGCCCCGCCGCCGCTGGACCAGCTGCTGCCAACCCACAGCTCACTCACACGCGCTACCAGTTCAATGGCCCCGAGTGGGCGTCGTGGTTGCCGCGGCTCTCGTTGGATATTGCTCACGGACACGGCGACGTGGCCGTTAATTTCGACTGGGGTCAAGGGCATGCACACGCCGTGCATAATCTTAACGCAGCGCAACAACAGCCGCAAGCAGCGCCGACAGTGCGGCTGCATCGACTGCCGACCCCATTCCCGCCGCAGCAACAGCAACAGCAGCAGCAACAGCAGCAGCAACAGCAGCAGCAACAACAACAACCTCGAGTTCCTCCTGCGCTGGTACGTGTCAAGTTGATATGGAGAAGGGAGATTTGTCAGAACTGACTGACTGATTGTGTTTTTGGTTTTGCTTCTTTGGGGCTTAATCGACAACGAAACAGCTGCAAAATCTTCAAGAAATGTTCCCCCAACTTTCGGCCGCTCAACTTGAGGCTGAATTGCTGCACACGGGAAACTACGAAGCAACCGTGGAGAATATTCTTACTGGTCGGCTTGTTGCCCAGCCACCGAGCCCTGCTGTTGCTGTAAGAGTCACTTTCACAGGGGGGGGCTTCTTTTGCAATTGTGAATTGGACTTTGACTTTTACTGTGCGGATGTAGGTGCCGACATCGCCAGCGCCATTTCCACGTGCCTCCGAACCGCCTCGACCGCCCGCTCAACCGGCCGCAAACCCGTCGGCGTCACCTGCAACAGAGACATTGTACCCAACACGATCGAACCTGGCGTCCAGCAGTGCCGCATCCACCTCCGCGCCACCTCCAGCAGCAGCAGCATCATCAGCAGCATCAGCATCAGCAGCAGCTGAACCCACCCCACCACAGGCCGAAGCCAGTTCAAGCGACTCTGTGGCCAATCCGCCCACTGAGGAGCCACTGACTCGTGAGCAATTGGCCAACGCCCGAGCCGTGTACTTTTCACGCACACTTGGCAGCACCTCTCCCCGCTTGTAGACGGTTTCCTGGGAATCGTTCGTTGTTCTTGACGTGCTTGATGGTCGATTTTGCGGTTGCTGTTGAATTTTTGCTGTTGTACGATTCTGTTTTCCATTTTTCCTCCATTATTACATTCGCTGAATTCGTCCTACAGTCTTCCAGCCTCATCATCCTTCATCCTCATTTTTCATTTTTGATTCACTCAATGCAGGCCTTTATTGAAAAGTTCCGCGGTGCGCCGAACGCGTCGGGCTCGCTCGACCAGCTCTTCCAGCAGACAACGTCGCACGCCGACCCCGCCGCCATCACCACCGCCGCCAATGCTGCCAACAATGCATCTGCAGCCCCTGCTCCCGGGTTTATGACGCCCGCAAGCCTCGCACAGTCGGCACGGCAGCTGCACAGCCAGATGCCGTCTGCGCGCTCGTGGACTGAGTTTCTCAACGCCAAGCGCCTGTCGCGGCCCGCTGGCATGGGCGACCTCTCTGCGCGGCTCTGGGTCAACATCAGCCACTTCCAAGCCAACTACTTTGCCATCTTTGTGGCGCTCGTCATCTACTGCATGTAAAGCAGACAAAAAGCAACATGTACTGAACAACCGGGGTGAGGTCGGAGGGGGGGGGAGTCGGCGTCATCATCGCACTGCATGGAACACTTTGTCGACGTGGTCGATTCCATCCTACTTTGCGTACTCTCTGAACTGCTGATCCTGACGACGTGACATTGGTTTGGGGCTGCAAATCGCCGAGTCTGCTCTCTGTCTCTGTCGCTCTCTGTCACTGTCAGGCAACGCTTGCACTTTGAAACTTCCAACCTGAACCTTGGATTGGTCTTCTGATTTGCTCAGATTAACGTCGCCGACCCTGTTCCTGTCGCTGCTGGTCATCATCGCAGTCATGGCCCTGATTGCATTGCGCCAGGGACGACCTCTTCATGTGGGAGGCAAGTGTCAAGTTTGGCTTGTGTGTTGAAATCAGAGGGTGGACGCGGGGTTTCTGATCGTTGTGATTGTTTTTCTTTTTTTTTTTTTTTTTTGTTTGCGTAGGCAAGGAATATACTTCGCGAGACCTCTACATGGCGGTCGCGACAGTCAGCATTCCTCTCCTCTTCTTTGCATCTGCGGGATCGGCGGTATTCTGGGTGCTTGGTATGGTTGCCATGAGCTGGAAGGCTTGCCTTTTTTGTTGTTTGTGTGTGTGCGTTTATTCTCACTATTTCCTCCCTCTCGCACCATCCTCACTCAGGCGCCTCAATCTTTGTCATTGTTGGGCACGCTGTATTCATGGAAATCGATCCGGCTGCTCACGCGGCTGCTTCGGGGCAACCAACCATGGTTTGATCTCCATTGCTTGCTTATGTATTTAACGATTCGCTTTTGTTGCCCTAGCCTCTCCTTTCTCACGTCTCGCTCGACAAAACATGTGATACAATGATGAAAACAAGAGAACAAAAACGCTTCTTTAATCATAACAGCAACCAACAGAACTGGTCGGAAAACAATAATGAACAAATCGGCAGTTTAGGGTGGTGTAAAAAACGGGCTGCTTTTACTTAGCCTCCTGACCCTTGAAGACAAAGGTGGTGGAGCACTTGCCGCAGTACTGGCGGTCAAAGTGGGAAGCCATGAAGACACCAGCGCCGCACTCAGCGCTAGGGCACTCTCGGCGCAGACGGGTGATCTTGCCGTTCTCGTCGACCTTGTAGAACTTGAGGACAGCGAGCTTGACCTTCTTCTTCTTGTGGGCAATCTTCTTGGGGGTGGTGTAGTTCTTCTTCTTGCGCTTCTTGCCACCACCGCGGAGGCGAAGAACGAGGTGAAGGGTAGACTCCTTCTGGATGTTGTAGTCGGAAAGGGTGCGGCCATCCTCGAGTTGCTTGCCAGCGAAGATCAGGCGCTGTTGGTCCGGAGGAATGCCCTCCTTGTCCTGGATCTTTGCCTTGACGTTCTCGATGGTGTCCGAAGACTCGACATCGAGAGTGATCGTCTTCCCCGTAAGGGTCTTGACGAAGATTTGCATAGTCTGGAAGAGAAGCAGATGAACAACAGCAGGAGATTAGGTGAGCAGAGCATTTGCAGTGTAACAGAGCTTCGTGGCAATGGCAGGACACCAGCACAGCAACGAACAAACGAGGGGGGAAGGAGAGCGAAGAGAGCAGAATTAAAAAAAAAAAAAGCGCGTGGCTCGAAATGCCCAGCAAAGCAAAGCAAAGCGGCATTTTGTCTCCAGGTGCTGCGACCAACGCACAGAGATAGAACAGCACGTCTTGCCGATAACTCAGTACTGAGGCAGCGTGAAAGGAACACCGCGAGAAGTAAAGACGCGAGACGAACGCGATTGAGAGAGGAAGCAAAAAAAAAAAAAAAAAAAAAAATCGACTTTTTTCGCCCAAACGCTCTTTCGCTTCAAAGGCAGTGCGCCCACGATCCTCCTCCTCCACCTCCCAGAACGGCCGCAATTCTGTCGCATTTCACTCGTGCCATCGAAGCAGTGCGACAAGAAGCAAACAGACGGAAATCGAGCAGGAGAAAGAGAGCAGAAAAAAAGAAAAAGCTCGTCCGCCCAAACTCGCCCATCCGTTCACTGCCTCCCCTTCCATCGCGTCTCCTGCGGCGCGCATCGATGCCCGCGTCCCCGCCCCTGGATAATCCGAGTGTGTGTATGATCCTGTAACGGATTCACGCGTGGCGGCGGGTAGATGGGCCGCGGTCACTTACAAAGCAGAAAGATAGAGAGAGCGAGCACTTGCGTCCAAACTTGGCGTGAAATGAAAATCCCAATACACAAAATTTCATATCAAATTCAGAGGTTTGACTCGCTCACAGGTTCAATCAACCACGGCCGCCGATAGAGAAATCCCGATATTGGCATTAATGACACGAGTATTGCAAACCGATTCCAGCCTCGTCTGAGCTTCTGAGCAACCAACCGCCAATTTTGGCTCGATCTCTGCAAATCCTTCTGACCCAACCCCCCTCCCCGCCCCCAGGTACCTGGACAAGATCTTCCTGCATGGTTGCAGTATTCAAGCAGCTTCCCCATTGACTTTGCTATTGAACAACGACTCAAATCCAAATCCAAAACAGCCACAAAAACTCAACCCAATCGAATCGTGAGGTGGTGTTTGTCTCAGTGAGCAATGCAACGCCAGTGACTACTAGCTGCGTCGCTAATTCTGTCATGTATGTGTGCCAGGCTCAGTCTGAATGCTCTCACGATTGCGCGACCTGTTCACTGTCCAAGTGCCCGTGTCCAATCTGTTTGATTCGGCAGACCTGAGCCTCCTTCCCTGCGACCCAAGCAACCACCCACTCAACAACCGAGTGACCAGCCCCAGCGCGCTTCACACGACTGCTATTCCTTCTGCCACTAGTGCTACGTCCTTGTCCTTGTCGTCGTCGTCGGGTGCGCTCATCTGCGAATCATCTGCTACACACGCACCAATGTCATCATCGTCGGGCCGCGGCGCACCTGCCCTCAAGAGCACCACGCTCGCAGGTGTCGCCGAGTTTATGAAGACAAAGAACTGCCGCAATGTCATTGTCATGTCTGGCGCGGGCATCTCGACGTCCGCGGGCATCCCCGACTTTCGCTCCCCTGGCACGGGCCTCTATGACAACCTGCAAAAGTACGGCCTGCCCCACCCGCAAGCCATCTTTGAGTTGGACTACTTTCGCAAGCGTCCTGAGCCGTTTTTCACGCTGGCACGCGAGCTCTTTCCGGGCATGTTCAAGCCCACCACGTCGCACTACTTTGTCCGGCTGCTCGAGCGGAAGGGCTTCCTGCTGCGCCACTACACACAGAACATTGACACGCTCGAGCGCGTCGCGGGCATCGCGGCCAACAAGCTGGTCGAGGCGCACGGCTCCTTCTCGGGCAACCACTGCATCAACCCCGCTTGCCGAAAGAGCTTTGACCAGCTCTGGATGGAAGACCTTGTCTTTGCCGGGAAAATCCCGCGCTGTGACAAGTGCGAAGACCTAGTCAAGCCCGACATTGTCTTCTTTGGCGAGAAGCTGCCCGACCGCTTCCACAAGCTCGTCAACGAGGACTTTGGCGCCTGCGACCTCCTCATCGTTGCTGGCACCTCGCTTGTCGTGCAGCCCTTCGCCTCACTCATCGATCTCGTTGGCCAGCGCACGCCCCGCTTGCTCATCAACCGCGAGAAGGTTGGTCAGGCAGATCCCATGGAGCGCATGCTCGGCTACCGCGGCGGCCTCGACTTTGACAGCATTGAGAACGTCCGCGACGTTGCGCACCTCGCTTCGTGCGACGACGGTTTCTTGGAGCTCGCTCGTCTGCTGGGCTGGGAGCAGGAGCTGGTGTCTCTTGTGCGTGACGACCATGAGCGGCTCGCCGCGGCGGCAGTCCAAACGTCCGCCCAGCGCCAAGCGCGCCGAATGAGTGCTGCCGACCACCAGATGGCCGCTGGCGAGACCGAGAAGGCGGTTGATACCATCACCGCCGCTCTCGTTGGCATGACCGTTGCAGAGAACGCTGCGGAAGCGTCTCACGCGGAGGAGGCTCGCTCTGCCACTGGGCGTCATGCTCTCGGTGGCGCTGGCAGCGCTGACATTGCTCTCAAGCAGACTGCCTCTGAAATTGCATCCGTTGTTGCGCATGCCGTGCAAGCTGCCGATGCGTCCGAACCCGCCGCGCCAGCACCATCGAAATGATGAGCCAGATGGGAAAAAAAAATGTTTGTTTTGAATCTTCCATGAGTTTGTGTTTTTTCGAGTTTGTTTTGTTGGTTGTTTGTGTGTGGGTGTTTGTCTCCTTTCCACGTGTTCGTGCTCGAGCTGTTTGTTATGAATGTAAAGACTCTGTTTTTCACCCCAAACGGCACAGCCTAACAGCGCTGTTCCTCGTGGTACTAAAGTTGTGCAATTTTTGTTGTGCAAAAGTGGCAAAGTCTAGGCTTGATTTATTGTTCAGGGAGAGCGTCTGACAAACGTGACCACTCGGGCAGCTCAGTGGCAAAGTCCCAGTCGGCCGATTTATACCGCCAGGCGTGGAGATACAAGCACGCATTGGGTGAAGGAAGCGTCCGTGTGCGGAGACATTCGAGGCAGTAAGGCATGCGCTCGGCGGCAGGCGTTGAAATTGTGAGCGCGGCCGATTCTGCGGTGGGTCCGACAAGCGTGTCATCTAAATCAACACGGTCATGGCCACCATCACCGTCATCGTCGTCAGCTACAGCGGCAGTGTCTCGATCGTCTGGCACTGGAGACTCGGTCTGCGGGGCTGGGTCCGACAAGGACGACGTGGCGGTGGTCGCTGTAGATTCTCCGGATGCACCAGTCCTCACAGCATCTTCGGGATTGAGCAATGCAGTGAATGCCGCAACGATGCGGTCGCGGTCGTCAACTTGCACTCCGCCTTTGCCGCGCGACGGACCAAACGCAGGGCTATTGTAAATGGGGTCGTTCTCAATCGGATAGCCTGTACAGGATGAGTCCAATGTGAGATGAGATCGCCATTCTATCAGCCACCATACATGCAACGATCCAAGTTTCAGAAGCTCTCACCAAGATACTGCAAATGAACACGGATTTGGTGTGCTCGCCCTGTTTTCGGGAAGCCTGTTTGTTGACAATAACATGGGGGTGAGAAAAATATCGAACGGAGACAAGAAAAAAGACAACGCAGAAAGAAATCGTCAACAGAGCTCTTCAACTATGCGGTGGCACGCACACTTAACAATGCTGATCACGCCGTTCGTTTGCTCTCGGACAAACACTGTTTCGGCAGGCTTGCCGCTCGGATCAACACCATTCAGGCCGAACTTGGGACAAAAGCTCAACAACGGCTCGGTGCAGGTCACTTGTTCTCTAAGCAAAAAATTCACCCCAAAAAGGGAAACAGATACAGGTTTTGTTGACATGTTCAAGTTCCAGAGCGATCCAGCGTGTGCGCGCGACCTACTGTGGGAAGACGCCAGTCACTCGACAAATGTAAAACTTCTCCACCTCTCGCTCTGTGATGAGCCGCGTGACGGCAGCTGCCGCTGCGCGGTTCTTAGCCATGACCAGCACGCCCGAAGTCAAACGATCCAGCCGATGACATCCTAAATCGCACGACAATACAAAGCTCAGCCAATGGTCCATGCTGCATACTAATAAGCCGAACAAAGGGCTGTTACCGAGTAAATTGGAGTAGCCCATTTCGCTTTTCATGATCGAAATGACGGTGTGGACGTTGAATCGTCCAGCAACGTGCACCTGTTGACGAGAGCGAGTCGCGTGAATGCAGCAGCAACAGTTGAGGGGATCGAGGCGCACGCAATGCAGCAAGCCATACCGGGATGGATGCAGGTTTGTCAATGACAACAAGGTCGTCCGTTTCGGCAATCACGCGAATGGGAGCAGCCGTCACAGGTGGCTCGTGACGGTGTGCCGTGTGCACAAGTACGTCGCTGTCTTGAATAATGTACGATGGCGCTACAACTTTTCCATTGACTGTGACGCGACCATCGCGAATGGCTTGATCCTGAACAACATGTTTTTGATCGACCATGAGCCTTTTCGCGATCGTTTGTTGGTTGTTGTTGTTGTTGTTTTTGCAATGTACAAGCGCATTTCGCATCTCAATTCGGGGGGGGAGGGAGGAGCGAACAACTCACAAAGTACGCTGGTGTCTCAACTCGAAACTCGCGCCGGAACAGCTCGAGCAGGCCGAGGCCTATCCAACGCCGCTTGGCGTACGCGACGAAGCGAAAGAGGTATGGCTTGACGAATCGCAGACCTATGAGGGCAAAATCGAGTCATGTTGTGTGGTAGTTGGCATTCTCAATGCGATGAGCATGGATTATCGGCACTTTTCTAAGAGTTTCAACACGGTCTGAGAATTTTGTGTGACGCGCGTCTGTCTCACCGTCGCGCGTGTAGCTCTCAATGTTGCCCACGGCTCCCGATGCGACATGGCGCGGATGCGTTTGCTTGCCATGCTGTGGACGCGACTGAGGCGGGTAAGGGTGACGACGACCGTGTTGTGCACCACGAGGTTGTTGCTCCTGCTGTTGCGCAGGGTCGAGTCGCGGTCGCTTGGCTACTCCGTTGCTACTTAGACCGCTACTGCTCCCACTATGAATGAGACTATTTGAATCAGTGCTGGCGCTTGTCAGGGCTGCGGTTGACTCGGTCGCCGGCTCGCCTTCCGCCGGTCGCTTGGCGCGCTCCATCTGTGCAAGAGTTCGTTGCTTCTAAAGGAAGAACGACTGGAGTACTGCAGCAGCATCTAGTCTATGTTGCGTTGCTGCCGTGGCATTGCAAAAAGTGCCACCAGTGCTTACATCCAAGTCATCTGAGCTGTTCTGAGACCACGTTTGGTTGCAGTCTGATTCTGAACTGATTCTGAGATTCAGTTCTTCTTCTTCTTCTTTTCGTTCATTCTTTGTCTGTGCCTTCCTTCCCTTTGTCACAAAATGGCGTCTACTGTCATGGCTGCTGACTCTGCGTCCCAAGCACAGGCTGCTCCGTCCGAGTCGCTGTGGTCGTCCATTCTGCAGAGCGTGCAGACCTCGTCCGCAGCAGCCTCTCGCAACGGCGCTCTCGACGCCAGCTCAGTGCTCGTCCTCGGTAAACGGAGACGAGCCACCGCAACACACAACCACCCCAATCGTTTCCCCCCGCCCCCCCCCCGCCTCCCGTATTCAGCAACTCTGTGAATCGAGCTCGCTGGCAACTGGAAGGCGTTTGAACGTCCGGGTTGAAGGAAGGCTCACCCGTGAGTGAGTGAGTGAGTGAGTGAGTGAGCGGGAATTTGGAGATCTCATTCCCCCTTCAGTGTCTCTTTTCTGCTTCAATGGTCGACCTCACTCCTGATATGGGGAGAGAGAGTCTGCCACTTGTTTTTTTGGAGAGACGTGGTTCCCCCTTCGTAGGCACTTGGGTTCCGAACGGCTGCTTCCCTTCGACTTCCATGCATTGGATTTGTGATTCTCATTCCACCGTCCTTTTCGTTTCGCTCAGGTCCCAAGGACGCAGGCAAGTCCACTCTGCTCGCCAGGATGCGGTTTGACGCAGGCGCGACTACGACGACCACAAATGCTGCTCAGCTCGTCCGCGATGGGCTTGGCTTGGAGTACGCGTACGCCGAGGTCAAGGACGAAGACAACGAAGGTACAGCAACAACCTCGTGCATCTCTGAAGAATGCCGGGGATCGGAATAACCCACATCACGAGAAAGTGGGAGGATGCAGGTGTCTGCTAGGCAGCAAGACACGCGTTAAAAACGCATCACAACACGAGCTCAATCCCACACCACGTCGTTCTCGTTCGGGGTTTGTTTGTTTATTTATTTGTTTGAAAACAGACTTTTCAGCGCAGATTGGCGTCTGGTCACTCGATGGCGATCTCCTGCAACCAAGCACGCTGGCGTCGGCACTCAACGAGAACAATTTCGCCGGAATGCTCGCAGTGCTCGCGGTCGATCTGTCGCAGCCTTGGAGCATTCTAGAATCGCTGAAACAATACACACGCGCCTTAGAGGAGCATATTGAGACACTCGTTGGCATCGAAGACCAATTGCCAGAGCTGAAAGCAAAGTGTAAGATGAGCGCGATGGATCGAAATTGAGGGTGGGGGGGGGGACGAGACCAGTTGCTCACTCTTGGTTTATGTCTTTGTGGCTTGCTTTGGCTTCTGTTTGCTCAACCACTATTCCTATGATGCCAGTGGTCCGTGCATTCCAAACGTACTCGGAAGGCAAGGCGGTTGCGGATGGCTCCGAGGCAGTCCTTGCGCCACTGGAGCATGACGTGCTATCGCGCAACCTGGGCCTCCCAATTGTTGTCGTCGCTTGCAAGGTGAGCGTGCAATTGGTCTGGGTGATGATGCTGATGCTGATGCTACTGCTGCTTGATATTGGCAACTCTCTTACTTTTTTTTTTTTTTTTTTTTGCTTTGTTTTATTGTGTTTTCACAGTCGGATCTCTTGTCAACACTCGAGCGTGATTACAACTACAAGGACGAGCATTATGACTTTATTCAGCACCACTTGCGAAAGTTCTGCCTGCGATGTGCGTATTCATTGTCGTGGATGGCGTAGCATCAAGTTTCTTTGTTTTTCTTACTGTGTTCGACTCTTTTTTCCCACCACCACCACCACCACCACCACCCCATGTCTTGGACCTCTTGCAGATGGCGCGGCGCTCGTCTACACATCGGCGAAGGAATCCAAGAACGTCGATCTGCTCCGCAAGTACATTTGCCATCGTCAGTTTGGCATGGCTTTCAACCAGTCGGGCTCGATCGCCGAGAAGGACGCAGTGTTTGTTCCGATGGGTTGGGACAGCGACGCCAAGATTAACATTCTCCTGGACGGTGTTGTTTCGATCAACGCCAGCGAAATTTACGAGAGTGTGATTAAAAAACCACACGCCCGCAAAGTGAGTGTTGCAGCATTGGCAAGTGGTGCAACAGTTGGCTGAACGCTAACTTGTTTGGTGGTTGCTTGTTCATTCCAGGCTTTGCAAACTGGAGACGAGGCTGTTGCCAAGGATGATCAGGCCTTCCTGCAAGAGCACGCCCCAAAGCTGCTCAAGCTTCGCGAAAAGTTCACTGGCTCGACCAGTTCAACTGTCACGTCCGTTTCCGGAGAATCAAAGGTACGTTATTCCAGCTCGGTGGGCAGGTTTTTTGTTGGTGGGGCGGGGAATGATTTTCTCACTGTTTTTGTTTTTTTTGTGTTTGTTTGTTTTTGTTTTTTGTTTTTCTTGCTCTTCCTCCACTGATAGCCATCCATCCCATCAGTCGATGCTGGTGCTACCGCGGGATCCACTGCATCCCCTGGAAAGAGCGCTGCCGGTCGCTCAACACCCGCCGACGGTGCTTCTAACGAAGTCATCAAGAGCTTCTTTAGCTCATTGCTCAACCAACCCAAGAAGGCTACTGCGAAAGCATCCAGCGCCGACGCACCAGATGCCGCTGCTGTCCCGCGCAAGGATGTTGATGCTGCTCTGGATCAAATTCGGAACAAGCAACCTTAAATTGTGTAGTCGAGAACATGGAGAAGGAGTTTTCCTTTTCTTCTTACTTTTGTTGGCATCCTGCTGAGCCAGGCCTGTGTTGATTTTTTTTCTTCTTGCATTCATTGTTTCTTGCATTTGTTTGTATCTGTTGAGTGTTGAACGTGCTGTGAGAAGTACAGTGAAGCGATCTTGACCGCTTTTTTTTGCTTCCCCTGTTTTGCTCAAATTGCCCCCATTTCCCCCACTCTACCCTTCCCCCGTAACACTGTACTGTATTTTTGAGTGATCACAACCCAAACCTAACAATCCCACGACACGACGACCAGTCTTCCGTTCCAACCTTTTGTCACCGAATGTCTGATCAAGCATCCACCTCTGCTGCCGCTGCCGCTGCTCCGGCTGCTGCTCCGGCTGCCGCCCCCGTCGAAGGCGCGACCCTCGACGATGCTGTCCAAGCCGACTACGATGAAGAACTTGCCGGCGCCGAAGAGGATCCCGTAAGGCAGTCGTAGTTGTCGTTGTAGTCGTCGTTGTCCTTTTCCATCGTTTTCCCATATGGCCCATCGAGCCCTTCGCTTGACCCCGACTCCACCGCTCCACGACTCCACCACTCCACCTCAAGTCGCTCAATGCAAAACTGACTCTTGACTGGAGCACAATGACGCACCACAAGCGGCAATGGAAGCGCCAAATCATCCTCACCGCGTTTTGATATCTCCTTTTGACTAGGATCTTGAGGCCGTCAAGCAGAAGGTCGCCGAGATGGAAGAGGAGGCCAAGAAGCTCCGCGAGATGCAGGCGGATGTTGAGCGCCAGCTGGGCGTCGCTGGACTGAGTGCTGCGAGCAAGGAGGACATTGACGCACGATCCGTCTTTGTGGGCAACGTCGACTACTCGTCCACTCCCGAGGAAGTCCAGGCGCACTTTGCGTCGTGCGGAACCGTCAACCGCGTCACCATCCTCGTCGACAAGTACACTGGTCATCCCAAGGGGTAATGATTCAGAGTGCATTGGAGTTGAGTGGCGAGTTTGAATGCTCTGAAACTACATTGTGCACGCTATTACCCTTTCAGATTTGCCTACCTCGAGTTTGCCGACAAGGACGCCGTCAACAACGCCATGAGCCTCAACGACACTGTCTTCCGCGGTCGTCAGCTCAAGGTACGCGAGTTGTTTTCATACTGTTACGTTCCCGATGCGATGCGAATGTAACTCATGTTTGTTTGCTTGTTTGCTTGTTTGCTTGTTTGTCTGTGTGTATGTTTGTGTGTATGTGCACTCTGTGCACTCTGTGCCAACCACTACTTTGAATCGCACTGTAGGTGACCCCCAAGCGCACCAACGTGCCTTTCATGAACGCCATGGGCCGCGCTCGTGGTCGCCGTGCTCGTGGTGGTCCCTTCCCGCCGCCGCAACGCGCTTACAACCCGTATGGACCATATGCTGGCTTCCGTGGTCGCGGAGCTCCGTAAGTTTTTTTTTTTTTTTTTTGGAACCAGCAGGCTGCTTTGGTTTTTGAGACGCAGGAGGCCGTTGTGTCTAACTGTGGCGAACTGCTGTTTCCTTCTCTGCAGCCGACACCGCCGCGCATCGTACACTCCTTATTGAAGGGACTGTAATGCGACAACCAGTGCGGAAATGGACGCTTGGTTTTTTGGAACAAGATCCCGCGCGCGACTCGAGCTTCTTTTCTTTCCTCATTTCATGAATCCGCCATCATTGGCTCCGTGGTTTGGGGATGGGGATGCTGACGTACTCTGGGTAACAAGATAAAAAAACAAAAAAACAAGCCGTGAAAATATTGGTGCAAAAACAAAACAAAAAAATATGTGACAAAGAAACTGAAAATCAAAATCAAAAGCACGAAAGGAAAAAAAGCAAAAGAATCACGCACCAAAAGAAAAAGGCAAAAATCATGCACCAGGATCCAACAAGAGGTAAAAAACAAAAAAAGCCAAAAAGCATCTGGAACACACAAGAGGTCAAAACAAACAACCCAGTACCAGGACCAACCAAGCATTAACGCAAACGTTGGTAGAGCGCATATATACTGATATATCATAGCGTCAGGGTTTCGGGCTTCGACGAGGACTATGCGACAGCGACGACTTTCATCATATTTCCTTCGTGTAGGGCTGTTTGTTTGCTCTTCTCCGTGAATAGTTTTGCGCAGGCTTTAGCAGCAGCGACGCAAGTGAATCAGGCTAGGTTAAGGTAACCTTATTTTGCTAGACATCCCCGCTCCTCGAGATTGATGTCCAGGACCACATCATCCGAAAACAGCAGCTCAAATCGTAAGACTGCAAGGTGGGCTGATCCTGCAGCCGAGCCCTGTGGAGATGCTGGCGTGTCCATCATTCTGAACTATATTCTTTGTGCTATCATCTAAGACTTTTCATACATCTGCTTTCCTGGTTTGTTTTCGTGCTCCACTTCTCATTTCAATCAAACAACAAAGCGGATGAGCGACTCGGCTCAATCGAAGCAGCAGCTGCCTGTTGCAACTCCGGTGAACGACCAAGACGACTCGGATGAAGATGACGATGATTACGATCCATGTAAAAAGCAACCGACTGGAAAAGAGAGTTGCTCAGAAAAATGGCGCTCTCAGACTGAACGTTGCTGGCCGCGTTTTGTTTGTTTGGTGTGTCTGCAGCTGCTCCGGAGCGTGGTGCTGACAAGGGAGGCTCTGGCTCTGGCTCTGGCTCGGATGACTCGGATGGTGATTCAGGCGACGACGACGACGACGACGACGACGACGACGACGACGATGGGGAAGATAAAAGCAAGAACAGGAACAAGAAGGCAAAGAGCAAGAAGACGCGGGCGAACAAGGCTGCCAAGGGTGAAAAGCATCACGATGACCATGGTGATGACGATGAGGATGGCAAAGTCGGACGCCGGGTGACGCGGAGCGGCCTGGGGAACGACTCGAGCCATCTGCTGCAGAGGTCGAGCTCAGCGAGCGCCGCGCTCCCAGCCGCCAGCGCAGATATCGACGACCTGTGGTCTTCATTCAAGACAGACACGGCATTGCCAGGAAAACACGCGGCGACGGCTCAGGCGAGCTCCAAACCCGTCCAATCCGCTGCCTCCCCGTTTGGCGGTGGCATGGCGGCTCTCCTCCAGCGAACAAGCACGGCTGGTGTCTCAAGCATAGGTAGCAGTGGATCGAGTTCGTCCCCTGCGTCACCAGTAAGAAACACGAGCGAAGAGCGAGAAGGTACAAAAGGTCGAAGCGAATATTGTGCGCTCAACACGAACTTGCTCGAACAGCTCGTCAACTCAAGCATCGCGGCTCTGTTGGCCACCGGAAAGGCCTCGACGCCGAGCGCTGCAACGGGTTCAACTTCAACCACCGTGTATAATTTTGCAGGCACGGACGTTGTGTAAGATCAAGAGTCGGGATGGGCCGGTCGCACTCGTCGTTCTCTGCCCACGTCGCTCACGCTTCCTTGGATTGTGCTGGCCTTGCGTAGGGTTCAATCGAACAAACCCACAACTGCTGCTGCCGCTGCTGCTGCGCCCATTCAACGAAAGCGAACAGAAGTTGACGCTGCATTTGATGACATTTTGGGCAGCGCTTCCAAAAAGCCGCGCATGAGTGCCCTGACCAAAACGTCGCTAGATTGGAAGAACTTTAAGGATGAAGAGGACTTGGAAGAGGAGCTTCGAAACCACAACAAGGATGGGTGAGTGCATTCGCTTCAAATTCAACAACCTGTTTGGTTGGTTGGTGTCTCGGATTTTTGTTTTTGATTTGTATGATTTTCGGTGGGTGGCTCACGTGAAAATTATGACAGCTTCTTGGAACGTCAGGCATTTTTGCAACGGAGTGAATTACGAGAATGGGAGCGCGATCGCGAAATCCGCATGAAGCGACGATAACGTTCTTGTTGTTCTTCTTCTTGTTGTTGTTGTTGTTGTTGTTGTTGTTGTTGTTGCGATAGTTGCTGCTGTAGAATATTACGATTACAGAATGTACAATGCTCGACAAGGTTCACGTCAGCTCGTTTCGCGAACTGGCAGTGCTCAGTACACAGCTGCCGCCGTCACGAAACAGAATTAACGTCACATCGTTTTCCCCGTTGGCCTGTTCGAGACAGTGCTCGCGATCGCCATACGCAACGGGAGCATCGATAAAACCCCAGATATTGAGCGCAGCCCATGGGAGTTCCGGGCAGGTGGCCAGATAGGCTCTGTCAAAACCAAAGCCGGGAGAGGAAGAAGGGACTGGTTTGAGCGTGAAAGCTACGGTTGAGCGGAAACAGTAATGGCAACAGTACCTTGCTCGAGCAACTACTCGCTTAATTTGCTCACTCGACACAATGCCGGTAAACTTGCTGATGGAAACAGCCAGCGGAACGGCGTCTCCAGTGTCGGAAATTTCGACCTCGACGCCTTCAAATTGGAAGGTACTCGCAAAGTCGTCGGCGGCCCGTGGTGCTCTGCAACCAACCAGCCCACATAATAAATGAAACAACCAGAACGGAAAGTAAGAGTTTACCGTTGAGCAAGGAACAAAAACAAAGTTGGGAGAACGTACAGGCTGATTCCACACGAAATCGCGCCAAACCAAGTCTGCCAGGTGGATAGATAGGGTCCAAGAGTGGCATTGTCCTGTGCCGCCACTGACTCGATCGGAGCGACAAGTAATTGTGGTACGGTGACGGCACGCTGTTCGGTATGAGAAAGGTGGAGGGTTCGTGCGGGAGCCAGCGCGTGTTTGTTGAGAGCGTGTGCTGGAGATGGCGCAGGTTGATCGCCATTTGTATCTAGGGATGAAGGGTTCAGTTATTTCCATGCATCCAAAAAGAAACTCAAACTCGACTGCAACCATTCGACCAAAAGCAGTCGCATAGCCTTCTTCTTACAAGTCGCAGCATCCGTGCACACAAACTTGAACGACCTTGTTAAGCGCTCTGCAAAGCACCATTTTACTCGCTCGTAGTGGCTCTTGCCAGGAACAAAGCTCTCGGCGGCGAGATGTATCCGGACGGCTGGAAACCCCAAACAAACAAACAAATAAACAAACAAACAAACAAACAAACAAACAAACAAAAAAGTGAGCAACATTCACAATTTGGGTCAATAGAGAGTTTTCAAACCGCACTATGTCGCTGCTGTATCTCGTGCTTGGACAGCTGGCCTTCGAGACCACACAACTCGTAAGCCTCTTTGCTGAGCGACAATGTCAGAAATCCTAAAGTTCGGTTGTCCAGAAGAGAGATGCAAGTTGGTCAGCATCACTGCTGTACTTTTGGTCCCATCTTCACCTATGAAGACGAGGTTGATGAGGTTTGATTTTACCATCTGCAACGGCCGGAACGCAGGTAGATCCGTCCAGGCGCTCACTCACGGACATTGCAACGAAATGGCCATTGCGAACGTGCCGCTGCAGAAACTCAGTGTCCAACAATGCCAGCAGCGGGATTTCAATGACATGAAATTCCGCACTCTTGAGCGGCTGTGCGACCGACATTCGCGTCACTGAATCTGCTGCGTTGGTTTGCTTGGCATTCGCTGAAATAGCTCGATCGCGAGCCCATGGCAGCACCAGTTCAACCTAAGCGAATCCATACAAAGAAAAGAAAAAAACGGACCAACCAAACGCATTAATCCGACATTGAGCAGTAAGTGAGTGACGCTGCAATTCATTGGATGTCGCATTCAGGAGCACAGACAAGACAAGACAGGGACTGCGCGCCACGAGGAAGATGAAGATGGTGAGGACGAGCGAGGCGGGGGCGGCTGCTCCCCCCCCCCCACTTCAACAAGAGAGCGTGATGATTCAGATGCACTCACGGCGTGGTTGAGTGGATGCTCGCTGAGAATGCGATGGACGAGCGCGTCCTTGTCGAGCGGCGGTGCTTGGGCGGCAAAGCGCAACGCGCCGGGTCGAGGCAGCGCAGACAAGCCGAGCGTCGTCATACGGGTATGAAAGCAACCCAATGAATGAATCAATGAATCAAGGCAGAGGAAGGCAAGAGCAGCAGCGGGACCTGGTCGGGACGCGGGATTCAAACTTGGATTGGTTTCTGAGAATGGTGAGCTAGCAAAAACAAGGACTGAAACACTTCAAAAGACATGACAAGTCAGATTCGGGATGTCCGTGTTCCGAGCACAGTTCAGTTGCTCTGAGCAGTGGTGATGCTCAGAAGTCTGTTCTGAGCACCACAGCTCAGTCGTCTCTCTCTCTGTTTTCACTGAGCGCTGCTGTCGATTGCAATGAGTTATCGACTGTTTATCGGCAATCTCGATGCACGGCTGACAGAGTGAGTCATTGTAGCTTCATTTGAATGAGTGGAGTGGAGTGAGTGAGTGGAGTGAGTGGAGTGAGTGGAGTGAGTGAGTGACAACGATCCTCATACGACACACACCATTGAACCTGTTGCTGCTCCTTGGGATCTCAGGTACCATCTGCTCCAGATGCTCCAGCGCTACGAGGGCTTCACCAAGCTGCACTTCCTATGGCACGCGGCGGGACCAAAGCGCGGCGAGCCTCGCGACTACTGCTTCGTCGAGTTTGCCACTGCTGAGGTACTTTGGGGCTGCTCTGCTGCACGCGGACTGAAACGACTTTGGCTGGTGTGAAACTCGCAGACTGCTTGTGTTTGCTAACGGTGGGTTGGGTTTGCTGGATATGGGGTTGGCGGGGGGGGGTTGTGCTTGGCATCGTAGACGGCGAATCGTGCGGTCGAGCAACTCAATGGAAAGCTTGCACTGGGTCGCGCGCTGCGTGTTTCAATTGCCAAGGAGAAGGTTTGTGATTGTGCTATTCACTGTGAAGGGGTTTTGCCGATTGGAAATGGACCGATCGGCACAACTTGTTGCTTTTTGCTCGACATCTTCTTACCGTCCGTTCTTGCTCAACGACTCATGGCAGGCTGAAGATGATGGATGGAATCGCAAGCGACCAACTGAAGAGCACGGGTTGGAAGTCCCGCAAACGCTATCTCTAGACAATATCGCAAAGTAAGTTGACTTTGTTCCAAGAATTGGCTGGGAAATGCATCTAACATCCATCGCCTCCTTCTCGCTTCCCCCCCCCCCGCTCCGCGCGCGTCTCGACAGTATCACCGCTCGCATACTCGCAGTCGAGCAAAAGCTTCGTTTGATGGAGCGCGAATCCGAGCTTGCTGTGGACGACCTAGCTCCAGCATACTTTGCCCCGCCACCAGTCCCTGTCGAAGCATCTTCGTCCTCAAGGCACCATGGCGACAGGCATCATGGAGACAGGCACCATGAAAGGCGAGATCACAACGACCGTGATCGGCGGCGATGACAGCACAGACTGCGATTTTAGTTGCAAGTTCCTTGTTCCGCAATAAACACCCATCCTGGCAAATGTCTAACATCATGAACGATGCAGCAGATTCAAGTCGCGATGCGTGACCTCCAACGCGAGCCACATGCATCTCAGCACAACACATAAAGTTGGTTTTGCGAGAGACAATGACAAAGCTGCTCAAAAAACGAAAGCAATTATTGTACAAACAACTGGACACAATCGTGCATGCGTAAATCGGAGGAAGGAAAGAACAGAGACTCACTCAATAATGCCAAAAACGAAATCAGACGGGGGAGGGAGGAGAAAAAAAAAACGATATCTCTATTGTGTCGACCACTCAGCGTCGCTCCAGCGTCACCCAGACACCGTCTCGAGGCCGCAAAATGATCTCGCCAAGGGGGGCAAGCTGGTCTCGTGTTTGAGTTGACACAATCCGGAATCGCTTCAGGATGGACGCCATGACGACACGCTCCTCAAACTCGGCAAACCGTTGTCCTGTTGGTGGTGAAGTGGCAATCAGCAACATTGTCACGAAATTGGGCAAAACGTTTTGTTTCTCAGCCAATGCAACTCACCAATGCAGTTCCTGGGACCGGCGGAGAACGGAATATAGGCGTACGGGTGTCGGTTGGCTGAGTTCTCGGGCAAAAACCGGTCCGGATTAAATGCTTCCGGGTCGGGCCAATGCTTTGGATCGCGATGGACAGCATACGGGATGAGACCAACGGTGAGCCCTGCTGGGATCTTGTAGCCGCAGACGTCAATGTCCTGGTCGAGAACGCGACTGATGGCCGGCACAGATGGGAACAGTCGAAGTGCTTCCTTCAGCGTCATCTCGAGATACGGCAACTCGTGGGCCTTCAGCTGCTCAAACGAGGGCGACGGCTCGCTGCCCAGCACACGATCAAGCTCTTCGTGGATTCTTGCTTGAACATCGGGATGGCTGCCAATCAAATGCAACGACCATGCCAAGGCTGCAGCGGTGGTATCGTGGCCTTCGAACATGACTGTGGAGACAAGCCAAAAAAAAGACGTGAGGGGGTTGTTGAGTTCACACAGCTCCTCGAGAAGAAACTAGAACAAAAAAGTTCACTTACATGTATCAACTTCCTCGCGAATGTCCATGTTGGAAAGGTGGTTGCCATCCTCGTCGCGCGCAGAAATCAACAAATCCAAAAACGCGAGACGGCGCTTCTTGGACGAGTCGGCCTGCTCGTCTGTCACGTCGGGGTTGTCGTTGAGGAAGACGCGTCGCTCTGCAATGACCGAGTCGGTAAAGTTGTGGAGCTCTGCCAGAACGCGTGTGTGATCGCGCCCATCAGGGAGCCAGCTGTAGATGAAATCCGGCCAGTTCCAGGGAAACTTTTGGCGATGGTGGATGAGTTCGGAAATGCGGAAGACAGCCTGGACGTAGGTGCTTTCGCTCTGTTTCAGCGCGTGCAGCTTTTTGCCCATGGCCGTTTCGCAAATGCTGTCCAGTGCGCACAGCGAGACCAGCGGGAAGACATCGATCGGCTTTTTCGTGTCTGCGCTGGCATCCAAAACGCCAATAAGGACCTCAGCTTGCTCGCGGAACACCTCGACCATTCCGCGCAAAATGTCAAAGTGGAAGGCCGGCGTCAGCATGCGTCTACGAGTGCGCCACTTGTCGCCGCCTGAGGTCAGCAAGCCGCGACCCAGCCAGGGTGTCAAAAACCAGTAAATGAAGGATTTCTCGATATGATGCGAGCCACGAAGCACGGCCTGCGAGGCAACGATAATCATTTACATGTAGCAGAAGGATTGAGTTGAAAGTCGAATTTTGTGAGATGCTTTCATTGGCGAATGTTTGGGGAAGATCACGAGTTGTTTTGGCAATGGATCGGCATTCACCGGAATTGTCGGTTAATTGGTCGACACCAGAACAACTCAGAATGATCGGCTCCAGTCACACCCCCTCTCAAAGACGTACGAGACCCGGTCTAACCCCCTTCACCCCCTTCTCCCTTTCGCCCTCTTCACTATTCTCGACTGTCTATTGCCCAACTTGAGCTTGTACCCATCCATGGCACCTGCTCTAATTCGCATCAGTGTTTTACGCGGCGTGTTTGGCCGTAATCACATTTCACGCGCGTTCTCTTTGTCTTCTTCTGTCCATCCCAGCAACCGTCAGCATTTCCCCTCCCCCCTGCACCCACTCCACCAAGTCAGATTAGTATGCAAACGCAACAGAGCAGAATAACGCAGAAGGCATAAAGCGCGAGAGGGACAGCTGTGTTCTGCCACTAAAATCGTGGTAGGCGTGGCAAGCCGCTTCCGTTGGCAGTCAGTAAATGATCCACCGAGCCGATTCAAAATAAGCGACTTCAAGGAAGAAGAAGAACAAGAAGAAGAAGAGCGAACAAACCCGACGTGGCATGGCGGGGGCAACACAGTGATGGTGGTGGGGAGGTGAGAAGAGGGCAGGCGGGTTCAGGTCTTCGTGTCGCGACCAGAGCCATCGCCCCACCCCTCCTGCCTCGTCATGGAACTCACTCAGTCTCTCCTTCCCTCAACATGCTTACTCTTCGTCGTGCAACTCACCTCGACAGACTCTGGGGCGGTGAGGACGGCGATCGGGATGGGCCCCAGCCAGATGGTAAACACGCTGCCAAACTGCTGAACGAGACCCACAAACTGGACAAAGAAGCGCGCGTCGTCCAGCTCAAACCAGGGCACAGAGCCAATCAGCGGCAGCGCGGGCATGGCTGGCAGCAGCGACACGAGCCGGCGTGTGCGGCTGAGCTGCGTGTACGCAACCAGCCCGCCGAGCAGCGCCGTGAGCACCAGCAGGACGATTGTTGTCGTCGAGCAGGCACCCGCTCCCGGACTGCCTCCGCCGAGCTGCAGCAGGCCCTCCAGCAATGCAAGCAGCATGTCAGTAGAAAATCAAAGTAGAAAATGAAAAAAAAAACCAAAAACGAGTGTGAAAGGGACGACTGTAAATGCAAAGCGAGAATACAATCAAAGTCAACAACAACAAAGGAAGACGACTGACAAGGAAAAAGAATCTCAAAACAAAAAACAAGACAAAATACTAAGAAACCCTAAGAAAACCTAAGAAAAACGCTGGATCAACAAGTGCAATCTGAGTGTCAAGCGTTGATTCAGTTGGTCGACAATTGCAACATCCAACAACAACGTGCAGCAGTCCACTGACACTTGCACTTGCGACCCTCCTCACCACTCCACATTCTCAATTCACCAATGAAGGACTCGAAATGCGTGTTTGGTAACGCAAAACGGCGAATCAAAGTGTCGTTGCATTGAGCTGTTCACTCGAAACATTCACTCGTCTGTCTTGTCTGTCTTGTCTGTCTTGTCTGTCTCTGGTCTGGTTTTATTAGTGGGCAACATTTCGTACGATGTCACCGAGCAGGAAGTCATCGATCTGTGCAGCCAAGTCGGTCCCGTCATCTCATTCAGGCAAAGCAAAACGCTGCAACGAACAAACGAACGAACTGTTGCTGCTCATCCGCCCGCTCCTGCTCTCCCCCCGCCCCGCTCCTCGTCGTCGTTCACGCAAGCAACATGGTGCAACCACCTCATTGAGCTGCTGCTCGAACTGGCCTCGAGTCGCGTTTTGGTCGAACGATGGGGGAGTGAGCGAGAGAGAGAGAGAGAGAGAGAGAGAGATCTCGCCTTCTCCCCCTTTCACTATGCCGTCGTCCCAGACACAAAAGCAACTCACCCTTGTTCGCGCATTCGTCATTGCTGGAAAACTCTCTGCAGATTGGTGTTTGACCGCGACACCGGCAAGCCCAAAGGCTTTGGCTTTTGCGAGTACACGGACGCCGAAACCGCCCAAAGCGCCATTCGCAACCTGAACGACCTCGAGCTCAAGGGCCGTCGCATCCGTGTTGACTTTGCGGAAAGTGATGCTGTTATCAAGTTTGGCGGAAACACCGATCGCGGTGATCGCGGCGGCGGCGACCGTGCCGAGCGTGGCGAGCGGCCAGGTCCCGGAATGCATGTGTCAAAGTTTCAGCAAGACAGTGCGCGTGAGTCGCTTTGGTTGCGGGGTGCTTTGTTGATGTGTACTGGAGAGTCCTGCTCCGTGGTTGTACGGGTCAGAGAGCAGTTGCTGTGGTACCAATGCCTCATCGATGTGAATTTTGGTTTGGGTTGTTTTTGTTTGCTTTTTTTTTTTTTTCGCCGGTCAAGCAGCCATGGACGTTGCTTCGCGTGCTGCTCCCCAACACAACCCGTACCAGGCGGCTGTATGTGTGCTTCATTGTGGCTCGGATGTTTCTTTGGAACTTCTTTGTCATCCTCCAACTCATCGGTACATTCTCAACCTCGTTTACCCCCGTTGAACGTGCGTGCTCAGGGACCAGTTTATGGACAAGCTCCTCCCGCCGGTGGCCCGCCGGCTGCAGAAAGCATCAACACAACCTTGGCCAGTATGCCACCCGCTCAGATCTTTGAATTTCTTAAGCAAATGAAGGTAAAAGGCGCAAGGGGGGGTGATTTCGGCGACTGTTTGAGCCATTGTCACTCATTACCATGGCGCTTCTCCTCGAATTTGCTTGCTTTGTCATTATTTCTGGTCCTTTGTTTCCTTCTCTTCAGCAATTTATCACTGGGTCTCCCGAGCAAGCCCGGCAAACACTCATGTTCAACCCCCAACTGGCGTATGCGCTTCTTCAGGCACAGCTTCAACTGGGATTGGTTGATCCTGAAGTGGCAAAGGTATGGCGACAAATCTCGCTGGCCGCGCCTGTCGTGGACCATCTGGGAGACTGACCCTTCCATTTTGACTGGATTTGTGAAGAAAATGATTGCATCCATTCCTCAAACCTCAAAGAGCATGCAGCCTCCATCTCATTCGCATGGCGGTCCGTCGTTTGTGCCGGGCCCGCAAGCACCCCCACAAATGCACATGGGCGGCCCACCGCCAAATCAGCCACCGCCGCCATCTTTCGGCCCGCAAGGGATGCACCACCAAGCCCCGCCATCCCAGGGCATGGGTATGATGCCAGGTCAGCATATGGGTCACATGGGAGGCATGGGAGGTGCACCATCGTCCCAGCAGAATATGCCACCAATGAACATGGGCCAGATGCCCGCGCCAAGCGGCATGATGCACCAATCTGCACCACTGATGGCTGGTCCACCGCCACCACCCATGGGCGGAGGCGCTCCCATGACGCAAGAACACCAGGTACGAACGCGCGTGGATCACGTTTGGGTGTCGTTGTTTTGTGATTCTGTTTCTCACTGCCCTTTGCCGGGTTTTTTATTTTTATTTGGTGATTTTTTTAACGTTTGTCGCAAGCAGTTGTTGATGCAGCTCATGGCACTCACTCCACAGCAAATCGATATGCTACCGCCGGATCAACGCGCGGCTGTACACGCCTTGCGAAGCCAAGTGGGAGCACAATAAGCCAACGATGTTGTTTGAGTTTTTAGTTTTTCTTGTAATTTTTAAAACAAAAGTACTGAAACATTACAAAACTTCAAAGAGAGAAAACTGTACAAGACAAGCTATTGCTCCTTGCCAGCGACATCGGCGGGCGGACTGACGACTGACGGGACGATTGGAGCTGGGGGAGGCGCGTGTTGGGCTCGTGTGCGCTCAAACAGGAATGTCACATAGTAGTTGGCACCGTTCCAAAGCGCAGCAAGCAAAAGTCCTACAACGTGGAATCGCAGAAGAAGAGTCATTAGAACGCAAGCTCCCCCCCCCCAAAAAAAAAAATCATCCTAATAATAAAGCTAAAGAATCGTCCGACGTGGAACGTACCGAGCAAGAAAATGGTGTGCATGACAAAGGACTGGAAGAACAGGATGGTTGGTAGAATTGTCAGGACTGTGAACAAGAGTTGAATTCCTGCACAAATCGTTTGATTGAAATGAGAGGTTGTGAGCAACAAAACTTCTTGAACTCGTTGCTCAACAAAATGGCCACCCTACCCATGTACACGGTCGGCCAAAAGCGTCGATCAAACTTGTTCATAATGCGATAAGAAATGTGGCCGCGCGAACTGCTGAGCCAACGATAGCTCGTCTTGAGGCGAACATTGGCAGCAATCTTTGCGTGGTCAACATACTCGGTCTTGAGAAAGTAGGAGAGCTGCCAGATGGCGTAAATCACGAGAGGAGAGGAGAGCCACGACCAGACGCTGGGAATGCTGCAGTCGTCTTGGGAGCACACGGAAGCTTGGCCCTCGAGCGGCGTGTACCAGCGAATGGAATAAGTGACTGTGCGTGCGGAGCCACCAACGCAACGAAACGAAAGACATGTAGATGTGATGAGGCTGAACCAAGCTTCAACTGTGCGATACAAAGCTCTCCGAGACGTCGTACCGATAGCAGGGAACAAATGAATGGCTGAGCTTGTCATTTTGTCGAGATCGTGAAACACGAACGAGTTGTGCTTTGAAAACCAAAAAAGAATCTGAATCAGCGCGCGCTCTCGAGCAATACTCGCCACACATATTCCCTTTACTTACCCAAGTGATAACGCTCCAAGCTAGCGGGCCGTTCATGCTGCTAAAAACCAGCTCGAAGAGTTGGCCGCTCGTTGGATAAAAGAATAGGTAGAAGAGTAGCAGGCATTGCGCAAAATAGCAGTAATCGAGCAGAAAGTAATGCCATTGCTCACGGTGATACAAGACATAGCGCGTTCCGACGAGCTGAGGTGGCAAAAAAACAAAAGGCAGCGTTGGGTAAGTCACACACACGCACGCACACACCACACACCACACACACACACACACACACACACACACACACACACACACACACACACACACACACACACACACACACACACACACACACACTTGTGAACGCTTACAGGAATAATGCAGACGGCATACCAAAGCCAAATCCACTGTGGATACCGCAAGAGCAGGAATTCAGTCACCAGAAAGGACGCGACAAAGCCGGTAAAGCAAATCTTGTCGATCAGTCGCAAAAATGGTGGTTTGGAGACGCGCTCTTCCCACGCCTGACCCCGGACGAAAACAGGCAACGGAAACAATGAGCAGAAACAAACACAACGCAACAAGCACCGACCCAAGACTCTCGTGAGCAGAGTGCCGATTCAGCCACGATAGCGAAAACCTGCGTTACCTGGCGCCTGCGATCAAAGTCCGCCTTCACCTTGGCTTGATGATGCGCAAGCTCGAGCTGTCGCTCACGAATGCGGTCTCGGTGCTTGGAGATCAGGTGCTGCAGCCGCTCCTTCTCGTGGGCCACCAAATGGCGCACAGCCGATCGGACGTCGCCTCCCTTGTCGCGAATCTCGCTAAACTTGTCAATGAGCCGATCACCGATCGAAGACGTCGACATTGACTTTTGAAGTCGGCGTGCTTGCTCAGACTCTCGATCGAGGTGCGCCGCTGACGGGCGTCGAGATCGTGGCATCTGAGACTGGTTGAAAGCGTCCACCGTCGATTCTCCTTGCTGTACGCGACGCACAAATTGGTCAAACTGCTCCGACGAAGACGAAGCGCTCGGAGTGAATCCAGCATCCATATCGCTTAAATCCCGGGCGTCTGAGCCGACTGGTGACATGACCCACTCGGAATCAGAGTCGGCGCCAGAAGGCACTGAGCGTTTGGACGCCCGCTTTTCTTGTTGCCGCCGAATCGACGATGCGTCACGGTCAGTTTGCTCGTTGTCATGCTGCTGGTAGAATTGCAAGTTATCAGGATTGTCTGAGTGACTTGAGGAGTCTCGAACTGCGTCTGCACCATCAGGGTCTTCATCATCGCTGTCCAGTCCGGAGGCAATGCGATCGAGCGTCTGCATGACGTACGACTCGACTCGGTCGTTCATGTCATTCACCGACCCTTGGAGCTGGATTCCTGGCGCCAGCAGGTCGTCCGCTGCGTCGAGCAGTGCAGCATGGTCGTCGTGCAACAAATGGTCGCACGAAGCGTGGTCCTGCTCGCTCTCTGCGGCCGCGTATCCATCATGCAACTGGTGCGTTGTTTGGTGCGCTTCTCGCTCCGCTTGTTCCTGTTCCTCTTGTCCAGGCCGCAGCAGAGCAGAGCGGGGACGTTCCATCGTCTGCACCGCATTCTCAGAAGTTGATGACGTCTGAGCTTTGCCACCATCTTGAACGCCGTTCGCCGCCGCGCCCGATGGATTGGTGTTTGTCGCTGCGGCAGTGGTAGTTTCAGTTGTTGCAGGGCTTGTCGCTGTAGTGGCATTGATGCTAGGGCTCAGCGGAGCCTCGTTCGCAGGCATCGTGTCCGTCTCGAATAAGTTAGTATTGGTTGAACTCAGTGCGAAGTCTCAAACCGTACGTCGAGACTGATCGCTTCCAATACAATAACAAGGAATACGCTATCTGTGACCTTCGTCGTGGTAATTCAGTACAATAGAAGCCGTTCCACTAACTTGAACTGCGTCTGCATTCAGTTCACTTTTTTTTTCTTTTCTTCTTTTTTTCTTCTGCTTTGTTGCACAATGCTGGGCAACTGTGTATGGCGTACTCCCACTCACCTCTCTCTCGCTCTCTCTTCGCCCTGCCACATCCTCCCCCACCCAGCGCCGACCGTCACCCAATCTCATCTCCCTATATCGCAACGCATGTGCATTGACCATCCACTCCACCCCCGTTTCTCCCGCCGTCTCGAGCCATTCACTGCGTTTGCCAGCCACTGCCACTTCGTCTCCACCTCTCGTTCCTCTTTCAGTCCGCCCTCACTCTCCCGCTCGCTCTGTCTCTCATCCTCTGTTGTGTTACTGGATTGACTCTTCCTCCTCCTCCCCCTCCCCCTCCCCTCGTCCCAAGCACTTGACTCTGTTCCCCTTCCCTTCCCTTCCCTTCGCCTCCAATGCTTCAGCTTTCGCCTCGTGGATTTTTTTTTCCAATTCTTTTTCCTTGCTTGCTGTCCTTCACCCGTTTGTCCCGTTTGCTGCTTGGCGACGTGCACGAGTTCAATCGTCGCATGCGTCGTGTTTGCATCTCCACCTCTGCACCCTGCTCGCCACCAGAGTGCCACTGGGTGTGAATGGGATTTCCCGCTCAGATGACGCGCTCAGTTCCCAGTTCCTTTGACTGTTTGTCTCTCTCTCTCTCTCTCTCTCTCTCTCTTCCCCCCCCCCTCGCTCGCTCTCCCTCTTCCTTGGCGATGCAATATCCATCAGCGCTCCACCTCAGTCCACGCCAATGATTGCGATCGTCCAACGAGCTCGCTCGATCGCCTTGTTCATTCTTGCTGTGTTTGTTTCAGATCTCGAATTTTTTTTTTCTCTGGACGTTTTTGCGTTGATCCCTTTTCGACTCTTCCACTCCTCCACTCTGTTCCCGCGATCATTCTACGCTCATTTCCATGTCAAGCTCGTCCAATATGTGCTCGGCAAGGGGGTTTGAGTGCTGGCTTTTTGCCTGTCTGTCCTTTTGACGGCGCAGTCTGTTTCACTTTTGACGCGCCAATTCTTCAACGCCGGTTTCATGCTACTTTGTTTTTTTCTTTTTCTCTTTTTTTCGTTCCACAAAACTCACTTTCATGACTCGTTTGAACTTCCCCCGTTGTCTGTGATTTGTACCCGCAGAGCAAAGCTGAAAAGCTTGTCATTGATGGGTTACTTGCGACGTGTCCCGTCTCGAGCGCGCCACTCGCAACCTATGTTGCTTTGCTTGCACGACGCATCAATATTCCGGAAGAGCTGTTGGTCCCATTGGATCCCGCAGTCGCAGCATTGAAAGATGACAACGAAGCACTGGTTGAAGCTTTGGAGGCGATTCCGCGCTGGAATCTCCCAAAGGTACAAACAAAACATCTCTCGCTTTGTGCGTGTCCTGTGCAAAAAAAACTGCCGAGTCGTGATCAAACCAACTTTTTTTTTTCTGTGGCGTTGCTCGCACAGGCTAATTTAGCGGCATGGGCACCAGTACTCGACATGATGGATCATAAACTCCAAGAAATACTCAATACTCAGTCAGTCCCGTCGCTGGAGAGCTTGCAAAAGCCGTTAAAGTCGAGTGCCAATAGCAGTGCCAGCTCGGGTTCCGCGCCAGAAGCCAGCACCGATGTGACTGCCTCCAGTGCCGTCCTTCTCGAGAATTTGCGACTGCACTACTTGATCAACATTCCCAAGCAGGTTCCCCTCACGTGCGAAATTGCCTTGCCTTCGACGCGGCGGCTTGTCTTGGCCATTCTAAGGTTTACCCGATTGCTCATCCAAAACTCCACCAACCGACGAAAGTACAATTCCATGGAGGTAACTGTGTGGGCGCATGCATCATGTTTGTCGCGTATGCCCTTGACGCCAAAATGCTCACTATTCGCTTGGTTCATCTCATGCTCGCAGCACATTGCCATGCTTCTTGGCACGATGGATTCAGACATTCATATCGCTGCGTTGGAGCTGCTTCATGCCCTTTGCAAACACCGCCGCTTGCAGCTTCAGTCACCTTCGGTGATATCTCTCATTCGACCTCTCACTGATCGTCTGGAGCAATTGGCAGCGGCGTGGGGTGGGAGTCGACAAGGCTTGAGTGTCTTGAATTGCTATCGCGACGAGTCTGAACAGGTAAGGCTTTGTGGAACGCAGAGATTGAGCTCTCTGTCTGGTTTTTTTTTGCGATTGTATGCTGTGCGTGGGCTTGATCTGCCGAAATCGACATCTGACCCGCTTTTCTCTTTTTCTGCTGTGATTGCAGACGATTGTCCTCGGCCGCTCGATTGTGTATAACTACTGCATGGCCCCAGCCCCGGACGATGCTCCGTCCGAAACTAGCTCTGCCATGGACACATCTGATCCTTCCGGCTCATCGGCACCTGGAATGGAAGACGTGAATGACGCGACAAGCCAACCGACGACCGAGCCTGCACACGCCGCTGGCTCGTCGCCGGCCAAAGTCACCGTTCAAATTGCCATTCCCGATGTGAGAACCTATCTTCCTGAAGAGGCAGCGCACGTCGACCCTTCGCGAATTGGCACCCTTGCTCCCCAAGTGTTGAGCGCCATCTTGAAAACCTACAACGTCCCGCCGCAGTATCAGTTTGGCCTCCTAGTCTGCATTAGGAGAGCTCTGGTCTTTCCGTTTCTTCAGCAGCGTATAGAGCAAATGAATGTTCGTCTCGCAGCGTTCTGTGTGATTGGTAAGCGACTGCGCCCTCCTGTCCCGTTTGTTGCTTGACACTTTTGGCTGAATGCTTATTCGACTTTCTTGTATGCCTGCCAGCAATGACGCGAGAAAACAAACTTGTTACCAGCTTACTGAACGACGACCCAGACCTTCTGGACGAGTTGGTTGACGCACTACAGCAATCTTCGTCCCTTCCGATGGTAGGGCTGTTGCTTTTTGTGCTTGCTAGCGATGGTTGTCTAGCGATGGTTGTCTAGCAATGGTTGTACTTTTGCCTTTTCTCCTCGCTCACCATCATGATGCACTATTTCTGGATTGCAACCTGCTTGTAGTACGCTCGCACTTTGATTGTGCGCATGCTGACTGGTATTAGCACGCTGGTCAATTCGCATCGCTTTGAAGGCATTCTGCGCGAGTTGGGAGTTGCTCAGTTTCATGGCATTCTGCCTTCCGCCTTGCGGCAGTGCGCGGCCAGTCTTGCAGGTAAGTTGCGTTGGTTGGGCATGCTATCAAACAACGTGACTTTGTTTTGTTTGTGTTTTCTCATTCCTGTGTCGGGGCTTGGGTTTTTTTTTCCCCCCCCCCTTTTTTTTTTGTCTTCTACTTTGTTCAGCTGCGGAAGAAATCACCCGACTGGAAGAACAATACGCACTCACATTGCTCAAATTTTTCGTGCTGTCGAGTATTCCTCGATCAGGCAACAAATCTTTGGTTGCATCGGGCGTGGTGGCGACCATCATGCCGTTGCTCAACTTGCGTGGTATCCGCACCGTCAATGTAACCATCCACCCGTCTACATTGAATTTTGAGATGCTCAATCTGCAGTTCGGAAATCTCGAGTCTCTCACAATTTTTTTGAAAATGTTTTATTTATTATTTTTTTCTGCGGCGCGCTTTCTTGTTCCTCGATTTGTAGGTCTTAACCCTGATTAATGCGCTACTGGAAATGCTGTTCAAGCGAGCCGAATCTGTGAACGATTCGCATTTCATTTCTTTGGGTGGCGTCACTGCGATTCTTGACCGGCTGAAAGTTCGTGAAGCTGTTCATGCTTATCTGGTTGCTTGTGATGGCCCGCATCTCACATTATTGTTTTGCAACTTGTGTAGTTGGAACTCGATGACATCATGGCAACGTATGGTAGCGTTCCACCAGGTGCGTGCCATGGAAAGAAAAAAATCGTTCTTGTCTCGCTTGTCGCAATTCTGACCCCCCCTCCCCTGTGTTGCCTGTTTTGGAACTTTGCAGAATCCCGCAAGCCGCTCAGCTGCGAGCTATCCCACTACCTGAGCAGTTGTTTCACCTTTTGCCGCCTGGCCACGCGTATTCCAACTCTGGTTGATCACATGCGCAGTGCCTTTGACGGCAGCCTGCCACAGTGCCTGCGCATTGTGATTGAACACCGGCATGTTTTTTCAAGCAGTACCGTTGCCGATGGTAAGAAGACCAAGCATGGTCGTGTCAGATATTTTTTGGTGTTGTTGTTGTTGTTGCTGTTTTGCTTATCGCTCACTCCCCGCTTCTTCCTCCAACCCAAAACCAGCCATCAACTTGGTGGCAGACTTTGTGCACCATGAACCCACATTGCTCTCCGCTGTGCAGGAATCCGGTCTTGCTTCCCTCGTGCTAGATGCCGTTTTGCGCACAGTACCGCTGCACGTCGAACAACTGAAGATTCTTCCTCACGCTGTCAGTGCGCTCAGCTTGAATTCGGCAGGCTTGAAGATGGTGACGGATATCCCCGACGCCTTCCTCGATGTCTTGTCGATTTTCACGCGACCCATTTTCACTTCTTTGCTATCCTCCGGCATGACGGTCGCCAAGCTTGGCACTGGGTTTGAAGAACTGATTCGCCACCAGCCGACTTTGCGACCGGTCGTCTTGCAGGCGTCCGTCACGATTCTCCGGCGGCTTGTTCTGCTGGCCAATCCCGCCACAGCTGCCGCGGCTGTTGCAGAGTATGCAGAGCTTCCTCGGCTCGACCCCATTGACTTGGAGGAGCTTTCGTTCTGCGAACGTAGTAGCAGTCGAGGCAGTGGCGATGCGGCACCCATGGATGTGTCTTCGTCGTCGTCCTCGTCGTCGTCGTCGGCCTCCACTGTCGCTGCTGCACCGTCGGTTGTTTATCCAATTGGCAGCGATCGACGCCTTCAAATGCTGTATGGCTTGACTGGCGTTGAGGAAGACGAAGAGCTCGAGGCCATTCTTGAACTCCATGAAAATCAAGGGGACCAGTTTGCGCTCACTGGCTGCTCGGCACCTTTTGAACCCATCCGGGAGGTGCGCCCGACCGATACGGTTGTTCCCGTGGTTGACATGATTTGCAACTTTTGCCGAGTAAGTTGGCCCCTGGTTTGTTGCATGAAATGGGAGGAAAACTGTTCGATGAGGACTCACTATCGGTTGTGGGTGTTTGTGTGTGCTGTGGTGTCCTCTCCTCTGTCTAGTTCCTCGAAACATTCATTTCAGCTGAGGATGCGTGCAAGGAGTTTGCCAACTTGGGTGGTGTTGACTTGATGGTGGACTTGTTGACAGCCCCTGCGCTGCCTGCAGACTTTTGGCGGTCTTCTTCTTGCGCATTCATCTCTGCAGTGCTTCGCCAAGTCTCGCAGTTGTGCGACAAGGAGATGACAACGATTGCCATCAACCGACTGCACCGCTCGGTGGTGGAATTGCAATCCTTGACTGGGCTGTACCATTTGCAAGGGCTTCCTGTCTTGGTTGGTCGCATGAATGAATCGCATGCCGATGCTGCGGTTGATTCTGCTTTGCATTCCGCTTCGGAAGCCGACGCCACCTTGCCAGCACGCCCTCCTCCGGATTCGTCGGACGCGTTCTTTGCGCTCAAACAGTCTGATGAGCGCCTCGTTCGCGCATTCAACCACCTTAACAACTTGGTTGTGCTGTTTCGCACTTCACGAGACCATCGTAGGCTCTCCGCCTCGGCCATCAACCAAGCCACGCAGCAGTGGATGACTGAGACGGGGTCCGCGACGGTTCGAGGCTTGTGCCAAGTGTTTGTGAATGTCTTGAGCCATTTGAGCACGGTATCCACTCGGAAGCACCTGATGCGCTCGAGCCTCTTCCGAGCGCTGGCGACCAGCGAACTACTCGAAGAGCTTCCCAGGCTGACGCGGCAACAACGGCAACCTGCCGCAGGCCAGAGCGCGCCTCGCTCGCAAGCCACGGTGATTGACATGAGCCTGGACTGGTACATTGCTGGCAGATTGACAGTCAATTCAAGCGTTGGTGTCGACATGGATCTTGCCGCGGTGGATGTGGCCATTCGTTTGCGTCATTTCTTGCGCTTTCTCTTGTCGCTGGTCGGTGCTGCCAAGCAAGATCCGGCTCGAGCGAACGTGGGCGGTCTGCTGAGCACGGTCGTGGACGGGCTGCTTGAACCATTTTCGCGCTTTGCTGATGGGCAGGTTTCTGGTCAAGCTTCACCCATGCAATCCGTTCCCCTTCTCGCTGTCATGTTCAAGGAAATTCATTCTTTGCTGCTCGACGACCGCATGCAGCTCGCGGGCTCTGGGTTTTTACGTGGTCTCATGGACAACTTTGGCCGCTCGCGTGTCCTATTTGTCGCTTTGGAGGCCTTTGTGCAGTGCCTGCATCAAGTCGCTCGGAATGAGGCAGCCTTGCTGCTGCATCCCTCCTTGCCTGCTGCAGAGGCGCGGCGGCGATTGGAGCCCAGCCCATCGGCAGTGTTGGGTGTTGTCTGCGGCCTCCAACTGCTCGAATTTGCCTTCCGTCCGGAGAGTGTCAGTCTCCTCTCCGAGGCGGATGCCCCTCGTGCAGAGCAGCTGATTTTCTTCTTGGCAGAGTCCATTGCAAAGTTGTTGCTCAACCTTTTCGGGCAGTCTGAAACGGCGAGCGCAGTGCTTGCCATGTTTGATCCCATCAACTGCTCCACGATTTGGCTGCTTGCTGGGTTTGTCACCTCACAAAAATTCCGCAGCTCCATCAAACCGGCTGCTCCTGCGCCCTCTGCGGACTCGCCGGACTCGATCTTGCGCGATCATGTCCCTGGAGCGTTGCGTACTGCGTTGATTAATGCGTACTCTGCCGCAAATCCCGTCACAGATCCGGCACTTGTGAGCATGATGGTGGACATGGGCTTTCCCGAGAGACATGCCGTCCGTGCTCTTCGAGCGGCCAACAACGACATTGCCCTTGCAACCGAATGGGCTCTGGAACACGACTACATCCCGGATCGTGACACGACGGCACCCAGTAGTGCTGCTGCTGCTGCTGCCCCGGCTCCTGCTGCCGAAGTTCCAGCAGTCGCTGCCGAAGTTCCAGCAGTCGCTGCTGCCACCTCTAGTGAAAATGACGAAGCTGCCCTCGCCCTGGCCATCGCAATGTCACTTCAAGCGCAGCCAGACCCGTCTGCTTCGGCAACAGAGGCCGTCCCTATGGAGACCGATACCCTCCCGGCTTCGTCGAGCGCTGCAGGCGACATCCCGCCCACTGAAAGCGCCACTCCCATGGACTTTGCCTCCGATTCTATCGCGTCTGTTTCCACGACTACCAACGTCGACACTTTTGAGCCGCTCTCGTTCGGAGTCAACATCTTGGCTCTGACGGAACAGCTGCCGTCGCTTGTGCTCAACTCGCTGGCGTGGATTCGGCATGCCGAAATTGTCATTCTCATGTGCAACACGCTGCTTGGCGTGACGCATACACTGTCAGAGCTCCTCGTCATTCCTACACCACACGAGCTTGCCGACAAGTGCCCGCGCCTGCAGACTGCTCTGGTGAACGGGCCGCTCACACTCCGTGTCGGCCAGTTGCTGATCGACCAGCTCGAGCAAACCAAGCTCGCCGAGCTCGACTCTGAAGACCCACTCGTACACAACCGACTGTTTAATCAGTTGTACCTGCTGACGTTGTTGTTGCATTCTGAGCCTGCGTTAGCCCCCAAGCTAACCAGCGCGCTTGCGCGCGTGTGCATCGACGTCTTGTTGCACATCTCTAATGTCAAGTCCCTACCAACCACGCCTGGAGCCGAAACTACCCTTCCGACCGAGACAGCAGCTCCGCATGAACATTTGGTTGTGCGGCAGCGCCTGTGGCAAGCGCCCCTGCTCCTTTTGCTGGATGCCATGTACCAGATCATGAAGGTGCACACCCGAGTGGCCCAAGCAGAAACTGAACTTGGTCTGTCTGCGCCGTCTAGCAAGCCCTCGGCAGCGTCATCATCCTCATCTGCAGACGTCTCGTCCACGAAAAAGCCCAACCCGGCTCCGGCTTCCTCCTCGTCTGCCTCCTCCTCGTCGACTCGCCCGCGAAATTCGCCCTTTTCCATCTTTTCCCCGTCGACATTCCCGATGCACTCGCTCAAGAATGAGGTACAAGGTCAAAAAGAGCGATCGACTGCGGCTCTTCTTGAACCTTTTGGTGGCACGGCGCCCTTCTCTTTTGCCTTTTGCTTTGCGTTGCCCCAGCTCTTTGCGCAGACTGACGTGGACGACATGCTGCTGGCCTGCTCTCGATTGCTCGACTCTGAGCGCAGCATTTCGGGCTTGACCCCACCGACCGTTTCTCAAGCAGCCTGTCAACTCCTCGTTCTCTTGACGCAAGACCATCGCAACGCAATCTTCTTGTTTGAACACGCGCGCGTCCTCTCGTTGCTTTTTGCGCTGCCAAAGCCCTCGCGATTCCAGGGAATTGATCTGCTGATTACCATGCTGATTCGACATGTCTTTGAAGACCAGCACACGCTAGCGTTCTCGCTGAAACAAAACCTCATCGTGCGCAGTCACGAGTTCTTCACCAACCGCTCGTCTCGCTCTGGAGTCTGGGCTGGATCGTCGTTGTTCTACAAACTCGTCGGCGCCGCGATGCGGTCTGAGGAAGCCACGATCGAAGCGCTGTGTGACTTGCTTCGTCTGCCCACCAAACCCAGCGAAGCCAAGCATGTCTCGCTTGCCAGACTGACCGTTTTGCAGACCGACTCTGGATCCGATAGTGCTGCTGCTTCAGACAAGCCGTCGTCCAGTGCTTCCGAGGAACCCACCACCGTGTCGAGCCGGTATCCCCCTCGGTTTGCAAACGAGACGGTCGTTCAAGGGGTTGTAGGCTGGTTGCTCGAGCGCTTGGTCGTCGAGGCGCTGGCCAATCCCCTTTTGCAGCTCAACCTCCCTCCAGCTGTGGCCGAGGAGACGTTCCATGGCGTCGCCACTCCAGCCACGCCAGCTACTCCAGCGCAACCCTCGACTGCTCGGCACGTGTCCCCTGGCACTGCCGTTCCCGCCGTTCCCGCCGTTGTGCCCGCATCGCTGGCGCCTGCGTCGTTGGCGTCGCAAGCTCCAGCAGGAGCTGCACCCCCTAAAGGTGCTGCGGCTTCGCAAGAGCACGAGTTGTCTGTGCCGTTCATTTTGCAGCTGCTTGGCGAGCTCGTGGTCGCCTTCCCTGCCTGCTTGCGCATGTTTATCAACTACCGAGTCGCAGGGTTTGCGCCTCGCGGGAAGCGCGTTTCTCTCGTCCAATTTATCCTGCAATACTTGGTGCCTCATCATGCAGTGTCAACAGCCGAGTCCGCGCCGGCTGTGGCCGCGAACAGGTTTGTGTGCGAGATTGCAATGCGCTCGTGCTACTTGATTGCCTCGCTTGTGGCTGCTGCCCGCAATTTGCCACCAAGCCCCGAAGCTATCGTTCAGGGCTCTGCACGCCCTTCGCCGCCGGTTCCTGGTGATGAGATTGTCGCGCGCATCTTCTTGCGTCTTCGCTCAACCATCGTGGCTGCGACTGTGCAGCCGTTGGATCGCCGTGCGCGCTCGTTGCCCTTCCTCACCTTCCTTCTGGCAGACCTGATGAGCAACTTGCCTTCGGCGCCCAGCTTTTCTTTCGAATGGAGGCCTCCGACCACGCAAGAGTGGCGCGATCGTGTCGCAGGCATCGCAGTCCGCCTTCACGCTGTTCCGACGTTGGCCCTTGCATTGAAGGCCCTGTCGCCCTCTACCATGCCTCAAGGCGCAGTCGACGGCTTGCTAATCACATTGCAGTCGGCCACACGACAAGCTGCGCTCAAGTTGCTGGATGACAAGCTGTTTGCAGAGCGAGTTCCCCTCACCCCGGCGCCAACCGCCCAAACTGCCTCTACATCGCTCAGCCGCAGCAGCAGAGACGCCGCCGTCTCTTCCGCCAACCCACCGCCGGCCACGGCTACGGCTCCGCTCGACGCTGGGCTTGTGCAGCTCTCTGACGCCCTGGCGATGCCCCCGCCGCCTCGTCCACTCGCTGGTCGCCGATCTGGAGCGGCCTCTCCGCGAACAAGCGCTCGACCCGTTTCTACGGGAACTGTGCCCATGGATGTTGCGGCAACGTCGGTCCAGCAACAACCTGCAACGCAGCAAGCACAGCAACCTGCAACGCAACAAGCGCAGCAACCAACGTCTGCTGTGCCACCCGCTCAATCTGCCGCACACTCGTCGTCCTTGGACTCTGCGCTTTCCTCTGCGGCAGGCACTCCGGCAATTGCTGCTCACTTGTCGAGCGAACCGCCGCTTCCAATGGCAAGCATGGGTGATCTGGAAACCCCTCGTCTTGCTCGTCATGGCTTCCCTCACACGGACATGAATGCTCCCGCCACCCCAATGGACCAACGGCAGGACGGCAATTTGGCCATCTCGCCCGAGGGCGATACGAGAGACCAGCCAGACCAGCCGCCTTCGTTGCTCCACACGGTTTCCAACCGGTCATCGCGCGAGGCCCGAACTCGAGCAGCGGCACGCCGACTTCTTGCCGAGCGTCAACTGGTGGTCGAAGGTGAAGAAGACGACGAAGAAGACCAAGACATGGAGGGCCATGATTTCAGCTTGCGAAATCTCGAAGACACCTTCCTCAACCTTCAAAACAATGGCGGCGGCCATTTTGTTCTCCAAGTTGGTGGCGAAGATGATGACGAAGGCCAGCTTGAACAGGACAATGCTGAACTTTTGCAAGATGCTGGGCGGCACTTTGTTTTGCAAGTTGGCAATGGAGGTGTCGACAATGTCGAAGCCGCCGATCTTGCACAACGCATCCGCAACGCTGTGGACCTTGACGCAGACATTGACCCCGAACTGGATGATGATATTCTGCACATCCCCATGGGTGACGATGACGAAGACGAGGACGAGGACGATGAGGAGGACAACGAGCTGGACGAAGAAGAAGAGCACCGTAATCTCGCCGCAGCCGACTCTGAAGCCGACGATGACGACGACGACAGTGATGAGGATGAGGATGCCGAGTCTGGCTCTGATCGTGAAGGTGACAGCGCGCCGCTCCGAGGCCGTCAATTGTTCGATGCCGAACTTGCCTCCGAGTCCGAATCTGAGTCTGGCGAAGAGGACGAAGATCTCGAGGACGACGACCAGTACGAGGATGTTTCTGGCAGCGACAATGATGATGACGACGATGACAACGATGAAAACGGCGGTGATGAAGACGATCAAGGCGATGACGATGACGAAGCAGCAGCTGGACTTCATGCTTCGAGAGGTCCAGCTTTGGCGCGTCTCTTGCGCAGCATCAATGCTGGTGAATCATCATCATCCCGACGTGCACGTGCACCTCGCCATCGCGCACGACATACCGGAACTGCCCGCGCGCACGAGGGCCCCGAATCGGCGTCACGAGACTCGAGTGCTGCAATGGAGAATGGCTTTGATGCTTTGAGCGAACGTGGCCCAGATGCTGAAGCAGCCGCAGCTTTATCCGAGCGAGCTCCCGCTACTCGATCATCTCGTCGATCAGCAGCAGCAGCAGCAGCAGCAGCAGCACCCCAGCGTACGTCCCGTGCTTCCTCTCGAGGTCGCGGTGGCGCTGCCCCCGCCCACCATGTCGCCCGTCATCCGACATCCGCTGACTCATCCTCTTCTGCACCTTCAATGGCCGACGAGCTTGCCAGTCGTGCTTCTGGCGATGCAATGGCTGAAAGCGATGACGACGACGAATGGGAGGACGATGATGATGATGATGAGCCGTCTCTCCAAATTCACAATCCTGTGCATCATGATGATGGTCATGGTCACCATCATCATGACCATGATGACGATGACGATGATGACGATGACGATGAGGACGATGATGACGATGGCGATGGCGACGACGAAGAGAATGCAGACAGCTCGGGCGATGACTCTGGTGCTCGTTCTCCGTCCGAAATGTTTGCTCAAGACAGCGCTGGACATCTTGCTGAGGAAAACATGAACGGCAATGACGATGAAGATGACCAGGACGACGCCGAGCATGGCGATGGAGAAATATTCCTTGATACCAACCAAGGGGTCGGACTCGCCATGTCGCGGCACGAGCTGATTGAGAATGTTCGCAACGAGCTGGTTCGACACTCCCAGCACCCCGCTGGTGACGACCAGCAACTCATCCAACCGCTCGTTAGTCTGATTCAGGCCTTGGCTCGCGCCCATCAAAGTGGCATCTCCGCTGAAGATATCGAAGCCGAGACTGAGATGCACGGCGCCAGTATGCCCTTGTCTGCGCCTCACGCGACTCATTTCCCGGAAAACCACAACATGCGAGCGATGGAAGCCTCTCTCATTGATGGCCACTCTTCTGCGCCTCCTACAAGCGCTGGACCTCCGTCTGGCCCTTCGCCGTTTGGCGGTCACAACCCTACATTTGTGGGCATTCAGCCGTGGGAGCTGCGTTCTTCCATTCGGTCTCCTCGTAACGGTGAAGCAGGACATCCACTGCTGCGCTCCGAGCTGCTGTCGATTGCGCCTGGCGAAACGCTGCTGGCCGAGAAGACTGTTTCTGCAAAGCAGCAAAAGGGCAAAGGCAAGGCGTCCGAAACTAGCCTTCGTGAGGATGCAGCCGCGCCCTCTGCTCCGTCTGGGTCTGACAAAGCCAGTGTTGTTGAACCACCGCTTCGTGCCAAGACCAGCCGTCAGTCGACGCGCAACTTTATCGAGCTGCCACTCGACCAGCTGGCCGAGTCTGTGCAAAACGAGTCGCATCGCCACCGTCTCTTCCAGCGCGTTATCGTCACTACGCACACTGGTATGTTCGCCTTTGCGGCTCTGCAGCTCGAAACCCTGTCTCCGCCGTCCGGAGAGGCGCCCAAGAACAATACGGCTGCCAGCGACAACCCCCTGCACGAGAGCAGCTACGGCCTTCGTGGTGCTTTCAGCTCGCTCGCCATGTGGAATCTCGAGTTTGTCATGCTCCAACGACATGCATCGTACGACGACCTGATGAGCATCATGATTGCTCGGCTGCAACGCGCGCTCTTCAAGCTGCCAGTCGTGACGCCCTCGCAAGTGCAAGCCAAAACCGCAGCGCTGGTCAGCTCGCGTGCGCTTCCTCGAGGCCATCTGGGTCGCGGTGTTCGCGACCGACGCGATTATGATCGGTCAACCACGCCCACATATCCAAACCCAGACATGGTCGGCGAAAACGCTGTTGTTGCGGCCGCGTCATCCAGCAGCTCTGCGCCCGGGCCCTCGACTTCTTCTGCCAGCACTTCTCTCTCGCAGTTTGAGCGAGACATGGGCTTCTCCCTGCCTGACAGTGAAGGACTGTCGGAAGCTCATGGTGTGTCTTCTGCTGCTACTGGCGGTGCTGCTAGTGCCGGTGCTGCTAGTGCCGGTGCTGCTAGTGCCGGTGCTGCTAGTGCCGGTGCTGCGAGTGCCGGTGCTGTTGGTGCTCCTGCCGCTACCGGACGTCCCGCGCCCGTGGCTCGCGCTGCTTCGCACGCCGAAGCCGGAGCTGTTTCGCCGAGCCATTCCGCTGCAAGCGACAACCGTGGCATCGACCCGGCCTTCCTTGCTGCTCTGCCGCCGGCTCAACGGGAGCAAGTGCTTGCTCAAGAGCGAAGTGTGGCGCCGTACTTTATGGCGCGAGCTCCTTCGGGCTCTTTGCAAGTCGCCTCGCCCCGGTTGAGCGAACGCCCTCTCGCCGCCCCATCCGGATCAAGTGCGGCTGAAATGCCGGGCATTGACCCAACATTCCTGGCGGCCTTGGCACCTGCTGCTCGTGAGCGAGTTTTGGAGCAGGAGCGCATCATGGCTTCCCCAGCCCGCTCGGCTGCCGGCCGTGCCACTATCTCCTCCCCTGCGCCTATTGCTCCAACGCTTGCTGCTTCCGCGACGGCTGCTGCTTCGACGACGGCTGCTCCTTCGGCTGCCCCTGCCTCTTCTACCACTCCTGCCACCCGTGACGCGGTCGTTCCGACGACGACTGCCGAGGCAAACAACGTGGCGCACGCGCCTCCAACTCGTCGAGCTGCAAGCAGTCATGACGCAAAATGCTGGAGCTTTACCACACATTGTGATCACCACACGGGCACTGCCCTTCGGCACTTCCTCGATGCCGAAACGCTCATTGTCATCATTCAGAAACTCGTGCAAGGATCGCAGCTGTCCGAAAATGGCAACGCCCAGTTGGATGCCATCCTCGCCAACTTGATTACCAACGTTACCGCGCGCTTTTGGCTGTTCAGCGCTCTGTTGTGCGTTTTGCGCGAAGCATGCGCGAGCGCCGAGCTTCCGTCTGCGCACTCTGCCGCCGCTTCATCCGTGCTCGATGCAAGTATGGACTCTGGCATGGCAATTGCCGTTGTCAAGCGCGTGTTGGATGCCCTTCTCGCCTTGTCGGATCGCATTGTGGGCTTGTGCTACGCCCACACGTTGGATATTTCGCACGCCAAGGTCTTTGGTACTGCCTACCTGGAAGGGCTCCCGCGAAACGTCCAGGAGTTTGTCGTAGAGCGTTCTGGTGGGCTTGGTGAAGCACTGCGCGCCTGCAACTCGCCTCTAGCCGACGAGCTGGGTGCCGATAAGGTGCAGCCCCTGTCCTTCCTCATTTCACTGCTGCGCTGCAATGTGGTTCAACGCAGTCCGTCCACTGTTGAGCGGCTACTGACGTTGATCATCCAATTTGTTCCCTCGCGGCACGAGCTCCATCACCACCGAAAGCGCCTGCTCGGGGAGCATGCAGCTGAACTTGCAGCTCGCGAGAGTGGCCGTGCGGCTTCGTCGTCCTCTGCTTCAACTGTAGCTCAGTCTTCAGTGCCTGCTTCGAGCTCTAGTGCCATGGACACTGCTCCAGCGCCCAAAAGCACAGAGTCGGTTGAGCTGGCTGCAAGCAAAACACCTGCCGCCGCTACCTCCACCACCACCTCTTCCACCACCACCACCACGGTACCGAGTTCCATCTTCCCAACAGCGGCCGATTTTCGAGCAACGCGCGGGACACTTGGCGAAATTCCCGTCCTCCCAACGGCGACTCTCCAAGAGCTTGTCCGCTTGGCATGCAGCGCTTTGCCTTGGACAAAGATGGCACTGACTGTGCTGCGGCGCATCGCCTATGCCAACCCATGGAACGAGCAGGCAGTGATGCCAGAGTTGGATGCGCTCTGCCAACAGCATTCTGCGAGTGTTATTGCGGAGCTTGCAACACTGTCACGCCAGCTGCATGCTTTGATTGCTGACTCGAGCGAATCCGCCAATCGCACGCGTGCTCAAAAGGTCCAACTGGCATTCGAGCCCTTCTCATCCCGCACCTCCTCCCAGGCTACCTTCACGCATATTATTGTCACCATTTTGAGCATTCGTTCGCGAGAAAAGGCCGATGCCGAGAAAGAGCGCTCCAAGCAACGTTCTGCTGTGCGTCGAGCTTCGGCCGCTGTTTCCGACGTGACCGGTGGCGGTGGTACTGTGGCTTTGGGCAATCGAAGCGCCGATTCTCCTGCTGCTTCTAGCTCGCGCACGCACTTGCCTTCCGCCGCAATGAACACTTCCAGCACTTCCAGCGCCACAACTACTGCTCGCGCTGGCGCAAGCTCCTCCTTGCTGGGCGAAACAGAGCCTGCAGCCGCTGCCTTGCACAAGCCCCTCTACGCGCTCAACACATCCCTGGGACTGACTCCTCTGTGGGAGAAGCTGAGTGAGAGTCTTGGCTATCTTGCTCAGCTTGACGCGTCTGACTCTGTGGGCATTCTGCTCCCGCTTGTCGAGATTTTCTTTATGATTCATCGTGATGTGGAGGCATTTGCAAAGCCGTCTACCAAAGGTGGTGAAGGCGCGCCTGCAGCGTCTGCCGCAACCCCTGTGGTATCGAGAAACATTCCAGCTGCCTCGCCGTTGACGTCCACGATTGGCCCTGGTGGTCCGTTCGCGTCTGGGGCACGGTCGCCGCACATCACGGCCCAGACTGCGGGCTCTCCGCTGGCGCCGTCTGCATCGCTGCTGGCGCGAGGAGACTCGGTCACGTCGACGCACGCCAATCTCGATCCGGACTCGGCTCGCTTTATTGCGTTTGTCGAAACGCATCGCAAGATTATCAACGATCTGATGCACCGCATGCCGTGGGCGCTGACGCGAGGTCCGTTCGACGTGCTTGTCCATCTGCCTCGCGTGCTTGACTTTGACAACAAGCGCATCTTCTTCCGTCACAAGCTGACTCAGCTCGAGAAGGGCAAGCACTACGCGCCCATCCGTCTGCAGGTGCGTCGCGAACGCATCTTTGAAGACTCGCTCGAGCGCCTTTCGCGCAAGAGCGACACCGAAATGCATGGTCGGTTGACGGTGCAATTTGCAAACGAAGAAGGCGTCGATGCTGGCGGCGTGACGCGTGAGTGGTTTTTGATTCTCTCGCGAGAGTTGTTCAATGCCAACTATGCCCTATTCAAGTCGTCGCCCGAAGGCAGCGCCACCTACCAGCCGTTTGCCAAATCCTCGGTCAATCCAAACCACCTGGCTCTCTTCCGGTTTGCAGGTCGTGTGATTGCCAAAGCCATCATTGACAACCGCATGCTCGAGTGCTACTTTACACGATCCTTCTACAAGCACATTCTGGGCCGACCTGTCACATACCATGATATTGAAGCGACCGATCCCGACTACTTCAAGTCGCTCAAGTGGATTCTGGAGAATGACATTACGGACGTGATTGACGAGACGTTTGCAGTCGAGGTCGAAGACTTTGGCGACAAGAAGATGGTCGATCTCAAACCGAACGGGCAATCCATCCCCGTGACGGAGGAGAACAAGGCGGAATACGTCCAATTGGTGACAGAGAATCGGCTCACATCGTCCATCCGCAGTCAAATCGACGCCTTCCTCACTGGCTTTTACGGCCTCCTTCCCAAGGAGCTCATTGCCATCTTCAACGAGCAGGAGCTTGAGCTGCTCATTTCTGGTCTGCCCGAAATTGACGTCGAAGATCTCAAAGCCAACACAGACTACACGCGAGGCGGCTACACGGACACTGCGCCTCAAATCCAGTGGCTCTGGCGTGCACTCCGCTCGTTCGACCACGAAGAGAAGGCCAAGTTCCTGCAGTTTGTCACAGGCACCTCCAAGGTGCCGCTCGATGGGTTTAAGGCTCTCGAGGGCATGAATGGTCGTCAGCGTTTCTCGGTTCACAAGGCCTTTGGTGACGCCTATCGCCTTCCATCCGCGCATACCTGGTGAGTCTGAGCGAGGTTTTGATTTATGGCGCTGTCACACTCTGTTCGATGAGTCGTTGTTTGCTAACTCTGCGCGTTTTGTATGTTTGTTTCTCTGTTTGTTTGTTTGTTTGCTTCTGCTCCCCACGAGTAGCTTCAACCAGCTTGACTTGCCCGAGTACGAGTCGTATGAAGTTCTCAAGGAGCGCCTGCTGACGGCGGTGACGGAGTGTTCCACCGGGTTTGGCTTTGCTTAGACATGTTTGTTCGTTTGTCTTGTCTTGTCTTGTCTTGCATTTTTATTTTTCCCACCCCCCCCTGTTGCGTTGCTAGTTGTATTGTATGTTTCTTTGTTGTTTGTTCTTCCAATGTTTATTCATGTTGATTACTGTTCTGTACCGTGCAATGTTGAGACGATTGATTCTCGTTCTTGGCTTTGCTTTTTTTTTTTTCTTTTTTTTTTCTTTTTTCATTTGTTCACGACTTGTCGCCGAGCATGATCCACTCTTCTTGCGCGCGAACGACTCATGCTGTTTGACGTGCTTTTGTTTGATTTTGCGCTCCAACTTTGTTCCCCATTCACGTCGCTCTTGTATTTTGTGATTTTATTTCATTCTTTATTTTTTATTTTTGATTTTTGACACTTTTTTTTTTTTTTTTTTTTGTGCCTTTCTTTTCTGCTGTCAGTCACATATCGACGCCGCTTTCTCCACGTTTTGCCAATCATCATCGCCATCCGCCCGCACCCATGACTATCTCAGCGACATCCGAGCCGTTTGGCACTGTGAATGGCGGCCAGCCTGTTCAGCTTGTGACGCTGCACGACAAGGACACTGGCGTTACCGTCAAGTTGACCAACTACGGCGCCACAATCGTCTCGTTCTCCACGCCCGACTCGTAAGCACAACACCAACAAAACCCACACGCACACACGCACACACACACACACATCAAACCCAACACTGCCCTCGACATCAGACTCGTGCAGTTGAGCGCGCGATGCATGCAAAACCGGTCCGGTCGCTGGTTGAAACTCGAACTGTGGATGAAATCGCTCTGCTTGTTTTTTTTTTTTTTTTGGTTTTTTTTTTTGTTTTTTTTTTTTTTTGTTTTGTTTTTTTTTTTTTTTTTTTGTTTTTTGTTTTTTTTTCTGGTTTTAACACTGTGGATGTGTGAGGCTGACACGTTTTTTTGGCTTTGTGAGAGAGAGAGAGAGAGAGAGAGAGAGAGAGATGAGAAGGGGGAGAGAGTGAGAAGCAAGCTCACTGTTTGTGGAGGGAAATGTCGAGAATTTTGTAGAGTTGCTGCTTTGCGTTATTGACGACAAACAAAAAGATGAAACGAAGCGAAGTGAAGCGAACAAAAAAAAAAAAAAAAAAAAAAAAAAGCGGTGGAAATGAAAAATCAAACAAGAATAACAAAAAGGTGACAAACTGTGGGCAACGTTGTGTTTTTGATTTCTAGTTTGTTGGATGTTTTGCTGAAGCTCGAACGTGAGCAGACAAGCAAAAGCATGGAAAAGTGAGTTGAATCGGTGAATGATAGCAGGATTAAAGAAAGGGAGAATCGAACAAACAAAAAAAAAAAAAAAAAAAAAAAAAAAAACAAGCAGCGAAAAAAAAAAAACGTAAAAAAAAACGCCATCCAAAAACTCAATGGAACAAAAACAAGCAGCAACACATCCAAACAGAACCGTAATAATAATAGTAATAGGAATAGGAATATGAACAGAGCAAATAGGAATAACCAGTTTGTGGGGAAAAAAAAAAGCAGCGAAAGAGAGAGACAATGAGAGAGAGAGACAATGAGAGAGACAATGAGAGCGACCACAAAACCATCATGATGCACGATTGTCCACTCTGGTGGATGAAACGCACTTTGTCACTCTCTGCTTGGTGGGGAGTGGGCACATGGGGGAAGTGGGATGGATGTGGCGACCGAGCAGACCTGTGCGCTGCTGCTGCTTGTGTTGCTTTGGTTTTGCGCTTGTGATCGTGTTGTGCGGTTTGGGTTGCGGTTTTGGGGGTATTGTTTGTTTGTTTGTTTGGATGGCAACAACAACAACATCAATAACAACAACGAAATGTCCGTAAAAACCAAAAACAGCCCGCAAGCGCGTGAGTGAGGGTGGGTTGGTTACTCGGTCAGAAGGGCAATCAGTCTTAAGTGCAGAGAAAACAGGGTCAGCTTGTCTCGTGCTCATCTCGAAAAGTCAAGGCAGCAATCGATCACCCTCAATCTCAATTGTGTGCATGTGGTTTGTTCTGCTTGTTTTGTTGTTTTGTTGTTTTCCTTTTCGGCGACAGGCTGGGTCTGCTGGGCGACGTCGTCCTCGGATATGACAAGCCGATCGGATATGAATCCGACACTTGCTACTTTGGCCCTGTTGTCGGTCGCGTCGCCAACCGCATCAACCAAGGCAAGTTCACCATCGATGGCGCTGTGCGCCAGGTCACTGTGAACCGTCCCCCGCACCATCTCCACGGTGGCGCAAAGGGATTCTCCAAGAAGGTCTGGGAGGTCGTCAAGGTCGATCCCAAGGGAGCTGTCTGCTTTGGCCTCACGAGCGCTGACGGCGATGAAGGCTACCCAGGCACCCTCCTCGTTGACGTGACGTACATTTTGGGCAAGCCAGCGGCAGGCGAGTTTGCCAACTCTGGTTTCAAGCCGCTCAACACGCTGAGCATCGTGTACCACGCGTCCTCCATCGACTCGGCCACCCCCATCAACCTCACCAATCACTCGTACTTTAACCTGTCGGCCGGCGCGCAACACAACATTCACGGCCACCACCTCCACGTCAACGCCGACAGCATTACCGCCGTCACTAGCGAGCTCATTCCGACCGGCGAAATCAAGCCTGTCAAGGACACGCCGTTTGATTTGACGGAGGTAGGAATTGTTTGCGTGTCAAACGACGCGACAGGGCGGGCAGGAAGGGGGGGTTGTGTTCGGGTTTGGTATTCTGGCTCTAGAGCGTTGGTTCAAGGATGGGGGAGGCGTTGTTGTTTTGTTTGTTTGTTGTTTTTGTTTGGGTTTTGTTTTTTTTGCTTTTCTTGGTCGCTCACTTCGGTTTTGGGGCAAATTGACAGGGTCCTCTCGGTGTCAACTTGGGCGAGCGCTTCAAAGCAACAGAAATGAACGGCTTTGACCACAACTTTGTCCTGAATGGCTTTGACAAGGCCAACAACAACAAGTTTGGCGCTCCTCTGCGCACTGCTGCTCGTCTGTCCGATCCCGGCAGTGGTCGCGCACTCGAAGTGAAAACCACTAGTCCTGGTATCCAAGTATACACTGGCAACTTCCTCTCCAGTGTGCCTGGCCGTAATGGTGCAGTGTACGGCAAGCATGGCGCGGTTGCCCTCGAGACGCAACACTTCCCGGACTCGGTCAACCACGCCAACTTCCCTTCCACCGTTTGCAATGCGTTTGAGAACTGGGACAACGTGACATCATTAACTGTTGGCGTTTTGAACAAGTAATAACGGGCTGCCGTTATGGAATTTGGTTTTGTGTTTTTGGTGCGGAGGGAGATGCTTGTGTAATTTTGTTGTCGGTGGTCGGCCAATTTGCAGCACGAATCCTTTTGTCTCTGTTTGCTGTACCACCTGTCTCTCGTTTGAAGCGACGACGTTTAGCAAAGTGCTCGTGCTCCTTTTGTTTTGGAATGGCTGTTGTTATTGAGAGTTTTGTTGTTGTTGTTGTTTTCGGTGGAGTTGTTGTTGTTTTCGTTGGAGTTGGAGTTGTTGCTTGTTTGTTTCTGTAAATCATTTGTCAAAGCCTCGAACAAAAAAAAATCGGAAAACAAATGGAGACTCGTTGTTCCAACACTGCCCCAATATCGCGAATCTATCTCTCTTGTTTCGAAAAATCACAGAGAACAATTCCCTCAACAACCAATTCCGCGACGCTTTCACAATCATCCGCCGCACAAACATACACACAATCAAACTATATGCAGAGCAATTACAACTGGCCCTTCTGAGCAAGTAAACGAGGATGGCTCCAAGAGGTTTGTCGGCGAACATGACTGGTAGCAAACACAAAGAAAGACGTTCAAACCGCGTCAGCAGAGCACCCGAGAGAAGCAGTACCCAAACACAAACACAAAAACAAGAGTCGACTTACTCGACATAGTACGTGCCCTCCTCTGAGGTGACAGCCTCCCAGCCAAAAGGCAATTCTGTTTGGAGATTAAGATCATTACGGGGGCACAATTCTAAGTCAGTGCCAGTCAAAAGTGCGGACGCAGCGAATCGCGCAAAATGAGGACTATGAGCAATCTAATCGCACCATTGTCTGAGCAATCTTTGGCGAGCTTGCCGTCCCGCGGCAGTCGAGGGTCAAGCCAAGTAGTGCTCATATCGTTATGACTGCAATGGCACAAAAATTTTCAAAGAACAGACAGCGGAAAAATCAGTGGCAGTCACACAATGAGAAACGCCCAACAAACAACAAAACCAACCATGCGCCGTCACTCACTTGACAAAGTACGTTCGGTCGTCGTCGGTGTGTCGCATTTCCCAGCCGAACGGCAAGGGCTTTTGAGTTGCAACGCTTTCAGAGGCCGCTGCAGTGCCGTTGGCGCGCACAAGCTTGGCCGCGCGTTGCGTGCTTCGACCGCGTCGCAGATTCTTGCCCTGCGGAAGAGTGTCAACAATGCTCGGCGCACCAGTCTCCATAGGCTTGACACCAACCTCATCAGTCAGCAGCTCGATTGAGCGGGTGCGGTTTGCGAGGCGATTCTTCTCGGCGCGGGGCTGCGCAGTCAAGTCTGCTGAGGGCTTGATCGTTCCATACATGACGCCGTTCTGTTCGCCGTGCTCCAGGAACTTGCCGTCATTCATCATCGCCAAGAAGGTTTCCTTTGAAATGAAATGATACGACTTGCCGTCCACCTCTCCCTCGCGTCTGGCACGAGTCGTGTCTGAATGGGGAAATGTGTCGAAGAGAGATTTCAAAGTGAAGACGAGTCAGCAATCAACGGGCTCTCTGGAAATTGGGTAACAGGAGGGGGGGCGAACGGGGAGAAGCTCACAAGGAATCGAAGAGTGGTAGAGCTTATCTCGGATGAACTTTTTGAACTGCTCGTCTGGTGAGTGATCTGGGAACTTGGTGTTGAGCATTTCCGAGATGCGTCGTGAACCTGACATCCAATTCCCACAAACGTGAACCAGTGATCAGCACATACCAAACCAATTTGAAACGCAAAAAAAAAAAAAAAAATCGAATCAACCAAAAACGGCAGCCAGAGCCGTTCAGACACCTGTAGGGTGTCCCCGTTTGGAGCAAATTTTGAAAGCCAAGCCAAGGCAAACCACTCACCTTGAACTGCAGATCCGTAACGAAGCGACAGAGTGAGGGTTGTCGAACTCTGCTTGATCAGGCTGATGGCCTCGTCGTGGGTGGCTCCGACCACAATTTGGTTGTTGATTGACTGGACTTCGTCTCCGATGAGCACTTGTCCGCTTGCATCTGCGACTGCGCCCGGGACCAGCTTGGAGATGGACAGCGTGAGATCGTGCTCGCTGCCGCCAAACAGCCCAAAGCCAAACACATCGCCCTCGCGCCGGTTGAGCTTGACCGTCCGCCCGACATCCCGCGGCACCCGTGCGGCCAGTGCAGCCTGTTGCGCCTGCTGCTGCTGCGTCGTAGACAGCGAACCATTGCCATTGCTTGGGCGACCGTTGCCACTTGTCACGGCCGAGCTGCTTCCATTGCGACTGTGCCCAGCGGAGGCCGGGGGTCTGAGCCCACCAGCACCAGCACCAGCACCAGCACCAGCACCAGCACCAGCGCCGCCAACCGACGACTGCGGAGCCGAGACGTCCTGGACAGAGCCGTGATGGGACGGCGCCGGCGACGTGTGCCTCGAGCCCCAGCGCGAACCGCCATTGCTGCTGCTGCCGCCGCCGCCGCCGCCGCCAGTAGTCCCATTGCTGCTGTGGTTGCTGTGATGGCCGCCGAGCTGCAGGAGGCCCGCCAGACCGCGGCGCTTGGACGAAGGCGACTCGCTCGGCGCAGATGATCCGCCGCCAGCCGCCGAAGCCGCCGAGCCAGCGCCAGCGCCAGAGCCAGAGCCAGCGTGCCGGCTGCTGCGTCGGCTCCATACGGCCTTCATGAAGGAGCCGCTGATCTGGAGCCGTGACTTGTGACCCGCCGGCGGGCGACCTGTCGTCGTGCTCATTCGTTATTCAAAAAAAAAAAAAAAAAAAAAAAGATTGACGATTGTGATTTTGATGGCTTTTTTTTTTTTTTTTTTTTTTTTTCGCTTCTTGTTTCATTTCAGTCATTTGAAGTCATTCTGGCAAAGTGCACACAAAAAACAATGGGTTTGGCAATTAAGAAAAGAACCAACAGCAAGACACATCAACAAAAACAACACACACACAAAAAAAAAGGCTGCTGTTGGACGAAACAGAAGGAAGGATGGAAAAAACACAAAGAACAACAACAATGCAAGAACGCACAAACCACTGCGCGGCTTCTTCTGCAAAATACAATGAATTACACACAGGAAGTCGCTGGGTTGGCATGGATAGCCTTTACATCATCGGCGGCGGCGGCGGCGGTGGTGGTGGCGGCGGCGGCGGGGCACCACCTGCGTCGTCGCTAGCAGGTGCCGGAGGTGCAGGCGGCGGGGGAGCGCCACCGTCGGGAGCAGCAGCTGCTGCAGCGGGATCAGCCGGAGCAGCGGCCGCGGCGGGCTCCTCGACCTTCTTGACCTTCTTGGGACGGAAGAAAATGCGAGCACCACTGAGGCTAAAGTTGAGCAAATCAAACTCGTGGTCGAACGTCTCGAGACGCTTGAGGGTGAGCGTCATGGTTTGCTGCAGCTTCTCGTCGTCCTTGCCCTTCTTGCGCGAATCGGCAAGCTGCTGCTTCTCCAGGCGATACTTGTCCGCAACCGAGTCAAACCAGTGCAGCGAGTCAAATGTGTTGTACTGGTCGAGAAGCTTCAAGATGTATGCAATGCCTGCAAAGGTTGGAATCGAGCACAGAAAAGGCGGGGAAGGGTGAGACACAAAAAAACAACAACAAGAACAACAACAAAACTCGACCGACGAGCCCACAAAAAAAAAAACAGATGAACAACGTACCCATGGCAAAGCCATCGTCAGTGAAGAAGGCGCCAGTCTTGTTCTTCTTGTTGAGACGCTCCTTGCCCGACAGCATGTGCTCAACATAGTTGACAGTCAGAGGAGGAATAATGATGAAAAAGTTGCGCAAGTGCATGTTCTTCGAGTCGCGGAACTCGGCCGAAAACACATCAACGAGCATCTAAACGTATGACAACAGGAGCAGGGTTCAAAATGAATCGTGAGTGCGTGCCCCTCCCAAAACCAAAGTACAAGTGCACAGAGAGCCACAGAGCTCGGACCTCAAAGTACTCGGATCCCTCGGCAAAGTTTTTGGTGAGATTGCTAATCGTGGCATCCAAATTGCTGTGAAACGCGGACAACAAAAACACGGAGGTTTTTCCAAAGTGAGCGAAAGCGAAGAAACGTGGAAATGGCCCCCGGGAAGGGGGGGGAAGGAGAAACAACGAAAATTGAGCTGCAAATCTCACCGAGCAGCGTCTTGAGCTTCACGAGACAAGTTGGCAGCCTTGGTGTGCTCCTCAAAGTTGACAATGTCATCGAGATCGGGGACAAAGCGAATGGCGTTGCTGGTGTAGTGCAGACCACCCGAGCGAATCATGCGAATGTAGCCCATCGCGTTGCCTGTACAAATATGACCAGGTGAGTCAGAAAGAGGTTTTGCAGACGAGCTGGAAATGAACACGGCGGTCTCTCTCTCCGTCCCCCCCCCTTTTCATCGTCCCAAAAGAGCTGAATTTGCTTACCGATCTGGGTGATCAAAATACGGAACTGGTCCAGGTAGGTCTGGCCGTCTGGAGTCAAGCCAAGCTTGCGAATGCCCTTGTTGAACTTTTCGGCACGCTCGTAAGGGTACTACAAGACAAAGAGTGATGAGGAACACAGCGGTCGAGGCAAAGAGGAGACCAATCCAATCACGTGAGAGACTCAAGTCGCGAAAACATTACACGGAACAATCGCATCTGAGCGGCAGTACCTTGTTGTCGAGCTGGTCGCGGCTTTCCTTGTAGAAACGAATGTCCTTGATCAGCCTCGACTTGATGTGATCGTCGTACAAGAACTGCGAGAACACAAAGAACTTTTTCCGCAAGAACTGGAAGGTAAAGTTGACCTATTGGTGGAAGACGACCCAAGCACAAGAACAATGAGCAACGAGATGACAAGACACGCACACACAAACGCACACCATTGTGACAACTACAAATGCAAATGCAAATCCTACCGTAGTGTTCATGATGCCGGTTCCGTGGGTGCGGATGGAGTTTGCAATGTGACGAATGTTGATCGTGTTCAAGAACTTGTTGTTCGAGAGTCGCTCAATGAAAATCTGGTTGTTGAGGTTGTAGCTGTAACGCGCCACGAAAATGTGGATGTTGCGCATAATCTCGAGGACATCGAGACCCTGCTCAAGCGTCTGCGAAGGCAGGTGGACTTCGGTCAGCTCCAGACCGTACTTTTGGCTCGCCAAGTTGCGCATCTCGCCGTAAGTCTTCCAGTCGTGCAAGGCCACGGTCGTCAGGTTGTAGAACGTCGTGTCGAGGTAGTGAGTGACCGAGTCTGTGAGGCCAAGCAAAAATCCAGTTTAGCATCGATGCGCGACACTATTGCTGCCAACACACACACACACACAAACACACACACACACATACATACACACACACACACACACACACACACACACACACACACACACACACACACACACACACACACACACACACACACACACACACACACACACACACACACACACACACACACACACACACACACACACACACACACACACACACACACACACACACACACACACACACACACACACACACACACACACACACACACACACACACACACACATTGGGCCAATTCAAGTAAAAAGCCACTCACGTTTGAAATCAATGTGCTTATCAAAGAATCGAATCGGTCGGATCTTGAGAAAGTGAGAAAGCTCCTTGAGACCAACTTTGAAGGGGTTGCGATCATCGAGCTTGAGATGAGAATGAATGTGCAGACGCAAATCCGTCTCAATGTCTCGGCACAGCGGGTCAATGATGGCGGTCTTGAGCATGGTTTGAATCTCCTTCTCAAAGCCGGCAAGCAACACGCCGGGTTCTTCGTGCTTGGCTTGAGTCATCAGCGGAACGCAGTCGCGAAGAGCTGCAAACATGTACTACACCAAGAACGTGCGAAGCAGAGCAGATCAACAAGAGAACAGAAACAGAACGACAAAAGAACAGAGAGTGCGTTTTGAAGGGTGAGCCACAACGAAAAAACTTTGCCTCCGCCACCGCCTCAAGCGCCCTCATCACTCACGTGCAACCGATGCGCGTCTGTTGGCGAATCAAAGGCGTCCGCAAAGTAAACGGGAAGAAGAACGCGGTGCCAGTACAAGAAAGTGCAGTTGCACGCAGCGCGAAGCTTGATGCGAAGATCCGACATGGCCTCGAGACGACGGAATTGGTTTGTGACGTTTTCGTACTCGCCAGCCTTGAAGACCTGCATCTGAAGGACGACCTGGAAAGCCAGGTTGGACAACATGCGACGCTCCTTTGTCGGCGGGCCATTCAGCAGATCGCCCATCAACTGGAGGGCTGCAATCACATCCAGGTGCGTGTCGCTGTACTTGCGGTCCTGAGCCAAGCGTTGCTGTCGTTGCACACAATAGAGTTCCAAAGTGAGTTTTGTTGATGCACGAATCGACACGGCAAGAAAACAAGAGCACAAAAAAAATCTGAATCGTATTCAATCACGAATACATCATACCTTGATGGGGGCAAGAACGCCAATGATGGGCAACGAGAGGCGTTGGATGGCGTGAGACATGGTCTCGGCAATGAGCATGGAGCGACGATGGAAGGTGCCGTCGATAGCCTTGAGCAGCTCGATGAGCTTGCAGAAGGCGCGCACGGTGCTCTTCTTCATGGGGAAGGACATGTGCACGTACAAGCTCATGGCAGACTTGAGCGAGTTCGAGATGGCGTAGGCGTGAAGCACACCCTGGATGAAGAGCGCTACGCGTGTTCCCAGATCGTCAGCGCTGCTGGCATGGCCACGGATGGAATCCATGCGAACCATCCATGTCGCAATCTGCAGATACCAGTTTTGGGCGTCACGCGAGATTGTGTTGTCAATGTTCTGCAGGTAGGCCTTGCGAACGCTGTCCGTGTCGAGCGACTTTTTGTCGAGCTGCTTGACGAGCAAGGGCAGCTTGAGGGCCAAAAAGTCGTTGGGGAACCAGATAATGTTGCCAGCCAAGGCAAACACGGGCAGCTTGCGCTGCACATCCCACAGCGCCTTGAAGAACTTTTTGTCGGTGGTGCGGTACAGTTGAAAGTGCAGCACGTACAAGCCACACAGGCCCACAAACTTGTCGCGTTGACCCATCTCGTTCGGCTCGCAGAGGCGGCTGTCAATTTGCATAAAAATTGCGCGCAGGTTGTGCGACATCTCATCGTTCATGAGGCCATTGTGAGTCACATCCACTGCCTCGTTCAAGTCAAAGTGGTCTTCCACGCATTTCTAAAGAAAAGAGTCAGATGTGGCGACAACAAAACGACAAGGGTCAGAAGATCCTTAGCAACACAACATTTGGGGGTTGTTTTTGTTTTGTTTGTTGCGGTACCTGGAAAATGTTGCCATCGAGCAGTTGACCTTCGAGGCGCATCAGGAACTTTTCCATTTGGCGCACTTTGACCTCATCCACACCGAAACGCGACGGCTCGGCACGAACAGACTTGATCATGCGCTTGTACAGAGTCCAGTGATCACGCAGCACCGTGTTGGTCCGAACAATCTCGTCCAAGGTGATGAGAACACCGAGCACGTCGGCAAGGTACTCGAAAACGGGCTGCAAGACGATCGTACAGAAGCAAAATGAAGAGGGCAGGTGAGTTTTTGTTTGTTTTTTTGTTTGTTTTTTTTTGTTTTTGTTTTTTTTTTTTTTTTTG